CAACTGGTTATCTGCCAGTGTAACAGATTTTGAAATATTTGCAATTTGTGTTTCTGGCCACACTGAAATACAAAATTGTTTATTTTTAGGTCCCCTGCCCCCTAAGTAAAAAGTTCAGTATCGTAAGCTTTTCGATGAGATACAAAGATATATTGATGAAATACAAATTATATCATGCGGTCTTATTTCTAGTTCCATACATTGGAAAAGCAAAATTTCGCGCATATTAAAATATCTAAATTTTCTAACAAATTTCTTGATGAGGTATATTCCATATCAACTAAAACAAACAAACAAATACTGTCTGTTAATTTACCTATTTTACCGCCTCTGTCCATGTTCCTATATAACTAGAATGGCGCGTTTTAACATCTCTAAATTTAATTCTTCATCCATAAAACACTCTTAATGTGATCTAGAATATACTGTTGCATTTAGCGCAAACGTCGTTTCTAATGAATGGCGATAACGTCAGTGACATCATAGTAGTCCGACGTCATAGACGTCGATTTAATTTCGTTCTCAAACCGTTTCGTTCTAACATACTAGTTGCTAATTATTCACTGTATTTTTACACAGGACAAATGACTTTGTTCAAAATGTGTTAAAATGATGATAATTATCAATTTCGTAATTTTGACCATTAACTGATAATTTATAATTGATAATTATACTATCATAAGAAAGAAGACGTAAATAGAGGATATTGAATGAGTGGAGGTTCAGTACTGGATATACTGAACGAGTTGAATGCGAGCCTCTGGCGAGCAAAATATTATTATATTCAATGAGTTCAATAAATTCAGTAATGAACCTGTACAAATGAAATATTCTTTTTATCACATACCCAAAATAAGACTGCTAAAAATGCAAAAGAATCCTGTTTTCATTAACGCCCATTTTGTGTAACGCTAACATTAGCGCATCTTTACACTATGTTAGTTTTACGCAAATAACGTCAAGTCAAAATATATGTACGGCCGTGCAATACCGTTTGTACGCAGTCGCAAAATCGGCATGGGTATGTGACAGGTAAAGAATGCAAAATACTTATGTACTTACGGCTACCATTGTGTCATTTTACCATAATTATTAGTCTTTTCGTATACAAAATATCATAAAATCATTAAATACAAAGAGGTGTTAAATCATGCGTTCTTACAACATCAGCTTGGGTGATAAATATTTTCTTAAAAATGTAGTACTTGTTGAGGAATATTTTGTTGTTGCTGTTGTGTTTTTTTCAATGACACAAATTTATTATGTTTGTATTCTATTCTACATACTAGTATATAATTGATCAAATTGTGAAGAGGAATTATTTACATAAAGATATGTGTACTAAAACAGTATTAAACAGTACTATAACGTGTATTAAACAGTAATCGTCCATGTACTTAACGGTAATCATGCATGTACTAAACAGTAATCATTTATGTACTAAACAGTAATCATACATGTACTAAACAGTAATCATGCATTTACTAAAAAGTAATCATGCGTGTACTAAACAGTTATCATGCGTGTACTAAACAGTTATCATGCAGTGTTAAACAGTAATCATTATGTACTAAACAATAGCATACATGTACTGTACAGAAATCAGGCATGTACTTAATAGAAATCATGCATGTACTAAACAACAATCATGTATGTACTAAAAAGTAATCATGCATGTACTAAACAGAAATCATGCATGTATTAAACATCAATCTTGCATATACAATACACCAATCATGTATGTACTAAAGTTTAATCATGCATGTACTGAACAGTAATCATGCATATGCTAAACAGAAATCAAGCCTGCACTAAACAGTAATCATGTATATACAAACAGTAATCATGCATGTTATAAACAAATTGTATCATATTAGTCGACATTAAGTCGAAATTCTACAGGTTTTTTTTTCATTTACCCGACCTCTGTTATAAATCAGTGAACATTTAGTAACAAGCATACATTTTTTAAAAATCAAATAATTAATTTACCTATTTTACCGCCTCTGTCCATGTTCTTGATTATTATAATATCGTCGTCCTCAATTCTGCATTCATTTTACACTTTTTAATATTGATATCGTATAAAAGTTACTGTTGTTTTTCGCGTTGAAGTCGTTTCTAATTAGTGACGCCCACGTTATTGACATCACAAACATCCTACGTCACAGACGCTAGGTTAATTCTGTACTCAAACCGATTCGTTTATTCATCTCATTTCGGGTAAATAGTTCTTAATACTTATATTTTCCTCTTTATCGATCACTACTTAAGTTATTGTACTCCTAACAAGTAACTGGAAGAGTAATTCCAATTCAGATGAGAACAAAAGTTTCATGTTTATGTATTGAAGAGTTTACCTGTTAGGAGATAATTATTGAAACAAGACCGGAAATAATTTAAAGCATTAGCAGAATTTCAGTCACATAATTTTGAAAAGAGTCATCCCTTTGTCTTTGTAGAAATGTTCATATCACCGATTGAAACTTGAACATGGTTGTGAACTTTGCGGCACGACTGCTCTTTTGTAGTTTTGGTTAACTCGATATAAATATATTTTTGCCGAATTGTTGTTTTACTGTGTTAGTTACCCTCATCGACTCGGAATCACATGCCTTTGTGGGTTCGAATCTCTTCTTGAATAAGTCGGATGGTGACTATTAAAAAACAGTTACATTTGTATTATTTAATCAAACTTACAAAATAATAAGCAGCTGCCTAATGGGTTATGTAACTACCTTCTAGCGTAGGGATCGTGGGTGTGAGCCTAATTGGTGTAACGGTTATGTTTCCTTAAATATTACGTATGAGTAGTAAGAATCCACAATTAAGGAAACCATTTTCCTTCAGAATTGAGCTTAGTACAAAATGAGTGAAATTATAATAATCATAATTTATTGAAATTAAATTTACAAAAAAGAAACAACAACAACAACAAAACAACACAACAATATATAATAAAATGGTGTAATCCGCTTTGCATAATTTGAAAAGTCGATATTCACAGTTGAACCGTCTTGAACTATCCGGTCGATTGGTTATAACAAACGATTTAAATATAAAATGTCTTTGTTTTCAGCCTTTTGTTTTAAACCACAATCTATGACACTCTTTTCAATTCACTTTTATAAATACTTTAACAATGCATATCCGATATTTAATTTCAATAAGTTAACCTATTTTTTACATACATATATTATACTTATAATACATGTATAAAGTTGTCTTATATGGATGTTTTTGTGAGTTTGTGCTGTTTTAACAAGATTCTGTTGTAAAGGATTTTTGAACCTGATTATGGGGGTAAGATATTCATCATACATTCAAATAATGCATAAAATGATTTCTCAAAAGGTCAAACTAAGTAAATATAATATAGTAATATATTGTGAAATTATACATGCTTATTATGACACGTTGCACGTATTAATGAAAATATGACAAGTATTTCATATTTTCTAAATATTTATCGACGAAAAGGTGACGTCAAATTGATGTATTATTTAAAGCATAGCAAATGAACTATTGTAAGATCAGTACTTATGCAAGATAGATAACATGGATATCAATCACAATATCATTAAATGTTAGAGGTGTAGAGGCACAGGACTTTAATTAAGCAGACTGTACAAGTATTATTTTTACTTTAATAGCGCATAATCAGATTTAAATTGCATTATGGTCATAGAACCGAAAATTTGAACTACATTTCTTTATATTGAAAAAAGAAAACTTGATAGAAGCAAGCAAAATTCAAAAATATTATTTTTAATCTAGAGGCAAGTTCCTGAAAATCGATATAAAACAATTTAGACCCTTGCATGTTATTTTTACATTTTAAAGATTACATTTGGGAAAAAGAAACCAGTTTTTCGGACTGTTATTTTGACTCCGCCCACTCTAGGAACAGATGAAGAAATCGTTACCCACAAACCTTCTAAACAGACCATACTTCCGGGGTCCGTTATTCGTGACAAAAATGGTAAAGAATAAAAAATTAAATAAATTAATTTTCAATTCATCAATGAAAAGATTAAAGAACTAGCAAAATATATTTTTTAACCCTTAGAGACAATTATTTTTGCCCAACATTTCGATAGAAATTAAATAAGGCCACCAAATGAAGAGGTAGAATAGCTAAACGATCAAATATAATAACATGAATTATAGAAGTATTGATTTTAAAAGCAAAAGAAATTTGAATTATAAAATTCATTTATATCAAAAATACCTTTTGTGCCGATCAAGTCATAAAGTACTCTATCGACTTTACAAAAAAAAATGTTACGATTTGGGAAATTTTGCACGAAGATGGCAATTTAATGTTTAATTTGATATTAAATATGAACCAGTTTATTTTACATTTAACACATTTGCCCACAGTACTAAAATATAATAAAAAATACTAGATAGCACTTTCAAAGTTAAAGTTTTCAAAGTTTGTATGATATAAAAGTTCATTTTATATTTTCTTAGAAATGAAACCAGTGCAAATTGTTATTTTTATAGTTCCTCTGTATATCCGGAAGTTACAAACGTGGGCCTGGGAAAATGCTGAACACCATCATACCAAGAAATTCAGTTTACCTAAATCGGGTACGCTTGTAGTGCGCAGAGGTCAACCATTCAAAATAACCTTGACCTTTAACCGTCCATATAATTCTTTGAATGACGAACTCAAATTTTACTTCGAAACAGGTAAGTCGAAGACATGTTTGTATCGGAATAGAATAATGAATGTTTCGATAAAGATCATATATTTCTTGTAAAGACTTCTTTCGAATAAACTCCCTCCCTTTTGATTTGTGGGTACACATGCTTACAAAAAAGTTTGATATTCATCAATCTTAGGGACCACTCCTATGCAATTATTCTTAGTTCATACTTTTCCTATTCATAAGGATGTAGATAATTTCTTGAAAATAAAGTTATGATATTTTGAAAAGGCACGAATCTTGAGTTGTTTTAGGAATCATAAATAATACCATTAAAGCAACATTTTTCAAGTTTTTCATCTCCATAAATATTGCATCCTAGGTGGCGTATTTTTAAAGCTTGAATAATGGGAAATAAATTGTGTTGTTGTTGTTGTTGTTGTTTTTTTGTTGTTTTAAATTCATCTTTTTTAGGAGACAAACCGTTACCCGGAAATGACACAATGGTTTGTTTGTCGTCATACACTTCCCAGGGTTCCAGTGGATGGAAATCTGACTTTCTACCAGTTATTGGTACTAAAAATAGGGTAAAGTATATCACAGTTATATTGTAAATACTGAAGTGTATTTAAAAAAAATTGAGCCTTATGCTTATATGTGTGCATGAGTAAGAATATCAACAACCTCAGTTACATACATGACTACAAACTAGTTCTATAGATAGTATAAGACAATCTTTCATAATCAGAATCATTTATAATCCAGTTCCCTATTCTTGTGAAATAGCGTATAGGCATTGTTTTTAATATTATAAGGTCCCTGTTTCGCTCCGTGGAAACAACAAAATGTTAAATCTTTGATGCATTCCACATAGTGATTTGTTTGAATGAGAGCCCTCGACACTTCCGTTGTAGAGCCGTCGGCTGAAGAAGGAATAAACACAGTTTCTAAAAGTATCCGGGTTTGTTTTTAAAGATGTGCTTTTATTTCAAAATTTGGAGGATGCAACGTAGAACATTTTCCCTATCACTCTTGGATGCAATTTCGATACGAAATACCCCAGTCTGTTCCAACTATTAACTTAAACTCCAAACTTAACTCATATGATTGTTGCATATTTTACTACCCTGTTTTATGTTGTTTGTGCGACTTATTTTTGTTCGTAACGCTGTTGTTTTTAAGAGAGGAATTACTGTAAATAATTTCTTAATATGTTTTCTTCATGAAATAAATGTCTGTTTTATGAAATTTTATTCAGTTTCTAAAACAAATGTATTTGACAGTACCTGCTATACATGTTAAAACATTCACAATGGATAAATAAAAGACATTGTATGTTTAACAAATACAATTTTATTTTCAGGATTGTATTGTAGCAAACTTATGGGTGTTCACACCAGCAGATTGTATCGTATCCGACTGGAAGTTTTCATTACAGAGTATACTACGGTCCGAGACAGAGACTGCTACCGTCACTTACGAGCATCCAGACAGAATTTACGTCCTCTTTAACCCTTGGTGCAAAAGTATGTTTCATATATAATAATAATTTACTATTTTCTTTTTGTTATGTTTATCAATAGACCCTTGGTGCAAAAGTATGTTTCATATATAAAAATAATTTAGTATTTTCCTTTGTTATGTTTATCAATGGGTGACAGATAATCTATTCGCATTAACCTAACTTCGATACAGTTTTTTTGTTAGTTTTTTTTTTTTTTTTTTGTTTATTGATCTGAAGCTCGAGAATGTCATTTTATGAATTTCAAGGCACATAATGCATCAGAAATCAATATTGCTTTAATTCAAATTTCAAATGTCAAATATGTGTTTAATAATTCTTCAATAATGTATATAATTAGAGCATTTAACATTTGGAACAAAATCAAAACATGTAAATTGAATTGGTACCATTTCTTTACTTTTATATAGATGATACAGCGTATTTCCCTCCAGAGCCCCTACTGGACGAGTATATTTTGAACTCTGCAGGCATCATGTTTACAGGATGCCGGAAACGTATGAATGTTAAACCATGGGTGTTCGGTCAGGTAATATATTCTCTAAGTTAAAATTGATTGATTGATTGATTGATTGATTGACTGACTGACTGATTGATTGATTGATTGATTGATTGATTGATTGATTGATTGATTGATTGATTCTTTTATTTCCTCCAGGTTCCAATATAGAACTTTTAAAAATGTGAATAATAACAAATTTCAGAAGAATTATTGTTGATATATTTAAAAGTTTAGATATCATTTTGTTTAGAAAATTAAAGAAAGACTTTGTTTAACATTAGAAATATAACGGCATAGCCATTTTAGAAGCATTGCTTATAACTCCTGTTACTGCAATTTATGGACACTTTTAGTGGATTCTGAAAAACTTTTGTGTTCCTTTCCAGTTCAAGAGTAGCATTTCTAAGACAATACACACACGTATTTTAATATTTTAATTGATGAACTTTACATGTACATTACTGATTATCATTCAATTTCAATTTTAGCACTTTTTTGTTGTATTTACATTGTATATGCCCTTTAGTTTGAAAGAATCCGTCTCTTTAAATTCATTTAGGAAACGGCATATTCAATAAGTTTTTCGTCTATTTCAGTTTGAAAGTGGCATTTTAGAAGCTTGTTTATATATAATAAAACGTGGGTTCAATTTTCGCACAACTCAAGCTATGGGTGACCCGGTCGCTGTTACAAGAAACATATCTACGATAGTAAGTGGCTTTCTTGAAAGAGGTCATTTGAGTGTTTTTAACCAAAACCTGCTAGAACCGGAAGTGATTAACCTTTACCATCAGTATAGAACGAGAAGAAGGCTTGCAACTTATTTGTAGGGGCCTACAAGTCTCGAACCTGTTTCCTGTTATAACCTTTGGTGGCAAATGAGAAAACATGGGCGTGACCCCATAAGGGTTCACAATCACGATCCTTGGATTGAGATGCGAATACCACTACCTAAATTATTAATGATATTTAATTTAGTTGTCTGTTAATCAAACCAATTTTCATCATATTGAAATGAAAAGAACACAGTTTCATTTGTATTAAATTTATTTAAATTGTTGAAATTTTAAGCTTGCAATGCGCATGCGTCAATATGTTTGTAAAATGAAAATATATTTTGTTACAGCTGAATGATAATGAAAACAATTGTGGTGTTCTGAGAGGGAAATGGTCAACGAATGATTTCACAGATGGACGCCCTCCAACCACGTGGAGCGGAAGTGTCGCCATTTTGAAACAATATCTGGAAAATGTTCTTGCATGCAAGGGAGATAATGCGGAACCAGTTAAATATGGACAATGTTTTGTCTATGCTGGACTTGTTACAACGAGTATGTTTGTTTATTTGAACTAATTGTATTCCTTTAATTTAAAATATTTAAGATGTACTACCTTTGGCGTTATTTAATTAAAAGGCAATTCTTCGTTTGAATTTTCTAAAGAATGGTTGCAAAATCGGCAACAACTTACTGTTTTTGGTCTACAATGTGCACATTTGCCAAAAGTATTTCAGATATTGATGGAGACAATAGAAATGTATCAATTTGATAGGTTTAAATAAGCATTTTTTAAAGATATATTAATAAGTTTTAAGAATCGTTTTTAGAGTCATTGACACATGAATGGTCAGGTCGCAACTTAAACGTTTAAGCTGGGACTTAAAATTCCGTCCCAGGCTTAAGGATGAATCCATAGCACATAAACTGGCCTTGGTAGAACAACCGGTTTTCAATATGCTAGAAGGCTAGTAAAAAGGAGTTTCTTTTTATTGGGATTCGAACCCACAACAGTGCTAGTGCAAGCGGTTTAACGTAATTTATGTTTTATATACATTGTATTTGGTAATGTATGGTACCATTTAGTTTGTAGGGCAATCGGTATTCCATGTAGATGTGTGACCAGTTATAACTCTGGACGCGGGACGGACGGACGACTGGCTATAGATTTCTACTATGAATTAAAGGAAGACGGATCTATAGAAGAAATGCGTGACGACGATGACGATAGTGACGATCTTGTATGGTGAGAACAAGATAATTGTGTAATACCAGCAATATATTTATATCACATAACAAGTATTCCTGAAGCTAACCATAATGAAATTTGGTGTGGTGTTGGTGGTTTTCACTCCGGATCACGGCAGGTAGCCGCATTGAACTGACCAGAGCACAGTTCAGCCACCGTATCGTTCCTCGGCAGGCTGTCAAACAGTTTACCAGTACAAGATGCCTCTACTTACGCAAGGAAGTGAAACTTCTATTCATGCCAGAGCAGAGGTACAGTGCGAATGACCGTAGAAAAGATTTCATGACCAGTCACAATGAAAGTGACATGCACCGTCCGGGAATCGAACCCAGGTCGCCCAATTCACAGTCCAATGCTATACCTATTGAGCTCACCGGGTGGCCAGTAAAAAGTTTTTATATAGGTCCACATTTCACTATCAACAGATTCATAAAACTAAAAGGTAAATATTTTATTTTCCCTTGATCTAGGAATTTTCACGTATGGAATGACGTATGGATGCGGCGACCGGATGTTGTTAAACCGTGTAATGAACAGGACTGGCAGGCATTAGATGCCACACCACAAACTTCTAGCACAAATGGTTAACTTTACTTTTCTACAAAATACTTGTAAATGTTCTTTGCTATTCTTGTAAACTAACTAATAAGAAAACAAACACAGCAACCGTATCTTATCAAATATTAAACAAGTATTTCGGGCACTTGCAAGTATTTGCAAATATTATACACGGCATCAAAGAAATAAAGTTTACATGTTTATTGTATTTTGTTTTGATTTAAGAAAACTGAATACATTATGAAATATATACATTTTGTCACTTATATGGTACATTTTATGAAATATTTGGGTACATTTTATGAAATATTTGACGGTTAATTCGGCAAAAGGGATTTTATTAAGAAGGTAAGAAGCAATTTATTGGTAATTACAGGTGTTCATAGTTGTGGTCCAGCACCACTTATTGCCGTTAAGAACGGATTACTTGACGTCAAATATGACGTACGTAACGTGTTTGCCGAGATTAACGCTAACGTTGTACACTGGCTGAAAGTGGACATGGGCAACTGGACAGTATTCAATGTAGAGGAGTCCAGGTAAATACAAAAATTGCTAGTTTGTCATTGATCTGAAAATATTATTGGATTTATTACTAGTAGTATCGATAAAAGCCCGAAAACCGTCCGAGTAAGTTTACACATACTGCGTTTTGAGCTTGTTTACTTAAGTTTATTTCAACCACTCTCAAGTCCCTTCCTAGGACAGGTATCATGAGAGGAAACTTGGTTGTGGACCAAGTAGGGCTCGAGCCTATAAACCCTGGGATGTGAGGCTGTCACATTAACCACTAGGTCACCGTTTTGAGAGTTTAAGAAAAACACCACAATTGTTATTTGTCTATCTTCATCACCTGTTGACAACGTTGCTTGACCTAATTCAGTATTTTCATCCTTAAATTTGAGTTTACCATCATATTCAACAACAGATCGTACATCCGTACAGTATATGCTCTGTTCAATAAGATGGAATACTCTTGTCGTATTTTGAACATTTTGCATTTCTCGTCACACCACATTAAACTGTGCATGGCCTAAATATGGCACCATAGTTAAAATTCATATAATAATATGGTATTATAAAGATTGAACACGCTGTTTTGATACTACTGCTGTTGTAACTAACTACCTTATGATATACCATAACATTATCATACCATGTGATGTGAACGTCACCATTTCAGGATAGGTCAATCAATTAGTTCTAAGACCCCGGATGGACGACCAGCAGTGTTATCATACAAGTACAATCTTGCTGAGATGAGTAGAATACAACAAGATATCACCAGTGATTATAAATACAAGAAAGGTAAACCAACTGATAATAAATACAAAAAAGGTAAACCAAGTGATTATAAATACAAGAAAGGTAAACCAACTGATAATAAATACAAGAAAGGTAAACCAAGTGATTATAAATACAAGAAAGGTAAACAAGTGATTATAAATACAAGAAAGGTAAACCAACTGATAATAAATACAAGAAAGGGAAACCAAGTGATTATAAATACAAGAAAGGTAAACCAAGTGATTATAATAATAATAATAATAATAATAATAATAATAATAATAATAAAGACTTTATTTAACGAGAGAACTCATTTGAACAAACAAATCAATCTTCCATGAGGCCCTCAACAAGGAACAATATAAATTTAACATAATCAAACTATTAAAATACATAAATGTAAAACATACAGGAGATTATCAATTTGTATACATCAATGCGTGATAAAACCTCAAGTATAAGGTTTTAAAATGGTTAACAGATGTAGCAGACTTAATATAATCAGGAAGGCCGTTCCAAATACAAGATCCAGAATAAACAAAAGACTTACGAAATTGTTCAGTATTTGGTCTAGGGGTATAAAGTTGAAAATCAGATGATGAACGCAAAATGCGAGTATGAACATCTGACGATAAAATGAAATTATTCAATAAATAGGAAGGCGCCTGATTATTCATTATTTTAAACATCATAATAGCTTTTTGAAAAACAACCCTCTGTGAAAAGGTCATCCAGCGGAGTTCAGAAAAAAGTTCAGCAGATGGAGTGTCATAATCTTTGTCTAGAATTAGTCTTGCAGCTCTCTTTTGGAACTTAATGAGTTTATCTTCTAGAAAAGACGTACAGTTACCGTAAATTATGCAACAATAATCAAGATGTGGTAAAATATATGCATTGTAAAACATTTTACGTACAGGTATAGATATAAATAATTTTATACGTGATAACAATGAGTTACACTTTTTAAGAACATTATCAATATGGCTTTGCCAAGACAAGGTGTTATTAATTGTAATACCCAATAATTTTTCTTCAGAGCTACAAAAAATTTGCTCTGTTTTATATAAAATACAAGGATTACTTTCATGAATATAATTTTGCTTGTGTTTTGAGGAAATATACATGACCTTAGTTTTGTTAACATTGATAGACATGCGATTCAAATCACACCATTTGTTGGCATTTAAAAGATCATGAGTAAGAGATTCAACTACTCTGTTTAGGGATACATCAGAGGTTGAAAGGGTGGTGTCATCAGCAAAAATATCAGTTTCTGTTTTTTCCATGGACAAAGGCAGGTCATTGATATAGATTAACAACAGTATAGGACCTAGCACTGAGCCCTGAGGAACTCCAGTAGTTACTGAACTTGACTCTGAATATAAACCGGATATGTAAGTTTGTTGGATTCTGCAATCTAAATAGGAGGATAACCAAGCAACTGATTAAGGGTCTAGGTTTAACATTCTAAGCTTTTCAATAATAATGCAGTGATCAACATAGTCAAAAGCTATAGAGAAATCAAGAAAAATGAACCAACTATTTCATTTTTGTCAATAGCTGTAATCCAATCATCAATAATTCTTATCAGTGCAGTTTAACATGAATGATTTGACCTGAATCCAGACTGACGTTGGTAAAGAAGTTGATTATTCTCAAGGTATTGCTTTAAATGTGAACTGACATGACGTTCAAGAATAAGTGATATCAAGGGAAGTATGGAGGCCTATAGTTTCTTTTATCACTTTTAGAACCCTTTTTATGTACAGGAATGACTTTTGCATTTTTGAATGATTTAGGAAATGTATTGTTTAATATACTGTTATTGAATATAGTGGTATGTATGGGAGCAATAATGTGGGCCGATAACTTTAGAAACCTTGCACTGAGACCATCTGACCCACATGACTTTGTAATATCAATCGATTTTAATTGGTTAAACACATAAGAGAGCTCTATTTTAGGTATTTTGAAAGGGGGTATATGCTGAAGTTTAGATGCATTTAGTTCAACAAGCTCAGGATTTTCATAACCAGTCTGATTAATGGCATGATGGGATTGGTGGAGATTCGCAAATTGTCTGTTGAATAAATTTGCAGTGATTAAAGGGTCAGAAACCGGGTTGCCATCATCATCATCAATAAAATGTGTTTGGACCTTGAATTTGTAACAAGATAATTCCTTTAGACCAGTCCATAATTTCTTTGGGTTGTATTTGTTTTGATTGATGGTATCATTATAATATTGTCGCTTAGAATCATATATGAGAGACTTAACGTGTTGTTTCCAATATGTTGTAATTATATGTGTCATTAACCTTATGAAACTGGTGTTTTGTTTTAATAGCATCGAGGATGTTTTTATTAATCCAGTTTGGTTGGGTGACCTTCTTTACTCGTTTTTTTCTAGTTGGTGCATGTTTTTCAAGGACAGACAAAAATTTATCAGTGAACATATCTATAGAGTTATCTTGATTTTCTACAGATGCTACTTCTGACCAGGGTTGCTCTGACAATTCGGTTAAAAATCGATTTTCATCAAAGTGTTTAAGAGACCGGAAGGTTATTGTTTTATGCATGGGACCTTTAACACTGATATTTGAAAGTTTGCGTGTAAGACAAATGGGAAAATGGTCACTAATATTATAAATACAAGAAAGGTAAACCAACTGATTATAAATACAAGAAGCAGATTTTTCAATTTTAAGTGCTTTACTTGATATTTGTAACGTTTTCAAATTTTATGTTTTAGTGCCATTAGAGTTCCTTTAAAACGGGACCTATTTTTTCTTTCTTCTTTTCACCAGGAACAAAGATGGAAAGAGAAGTGGTTCAAAGACCAGTTAGAAAAGCAAGACCTATGCATAAATGTAAAGCAAAGGTATAACGGATTTATTTTATACTAATCACTATTGAATTCTTTATTCAGTATTGGATCTTTACTGAACGGGAATGTAGGGTATTTAACTTTTCACTGTCCCTCAATATCCTTTACGGGTGGAGGAAAACCTCAGGTGCAATTCCATTCATTATTTCAGTCACTGATGGGTACCTGAATAGCTATCTCACATGAAAGAATCCAAAATCCCTCATGGGATTCGAACCCACGACGATGAGGGAATAGTTATTTGAAATACTATCCCTTTCAAGAATAGACTTTCTGGCAATATTATTTGACATAATCGCCCATAGTTTTACGGTGCTGAATAATAATAAATATATTTATTTTATGTGTTTTTTATAAAGTTTTATGGAAGTAAATGAATGCACTTTTAATCTTACAGGATATACAATTTCGTCTGGACGATAAAGAATTTGAGTATATCGGTGACGACTTCAACGTAAAGGCAACTATAACAAGTTACGCTATGGACGAACGTACGGTCCAAGTCATGTTACTGTGTGAGAGCGTTCACTATAATGGCAGACGACATCAATGTATAAAACAAAAACAATGGACGCTAACTATTCCACCGGGAGAGAGTATGTTTTTGTTTTTTGCTTTTTTAACTCTTAGTGTGCTGGAACTGGAAGTGGTTAGTCTTTTCCACCAGCATAGAGCCGACCAGCCTGATTATGGAATATGCACAGACTCTGTACCGTTAATTGTTATTTATTTGTATTTAGATATTTAGATTCCTTAAACTTGGAATGGACTAATTCCACATTCAAAGCAGATAAAAACGATGAAACGGATTCAACAGGAAAAAACGGCCTTCAGCTTTTGAAAGGTTCAATATGTTATTTAATAAAATTGTTTCATTAAATTTTCAATTGAAAAGAATGAAGGTGTCAAATGAATTTTTTCGTCGATAAAATACGTAAACAATAAGGAAACCCCTCGATGCCTCCAATCTACCGGTCCGCTCTCCAACAGTAACCAGAGAAGGTCAGGTAAGTCCCTTGTCAGATTGTCTGACCTAATGTTATGGTTAAAAAATGTACCTTAAATTACAGGTGAGCAGTTACAACTAGGTATATATGAAAGCGATTATCTAGGTAAACTAGCAGAACATACTTGTATGAGACAAGTGGGATACCTCAGGGTGGAGGAAACAGACCAGATAGAAGCATGTGTGGACGATTTTCTTCTACAAAAACCTCATTTAGAAATGTCAGTAAGTATCGTGCGACTTTTCTTTTATTTATAGAATTTGCTTGACGTCATATTGTGATGATATGTCTATGATGAGCATAGTATATCTTTAAAGACAGTGTTCTTTTCCAGTGCATTACTTCTTGATAAACTGTAACACTGCCTTGCCTAATGTCATTATGTTCGATTTTGAATTGCGCTGGTGGAATAATTATTTCTGTGTTTCATTAAATGCAATGTTATTTTTTTCAACTTAGGTAGAAGAAACGGTCTATAAGAGATCAAACTTTCCTCTGAAGTTATTCTTTAAAAATCCACTTCACAAGACGTTGAAAAACTGTACAGTCAGTGTGGAGGGTGTTGGTCTCGAGTCCATGATGTTCATCAAAAAATTTGAGTTCGTGATCCTCTGTTATTATAAAGTGTTCAATATTTTAATTATTTAATATCTTAGAAAGATTTTAAGCTTAAAGTTAATATACTTTAATGACGATTTATAACGAGGATAGTGCAGATGTATGACAACTCCTACATTTGTATAAAGTTCTAAGTACTCTGACAAGCAAATTGGAGTATCAAGGTATCAACTTATTTAAATTTACAGTGTAAAATAAAATAAACGTATTCTTTTAAAAAATACTAGATCACTGATCTACCATTTTCAGTTATGTGTTGAACTATTCTTTTCAGTAATGTTCCAGCACAATGCGAATGGACGGGAATTGTAAATTTGATGCCAGTAAAGAGTAAAAACTTGGACATATCTGCTACGTTTCACTGTAGGGAAATGTTTGATATTATTGGTGCATTAGTAATCAAGGTTGAACCCGAACGCAAGGAAGAAATTGACGTTCTTAACGGAAGTATTCCAAGTGAGGCAACCGGAAGTGTAACAATTCCTAATATGTCAACGACAACTTCAAGAGTATCATTTTCGACTTGAAAAAAACATACAAAGATAAAGAAATAAAATTCATAAATAACTGTATAACGTATACATGTACGCCAGCCCTATGGCATGCATATCAACCAGGTTTCGCGATCTACAAAACTATAGAGGTCGAACCTTATTTCCTTTGCAATTAGTATTCACAAAATAAACACAAACTCTTTATGACGGAAGGGTGACGGAAAGTTGCGAGTTGCGAAAAACTTACTCAAGTTGACAATAACTTTCAAAGATTAAAATATCACAAATGCAACATTTCAGTCCGTTCCGTCAAACTTCAGATAAGGGTTTTTTTCCGAGATGATTATCTATCACCGACAGGGTGTTCAGAGTGAAATTTTTAAAGGAAACGTGTATACTTTTTATGTTTATATCATTATTGCAATGAAATACATGATTATTTGTTTTGAATGAATGACTGTCAAGAGAGATTTATTTTTTTTATTGCCTATTTAAAAGCTGTATCAGTTACAATGTATGTGTAAACACATGAAAAAACAGTGTGTAATAAAAGCTATCATAAATAATTTAATATCAAACCATCATCGTACATATCCATTAACAAGCTAAAACTACGAATGTAAAAATTCTTCACAGTTTTGCTCCTGATTTAAGAATATCTGCCGCAAGTCTGGCGGCATAAACAGATGTGCCCCATGACAAACCAATTCCCTGTGAGCTATGTCCGTAATTGTGAACAACCTGTGAATAAAGTACCACAGCTAAACCAAATTTAAGATCCAATAATGATATTAAAGCTGCACGCTTCCAGATTCTTATCTAAAAAAAGATCTGAGGAAAAAAATGTTATCAACTGTACACAATAAGTGATTTAACCTAGCACAAGACACTTGCTATTCAAATAAGTACGCAATTTATCAAATTATTATCAAGTGGAATAAAATTTAGGGATACATAAAACTGTATTCATAGGAAAAGGATGCCCCCAAATACCACGGTTTGGTTAGTTATATTGTGTGCTTGTATTGTTGTGTTTAAAGTCTTACTGACACTGTTGAGATCAGCTTTACTCCTCAGGTGCCCACTCAGCCATATTCAGCCACGGACGGGCACCTGAGTAGAACCATCGACGTTCCGTAAGCTAGCTAGGTAGCTTCCTCACATGAGTTGGAGTATAAATATAGTCAATTATGTTATACGTAGTCACATTGTCATACGGATTGAGTAAAGTAACACATTTCATAAACTGTAGATATATTTTTCTTCAGTTTGATTATTTCGAAGATTTAAATCATTAACCCGGAAGCATGTCGCTTTAAATCTAGAATACATCACTGTTAAACAGTTTATAAGCCCAAGCTTAGAAAAAAGTTTGTTTAAATACTCATGTTTTTACTGTATGCTTTTGGCTTCCTAATAAATAGATCTTTAAAATAAAATAAAATCTACACGATCATTATCTTTCACATACATATGAAAAAAATTGTTAACTTACCGGAAGTCGTTTACCTCCAAAATGCATAATTTCCGGTTCAAGTCGAACTCTGTCCCTTCCAGGTCTCAATCCAACCCACTCGCTTTCCACGACTGCTCCCTGAAAAAAATCATCTACACGTTATAATGATGTACTAATATCATGAACGAACCAGTAAGGAAGCAAGAAGATGAAATTGGCAGAAGCAATGGCGTTATAGCTGTGAAGAATGGGGCTAAATGCTATGCTAACAATTCATGGTAGACGGCTTTACTGTTTCAAGTTATGGTACAATGTTATACTTTAAAGTTACTGTATAATTTTACTATAAGTATCTTAATTTCGGTTCTAAGGCGTCACTGTCAATTGAAGATAGAATAGACCTTACTTTAATGTTAGGACACAATTTTTCTACGCCCTCCATAATTGCCTTCGTATCACGCGGGTCTACTTCCAAGCTTGTGTTCCCGACTTGTTTTACTCCCCCTAGTCTAACAAGATCCTCCCTGAAGGTACAAATGTACAAGTCTAGTTGTTTTACGCACCAATCAACTTTACCTCGGACCAACTATCGTGGTAGAGCAGGGTAAAATAAGCCGACTTCTACCGTTTATGTCATTAGGCACTTCGTGGTCAATGAAGTGGTTTTGTTTCGGCGCTTGATTGTTCCCACAGCGGGGATTTGAAAATCTAATTGTCAAAGTCCAATGTAAACTCTAATTTATTGGAATCCCTTGGATCAAACTAAAATTTTCATATAAATTTACCTTAAAATCAAGTAGATAACCTTTAATGACATCCAAGGTGTTGTGAGCTCATTCGCAACTTTTCGGCCCTTTCCGTAAGTCTTAAGTTATTATAGATAATAACCGAGGATGTTCTGATTGAGCGTTAACTTATATAGAGCTATCTGAGAGAATTGACCCTCGATAAAAAATATTGTTATATCGCCTCAACTCTTTTAAAAGGAAGATAGTATTGTGGAAATATACCGTAGAGTTAAGACCTTTTTAAGCATAACTCATTTGAAATATATGTGTAGACAAATGTCAGTAAAAGGAGAGGCGTTAAAGCTATAACAAAATGGCCGAAAATCTCCGATTAACTAAAATTGCAATGTATTTACCCGGGTATAATGTAAGAATGGCCATCTGTGAGAAACCAATGCTTTATCCAAGGTGCCCGTACCTGAAATAAGCTTAACAATTTATCAAGTAAACATTGTCATCGCAATTGATTGATCACTATGGCACACCACAACTTTTCCGCGCAAAGTCAAAATACCTTACTTCTGACCAAGACACCGTATCTTTTTGTCATACAAAATGGATGTCAAGACTGCATACGACAAGAAAACAGATGATAATTTGCCAAAAACATCGAATTTTTCATTCCATCAAATGTGTCATTTAATTTGAAGCTTATTACTCTTTAGTACATGCTAAATGCTTCACTATCTAAGTCAAGATAGTGAAACAGTTGGGGCAAACTGTGAAAAATAGTTCTTTAATTGCGAAATTTAAAACTTTCTAGTACGTTTAGTTCATATAAATCATCGAAATACAATATAGATATGAAAGTTATTTTCGTTTGAACAATTTACACCATTTTGATAACCTCTTTTTTGTATATATGGTATTATTTTCATGTTTCCATGTGCATATTCTAGGCACCGTACAACTTGAACAGACACCGCATTATTCGTCATTAAATCACTGTATTTATTTTCTTTTCTTTTTTTCCAGTAATGTCGATCGACGAGAGATATTTACATTTTGGGTTTAAATACATTTGAAGAAATTCGAATATATATATATATATATATATATATATATATATATATATATATATATATATATATATATATAAAATCAACTTACTAATCTATTGAAACCATTGCACTTATCTAACTGGTATTTTTGAATTCGTCCTTCAAGTCTTCCATAAAATAACATTTTATTGAAAAAATAGGAAGTGAACAGTCTTCCTTCAAATAAAACATATTTGTAAGTAGATATGTAAGTTTGCAAAGGAAAACAATGCCAGTTATAATCAGTCTAACGGTATAAAATGCGGTGTTAGAAATCACTGTTGTGCGGTGCTCCAATATGCATCTCAAATTGACTTTTTGCATCACATTTTCCAAAAATTTACAATAGAAACACACCCTTTTTTGTGGAACTTTTTATGCTTAACCATTATATATATACGGGCTCGTCAGGTCATAGCAAAAACACATCGTCGTTAAAGCTACAGAAAATACTTCCCTTTCTATCTTCTTTTACTTGCTACCATATACAAGTTTTACTGAGTTTTAGTAGAAAGATGTCGATCATTATGAAGTAAATGTCGAGGTCAGTTGACAAAAAATAAAGGGGAATAATCTTGTGGATTGGGAAACGTTTTTACTTTCATGGACACCGTAGACAATGAACACCGACATGTAAAATTCTAGAATTATTTTAATAGAATATTATTTAGATAGATCTAGGCACAATTTACTTTTGTCATCGGGCTAATCGCATGACTCTTCCTTGTCTCTGGCTGAATGTCGTGCTTAATAAGCTCATGTAGCAATGCTATTCTTTCCTTACTTAGTCGGTACTTCTCCCAAACCTCCTTCTCTGTCAAAATTTCAAACCAATTACGTCTCTCCCTAGAAATTCTCGCCGTTCTTCTTCGCCGCGTTCTTCCTAACAAAATGTCGGCCATATTTACGTAAATTTTAAGTCAGGAAAATTTGAGCGTAACTTTACGTAAAAACTTACGAAATTTGTACTTACGCATTTTTTTATTGAAACGCCTTTACGTAAAAAAATCGTACGTAAGTAAACACTTACGCAAATCTTAGGCGTAAGTACGTTAGTAAAACGCTGCCCAGGTTTTTGCGATAAGTACAAGTCATATTGAGGTCGACCTGACCTTTTGTAAACACTATTTCTTCGAAATATGTGATGTTCTGCAAATTGTGTTGTGCTAGATTAACGATGAAATGTTTCAAAAATTCGATGGAATAATTAAAAAGTTGAAAAAAGTTTGCAATATCTAACAGTAAGGTATTTTATAAGCTATTTCCTACAATTCGATTAGCCCGCCATAACTATTTTGTCCAGAAAGATACGGTGTCTCGGGCAGAAGTATGATATTTTGACGAACGCGCGGAAAAGTTGTGGTAATCGCCCTATCGCCGTGGTTGGTGGCTGATTTAGAACACTTTTTGGCGTCGTGTTGTTGCTAGCGATAGTAACGGTACGTTGCGCACTGTCGTCTAGTCGTTCTGTCGTTAACGATGCACACCAAACGGCTCGAATCAAAGAATTTCCTAGATATATAAGCCAAACGACAGGGCGACATCGCAACAACGCGCAGCACAACAATGCGCCGATTGGCGTGCTTCGCTCACGACATGACGACAGTGCGACAACGCGCCGTCTGACGTGTTTTGCTAGCGACAATGCAACGCGCAAAGTGTACCAAATCAGCCACAACAGACTACACTTTGAATAAGAAAGAATTGTCAGTTTTACAGTATAAAAATTAAATCGAATTATTCATAAAATAAAATCAAGTTTACCCTGACAATGTGTCCCCTGACCGGATACGCTCGATTGTCATTAACCAACTGCGCGCTACTTGGTCCGCAACAGTTCATCACTATGTCGTATTGGCCTGAAAGCTAATCAAATAAGGTTATTATAAGAGTAGTGTATACGCTTATAGCTATAAGCTTATTGAAACACTCTCGAATCTGTTCCTGGAACCAAACAGTCTTGGGCAATAAATGTAAAGTTTCTTGCACAAGGAAACAACGGCTTGGCCCTGACAGGGTTTGAACCCACGCGGTAAGGAATCCTAGATTACTAGCCCAAAGTCACCGTAGAGTTGTAGTACAAATGCCTCGTAAGGTCGCATATAAATGCCGTAAGAACGCCATAAATTTGGATTTGGATTCACACGATCAAGCATCTAAGTTACATCTTTTATCCACTGTGTGTTCGAACATATCATTCTGGTGATAGAGTTTTTTTAATGTATACATTATTTTTTAAATCACAGTCACCATGAACAGGGAGTTTTGTATTCAAATTAAAAAGTACATTTTTAACATTCATAAAGATAGTCAAAACTTATTTTGCTATCTTTAATAATAATGATAATAATGATAATAATAATAATAATAATTATTATTATAATAAAAATAATAATAATAATAATTACCTCCCCAAGACTGTTAAGATGTCTTTTCTCAATTTTCCCGCCATTTTCTTCAAATCTGTGTTAGAACAAATATATTTTTTTCTTTATTATAATTTGATGTTGCTCACTATGTCCAAACATGTATTCGTTTCTACATTTTATAATGGTTAAAGGAAGGCCAGTTGTTAATGTTGCTAGAACTTGTTGTTCAACCCTTTACCCGTTGTTAATATTGATGTTATGTGTATAATAATGTTTATCAATTGTATTTAAAGAACAGCCATTACTGGCTAACATACATATGTGTTAGTTTGTTACCTTTTTCGAAGCCAGATTAAATATTTCCTCATGAAAATGATAATAGTAGTGACACGGAATCCGGTTCTGAAATAAAAAGAAAATATATTTAATAGGAAACTTAATACCACAAAAGAACTTCATTATATACGTATTTTCAATCTTATATTCAAGAAAATAAAAAATTGTTAACAATATTTTCGTAAATAAAAAGTTCACCTGCATAATTAGTATTGCATTATATTATAAATAAAGTTCCACGCCTCAAGGTGATAAGAAAGCAAGTCATGTAACTGTTTCTGCGTGTTTTGGAAATATGACTATATGAACTACTTGAGTACAATATCTTTGAGACATAACATTTATTTTGTTAATGTTCGAAATTTATTTCGATCTCTCTCTAACTATATAATATACAAATGTATATAAATAGCAAGAGTTTTGATTCTGAAGTTATGGTGCTTTAATTGAAATCAGAAATTCATTCCAACCTGAATTGCTGAAATCCTAAATCTGTAAGTTCTGACCTTGATAGTTCTTCAGTGCTGAATACAAACTCTTTGTACAGGGGATCCTGTGTACGACAAAAATTATATTATAAATGGTATAAATATATTTTGTATGTTGACCGCAAACTGGCGGAAAGTGATTTACAGTTACATTATAGAAATAATTTATTAAGAAATTAACTATGTATACATGTTTTAGATTATTGTCAGCGTTCCTGAATGGCGACATATACAATTTAAAAGATTTGACAATATATATTTTTTTTTAATTTTACCCCGACATCGCCTGCCCAATCAAAACGAACAGAGAATTTAATACCACGTGGAAACAAAATCACCGTGGGTTAGCAACTTTGGTCATGTGACCACAAAAGTCAACGTACACGGCCAAGGTAAGTATTTTAGTGATCATTTTTCTGTCCAGCCGATTTAAATAATGCTACATAGCCTACCGACTGCGGCAGTTCCGATGTTTTCTAAAAGTGTCTTTAGTTTCGTCTAACGTTTTGTATTTTATGAGAACATTCAAACAATATTTGCAAATTGTCGATGACAACGTACACACTATTGTGTAAAAGTGTTGATGAAAATTTAATAAACGATATGCATGTCAGTTCTAAGTAAAATTTCAGGTCTTAAAATATATAAGAGTGTAAGAGAATGTTTAATGAAAAAAAAAAGAACTGGTTTCCTGTTGTATTTTTTTTATTTATTTAAAAATTGACCAACTTACAGAAATGTCAACGTACACATACTGTCTAGATAGTGTCAACGTACACACTCCCAATTCAGTTTGAAAGTGGTCTGAACATGATGCTGCATTTTCGAAATAGGTGGCTTTTTCCAACAAAAAGTTGGCTTTCAATTTAGATTGCCCTCTCAAACTGTATATAATTACTATTTTTTTACAAAGGAAATAGTTAAGAGTGCATTTATTTCATCGCAAATAACCTTTAACATTTTTTATGTTATTTATTTATACTTTTGTTTTTAGAAGACAAATTTCCAGTTACTCAGACTGCTTAATGATTAGCTGAAATAGCCGTTTTTATATTTATACTGGATTAATATAGGTACACTTACAGCCAGGATAAGGGTCTCTTGCTCAACCAACTAGTGCCTTCCGTAGCAGCAAAAAGGGTCCAAGGTTGACGATGACGCCGAGTTACAATTTTATATTACCGGTTTTCAGCAGTTGCGTCACTTGATCCCATGATTACATCACTAATGTCCTGTTTACATTATAATTTCAAGAATATATCTACTTGCACGTGTTATGTAAAAAATATCTTATAAACAATTCACCATTTTATAGGTTGGTTAAGGCAACCAATTACACACCGTATTACCGGCGGCAGTGATGGCAGATCACTGCAGTTATGGCAGATATCTGAAAATTACCGATCGATACAGGTAGGTTATAAATTTGGTTGGTTTAATTATATTACACAAATACGGCCCCATTTCATTGCTATAAAACTTTTGTCCATTGAATGGAAATACTGTGGAGGTAATTTTGGACTCGTTTTTACCTGTTTTAAGACAATTTTGAGCAGGTTAAAAGAGACAGCCTCGGAAAAATCCGTGAAAATGTCTGTTTTCTGTTCAAAATGTCTCAAGTTTGAAGTAAATGGCAGGATTTCCTGTTATCAACATAGACGTTCATCCATTGGGGTCACGCAAGCCAAATATTTACCCCGTGAGCCTTTTCTTGAAAGTTTTACAGACGCTCAATCTTGTTCGGTCGAAGAAAAATGCTGCCGTTGTAGGCAGACACATATTATAAATGCTGCCGTCGATGGCAGAAATACCATGAAAGTGGCTAACATTCTGACAGAAAATCAAGTTCAATGTTTTATCAATTCCTCTTTTCTTTGCGTCCTATAAGTCGGAATTGAGACGTTTAACTACCATTTCTAATATTTTCTCAAGAAAGAAAAGTTATTTTTGCGGTATGTGCATCGAAAAACAATTGTATCATAGTTTGGAGACCTTTCTGTTGAAAATGTGTCAGGGTTAAATCGTATACATATACATGCACAGTGCGTTAACTGGAGTGCGGGTATTAGTTACCCGCACTCCAGAGCATGCCCATTGATTGGCACATTTTTGCTGGGGTTTACATATTGTGACGGCAGAGAAAGGGAAAGCGACAGAAATGTCATATTCAGATGTTCGTTTATTGGTTCATTTTTTTCGGGGTTTCATATTGTGACAACAGGGAACGTGCTTTTTTGTTTGAATATGAGACAAAAGAGAAAGAACACCAAAACACTCGGCAATCTGATTAATACTCCCCCTCGTACAAATCACATAGCTTCGTGTTTTGGTGCTTTTTCTATTACTTAATGGCGAATTGTGGCAATAACATAACTAGTGCAAGAAGGTGTGTTATTGAAAATCTCATGTTAATAGAACGTTCGTGGTGTAATCATAGGGTTCAAGTGATATAACTGCTGAAATAATTCCTATAAAATAGTCACTAGGCGTCATTGTCAGCCATTGGCAACTTTTGTTGCTACAGAAGGCACTAGTTTGGTTAAGCAAGAGACGCTTATCCTGGCTGTTTACGTTATTTAATGACTGTAAAATGATCTAGATAAATACAGTATACAATTGCTGTTTCAGCAAATCATTAAGCAGTCTGAGTAACTGGATTTTTTTTCTTCTAAAGAAAAACACAAAACAACAAATAGATTATTTAAAAAAGATACATTATAAAAAAGTTAAAGGTTGTTTAAGCTTATTTGTGATGACATGAATGCACTTGCAACTTTCTTTGTATAAACCTGCACTTATATACAGTTTGAAAGGGCAATCTAAATAGAAAGCCAACGAGCTTTTTGTTAGAAAAAGCCACCTACTCCGAAGTTGCAACCTCATATTCAGACCACTTTCAAACTAAATTGGGTGTGTGTACGTTGACATATTCTAGACTGTATGTGTACGTTGACATTTCTGTTGGTCAATTTTTAAATAAATACAAAAAATGACAACAGGAAACCAGTGAACGGCGATACATAGCATATTTTGGAAATGCTAATACTTGTAAATATCTATTGTCTACCGAAACGAAAGCGTTATTAACGTTTCCTTTAAAGTTTTGGTCAAACAAAAGGAAAACATATCAACTATTTCTAACTATTGTTTAAGATTGCCAAACTTATAGCTTAGACAGATGTGGGTGGTGACCATATGTTTTCACCTTTGGATGTAATTTTTGATCAACTAGATCATATCCACTCATTATGATTGTTCCGATTTCACTGGCTTCCGGGCTCAATGATAACTTCCGGTAAAAATTCCAAGATTCTCGACACCAGTTTCTACAACAAAGAAACAAATATTTAGGCTGAAATTAAGGTGGGAAATCTCCACGAAATGAGCTGTTTCTAGACAATCGGGTTCCTCTTTCCTAATACAAGAAAAGAATTAGATACAACAAATTGAAAGGCTGAACTAAATCGTGGCGCAAACCAAAGGAAGCATATTTAATGTCCGCGTATGTGCTTTTCAAACCGGATGAGTAAATGTTATGAGGCCCGTCCAGAAGAAATAAGTTGTTAGGAATTATAGAATGACATTGTTACTTGCAAACTCCTCACAGTGATTACCTCCCTTGGCAGAATTGTAATCACTGCCTTCAAAGACGTCACATGATGATGAAAGTCACATGACGTAACGTCGAAATTCAAATGTAAATATCAACCGTTACAAAGAAAATCTAACATTATTTTTCTCTTTCTGTTTTATTTTTAACTTTAAGTGCCTACGTTCGATATAGATTATCAAAAAATTATCGAAAGTATACAAAATAACGAAAAATAAATTCAAAAGCTAAAAAATATAAAATATCAAAATATCGTGTCATATTTTTTAAAATTAGTTCTAAATATTCATTTTATTTATTTATTTATTCATAAACATTGTTAAATAAATGAGAGAAAACTTATCTGATAGATAAAAGCAGTAGATAAAACAATTTTTGAAAAAATATAGTATATCAGAAATTCTGATATATCGGGACCTTGGTGGCAGAGATCTACGCCGAAGAATTAAGGGGAGATCACTGTGTGGAGATTGTGTTACTTGTTGCAAAGAAAGAAAATAATGAATGAAAATTAGAAATATATGGGAAAATGAATATGACGATTATATAGGACATATGTACACAAATGAAATATTCTAACACTCACGTGATTTTGTCACTATAGACAAAGAAGGAAAAAACTGGTGTTAAACAGCAAATAAACACCGGTAATGGACTACTTGTATATGAGCTGCTATGTTTTCACCCTCGATTGTTTAGTTTACAAAGCATTTTAAAGCAACAATAAAAAGCATTTTTGTTTATATTTTCAGTTCGTATAATGTTTTCTTTTCATACAATACCGAAATAATATCTCACATACACTAACGCCACATATTAGATCCATATCAGTTAATGAATATTTTGACTCCGTAAGCAGCGTAATGACGTCATCCTAAAGCCCGTCTCACACAAAACACGGTTGGGCACACGGTTCCCGTACTCGGTTATACACGGATTGGCTGGTACGAGTATTAAGCTCCAACCGTGCCTGGGGATTAGTTGGCACGAGTTAAACTAAATGTAGCACGAGCATGTACGAATAAAGGACGGATATACTCGGTCAAGCAAGGTTTGAACACGATTTGCATTCGAATACATACGATTGTTGCACGGTTCCAAATACGGCCCAGTACGGCCTGGTACGATTAATCACGACTTTTACTCGACTTGCTCGACTTTCACAGGGTTTACATAGGGTCCCGTCGACTTTTGTTCGAGTTGTACTCGAATTATCAATTATTTGTGTATGCTTTGATATAAATTGACCCATTCTGATGGCTTGTCTTATAAATTTTCGAACTTTTAACGAGGAACACCTATATAGGTGAATATTGGTTATATAAAACAATGCCAGATGCAACAGATGACAGAATAAGGGAATTAGAAATTATGATAAGCCTGACAGACATTGGTGGGTCCCCCTGCTCATCCGGCTCGACAGGGGCAGAAGGTTGGAGTGGTCGGCAGGCCTGGGTGGCCCTTCTTGCATTCCTTCTGTGCGTGGGAACCTTGTTTTTTGGATACATTCTAGTATGATGCAGCAAGTGCTCTAGGTAGATCTAGAATTAGGTGTGGCAGCAGGTAGTTGTGGTTTTCGTTGTACAGTTCATGCTGATATAGAGGCTGTGTGAGACCGTATACGAGGCCGTGTGAGACCGTGTATACCCGTACTATACCGTGTAGGCCATGTATGATTCGTACTTGAACCGTATTGGTCGTATGGCGATCGTATGAAACCGTATGTGCACTCGAGAGAATCGTACCGTGATCGTGTGACATTCGGATGTTAATCGGATGTTGGGTGTAGGACTTGGGGACGGTCTCGAACGATTCCATACGATTTATATACGATCGTGGCACGGTTGGGCTCACTCGTGGAGTGGACTTCAAATACGGTTGTATATACGATCTCATACGGTCTCACACGGTCTCTTACGGTCTTGTTCGATCGTTTATACGATCATACACGGACATTACATCCGTACCAGTTTTTTAAAAGTTTTAAAAATCTTACACGGCTTACACGGATACACTCGAATGGCCCGAGTGTCACTCGGTTAAACTCACGGTTAGTTCGGTTGTTTGTACGGTTTACACGGGTGATCAACCGTATAAGCCGTGTGTTCTGTGTGAGATGCGCTTAAGTAAACAACTCATTCATAAACAAGCTGACGTTATTTCATACAATTAAATGGGGCAGTGGTGTAAACACAATACGACGTAAGTTTTTATTGTTGAAAACTTGATAAAATAACGTTTTTTTTCTAACTAGTTGTTTTGTTTAATAATTTCTATATGTTTGAAACAGTAAGGTGCGAAAATCGTTTTTTTTTGTATCTTTTTTTGCGATTGTATGTATGTTTTGTATGTATGTAGGAAAAAAGTATCTTTTTTAATGTCTGTGTGTATGTTTGTGTATGTATATTTTCTCTGACATTTTCTTTGTTGTTTTTTTTCTGTCTCTCTTTCCTTATTTTTACACCAAATAATGTTAAATATTTTTGAATATACTTCAAAACGCCTTCTTTTTTCATTATCCCTTTCTCCAAATAATGTTAAAATGTCTTTGAATATACATGTACTTTAAATTTTCAGTCCCTTTATCTGAAATACTCTTTCTATTATTCCAAATGAATAAATATATAGTAGAAATATGGAGTAAATGGATGTCTTTCATACTTATGTAGTTTTGTTTTTTTAGTTTTTTTTTTGTTTTTGAAATTATAGGTATGAGTCTATGAATTGTATGTTAATATGTATGTTTGTATTGTTATACTACAAATATCAAATAAATGAAAAAAAAAAGGTGCGAAAATCGAACAGAGTTATACAAAAATCGGCACCGGAAGTAAATTACGCTTGAAAAATAACATTACTATAGTGATTTTTCCTTATTTCATCGTGTTACAATCGAAATAACATCGGTCTGAGAGCAATCTCCTACGCAGTGATCTCCCCTTACCAGTACAGAGATCTCTGTCATCACAAACATTGAAACACAAACACTGAAAAATCAAAATTTTGATATTTATGTTTTTTAGCTTTTTAATCTATTTTTCATTATTTTGTATACTTTTGATAATGTTTTGATAAAATATAACGGACATAGTTACAAAAAGTTAAAAATAAAACAGAAAGAGAAAAATGACGTTAAATTTTTCTATGTAACGGATGATATTTTCATTTAAATTTCGACGTTACGTCATGTGACTTTCATCATCATGTGACGTCTGTGAAGTTTATAAAGGGAGGTAATCACTGTGAGGAGTTTGGTCTGAGAGGTGTATATCGGCTATTTAACACCGGTTTGGAGTTTTGATTCGTAGGAATTGACTACGTGGTCAATTCCTACGCATCAAAAACTCCAATCCGGTGTAAAATATAACCGATATATATACACCTCTAAGGCCGATGTTATTTCTTAAACAAACTGACAAAAACTACAGTGTATATTTGAACGAGCAATTATTATACATGTCGGTATACCGGTATTACCCGCGTGACACTAGCAAGAAAACTTATTCATTTGATATAAGAAAGGCGAAACCGGTTCTGGCCGTGAACGTAACCTTGATACAATTTGAAATTTATAGAGCGTTTTAACATCTGCAGAGCGGACAACAACAGTATTACTTCTTGCCAAACGAAAAACTGATTTCTTCTTGCCCAAAGAAAAAGTTAATATTAAATTTAACCTGTCTAGAGTAACACATCTCAACAACACCAGAATCTTTGTCTCCCGAAGGGTGCTGCTCCGCAGACGTTGTGACTTTTCAATTGTTTTCGTTTAACTTTTCTTAAATCAGTTTATTTTCATCTGCATGTAATGTTGGGTTAAGTTTTAATATTTTCATAAAAATACGATTTCGCATTTTGTAATATTTTACTGTTCCTCAAATTTCAAATCAACACTCACTTGATTTAATGGAAAGAATAAAATCTGTATTGTTGTTGTTGTAGTTATGGGTGCAGCTTTAAAGAAAGAGAAGATTACCTGAGATCTTCGATGGATTCATTAGGGAGAGACGTGATAGATGGTATAAACATTCCGCCACTCCCATAACTTGTCGTACCCTCGTACAATTTGTCGGCAATCACCGTGACTCGTGCACCGGGAATTGTCGTCTGCACGTTGATTGCAGTGGACAGTCCTATCACACCGGCCCCAACGACAGCAACGTCTGTAGTCATACTTCAGTAAGCAAGCCCCCGATGGAGCAATATACCTTAAAATCAAAATCAAGTTTTTGACTCTCACACGTGTAGTTTTCTGTACGCGAGTGTTTCGTGCAACCCGACATTCCATAGCGTAACTCCGCCATCCAGCCTCTCAAGTGTTGTGTCACGATCATTGAATAAAAGAAAGGCGATAATTAAGTCTTAATAAAGTAAAGATTGCAGACTCAAGATTGCAATCTTTACTTTATTGAGACTTTATGGTATACTTTGATGGTATATTTTTTCATATTGTTTGAAAACCATTTTTAACGTTATAATAGATGTCCCATTCGTGTTTTAATAATAAAATAGTTTTGATAGAGTGTTTACAGGGGTGTGTAACGTTGGAGGCCAGCACCTGACCCCTAAGCGTCTGTGGTATTTTCGCTGGACGTCGGACGAAAACACGAAAGTACAACATAGCCATTACTTTGTCGTTTTGTTTTTTTTCAGCTCGCGGTGCGCCATGCAGGCGAAAACACGAAAATACGATGTCACCGCATCTTCTTAGCTTGCGCCCCGCGGAGCGAAAGTACGACAAAGTCGTCAATTTGTCGTATTTTCATGTTTTGGTCTGAAGCCCCGTGGAGCGAAAAAACGACATGGCACGTATCAGCCACCATACCGAATAGATATTGAGTTATCTCATGTATGGGTAATAGCTTTGCATTTACACTTAGCATGATTCTGACACAACAGAGTAAAACTTCAAACAAGAGTATATCAGAATCTCATATATATGCATCAAAGTATTTTGGTTTATCTCGAGATCTGTTGTAGAGAAAAGTTTGCTGAGCAAGGAGTGTGTTTTTCTTTTTGTAGAAAAATTGATACCTTCCTCACATGATGGAATGCAAAACACCTTTTTTTGGAATCGAACCTTTCAGTGTGCAACCTTAACCACTACGTCACAGATGTCTCATGAAGATGTATACCAAATATATTATTCACAATATTGTAAAATATAACCTTTAATATAATTAGATTACAACATAAACTTGAACAAATAACATAAAATGTCATCGTCATCAGTACCCACGTGTTCTTCTTAAAATACCTTCATTTTCTTCACACATATGACACACATATAAACCCATCATTCGTTATCGTAGTAAAATGAATTTCTTATACATGTCATTTATCAGTTATCAGTGAATTTATGTAAACTCATGTTTACTATACTGACGGAAAACTACAATAAACCAAGTTATATTACACAATTTAACTTGTAATATACGTGTTTATTTGCGTTATGCACAGAAATGCTCACATACAGTAAGCTAAGTCTTGTATGCGGGTGCAACCCAACTCTGCCAATAGTGCAAACCGCATCGCTCCTTTTTTTATTCTAAACGAATAGTATATAGGAATATAAAAGGTATACGTATATGTGACAAAAATAACGAAATAAACTTACTTTCGTGAGCAAATTATACTGTCCTGTATTTATAGAGCGCCGGGTATACTTCATTTAATCATTTCATGCATCATACACAAACAGATAGATATAACTAAAATGTTCATATAAACCTACCTGACATACACATAGTTATACTGCTGCGACACGGGGTGCACTTCAGTGCAAAACAAGAGGACCATGATGCTCTATATCGCTCACCTAAATAACAAAGGACCGATACTATTGATAAAAAGCAGTCATTATGTCAAATTCTGGGTCAATTGATATCAAAGATAAGTTCAAAGGGTCAAATATATATAATATATGAAAAAGTAAATATGCTAATAAGCCAAAATTTCGTGACTGACATAAAAATGTGCATCCAAATTTGATAGTTGTAATTTAAAATGCAAAATGTTACTGGGCCATGACCCCCATGGACCAATTTTAACCCAACTATAATTTGAATAAACCTGCTAGAGGTCTTCTATACGATTGTACATGCAAAATATCTTAGTTATAAACTTTGCGGTTTCCGAGGAGAAGCTTTTTGGGAGCTTTAGTATCATTTAAGGAGATTTTATGACCCTCTGGGGTCATTTATGACCTATTAAGACTTTAACTTGAATACACGTGGTGGAAGAGGACCATTAGCCAACGTTTCATACCAAATATTAAAGCTTTAGCATGTGTGGATTTAGGGGAAAAGAATATTTTTAGTTTTCACTAAACACATACTGGGAAACTAGGACTTTCCAGGCGGAGCAATTTTGACCCTAGTACTCTAATTAGTCCTTGCAATTTGTAAAAGATTTTTTTCTGATCTCCACATGGAATAACTTTTTTTTAACAGCTCAGGTGAGCTAAAAAATTCTCTTAAAACTTTATGTTGTTTCAGGGTATAAAAATTATGAACGTGATATTACATAATGTATTGATGTACAAACCGATGATAAGCTACTATTAAGTTTACTTCACTTTTACATAATTAATTACATATATATTATAAGTTATAACGATTGTTGACACGTTATATGGCCCTATATAAACGACTATTTGTAAATATGACCCGAGCCGCTAGGCGAGGGTTATATTGCAAACAGCCGTTTATATACGGTCATATAAACTGTCCACAATCTTTATAACGAATTTATAATACAGCAAGCATCATTTTTTAGAGAAAAAAAGTAAGATTTCTTCATGAATTGACAGCAGCCGTGTATATAAAACTATATAAACGTCAGGATTATCCAATGAAAAGTGACGTTGCAAACGTGCAGTATTATAAATAAATATATATATATATATTGTTCATTTCACAAGCGCACTCAAAGTTTGTCGTTCCTTTAATTTTAACTTTTCATTAAGAACGGCAATACGCTACGCGCATGTCAGTTTTCCCGCAACAATATTATCAACCCTGTTTTGTCATCAAAAAAAGTAAAGGAGATGATACGTAATACAACGCTGGCAAAGTAATGGATTTTTGTTATAACTTGGATTGCTAAAATAAACAATTTATCCTAGCATTATATATGCTTCAAAAATGGATTCTGATCACTTTTTCATGAACACCATTTATAATACTGAAATAACCTTACATAAAACTGAAATACTTTATTTGTATGGGGCATTTCAATGGTGTTTTCCAAACAACAAAATGAAAGTTTCAATAAACTAAAAGCAGTGATTTGAATAGATCCAAACATTTGTAGCAATTTTGAAAATTTCTCCTTATGTTAATAAACAGCATAAAATGAGAAAAAATAACTCATGTTATTTTACACTTCAAATACTTTAGCATTTACTTCCATTTAAGCGGCTTTCGTACTACTAAGTTGCTAAAGCCTCGGTTCCCAGTACTTTCCTCGAAATGATATTTTTGCTGTTTCTTACAAACAACTTAATATATTGCAGATAATCGAACTTCATTAAATATATCTGACTGAAGAATGTTTGAATTTTTTAACAATTTGTTTGAAACCTATAATTGTTAGATCTAACAATCATCTCAGTGTGGTAGGTTCGAATTCCTTCAGAGATTTTGGATTCTTTCATGTGATGAAACTATCCAGCTAGCTAGTCAGTGATTCTACTTAGTTTCCCGTTGGTGGCATCATAAAATAATCCATGGAGGGGCATCTGAAGTTTTCTTTCATCAGTAAAGTACGAAAGCTACTGTTTGACCTTTATTGTATTCGTGCGAGGTAAAACCCAACAAAAAAGTGAACTTTGTTGAGAGGTTACCTGTTACAGATATAAAAAAGATTTCCATGGCAATACAAATCAATGTACTATAAGATCACTATCAGATAAGTATGATATCATTGTTTGCTAATAAATCAATTTATCTCTGATAGTAAACCATCATAATAAACATAAATGATAAAGATTTTGAATAAATTTTCCACGCGTTTAGTGACACAATTTTAGATAAAAAAGTGTTAATGTGATTATATAGAATATATGGCATGTAAGTTTCCATCCAGCATTGTCCATAAATTGGCACCTGGTGTAAAAAATAGACTATTCACGTTTTGTTGTTGTTTAGGGGTTATATCAGTATATTTCACACGGCAGTATCCTCAAACCCCAAGCGAGAAAATCATAAAGAGAGGAATAAGGTTGATATATTTCAAAATCATTTACGTCAAGATAGCAAAAATGGTGCCAGGCTCTTTCCCATTTTGGTGAGCCCTCGACACTTCCGTTGCAGAGCCATCGATCAAAACAAAACTGATATTAGGTAATAAAGGAACATATCTTTAGCAAGCATGTGAAATATTTACATTTGATGGCATCATTGGACGAAAAATACAAAGTTTGACTGAAGTGATGGTGTTGCTAGTTTACACTCCGAAAGCCACACCGAATTTATCAGAGCACAGGTCAGCCACCGCATCGTTCCTGGGCATGCTGCAAGCAGTACCAATTTCACTTTCGCAAGGTACTGATAACTTCTGTATATGCAATAGCAGAGGTACAGTGCGAATGACCGAAGAAAGGATTTCATGATCAATCACAACAAAAAGGATTTGCGCCGTCAGGAAATCGAACACTGGTCGAACGATTCACAATACAACGCTCTACCTATATTGTGCTAACCGAATGACTTAAGTTTGCCTGAAGTATGACTATTTCATTATTTTCAAAACAAACTTGGTATATTCTGTCCAGAATAAAATATGCATATTTAGAAAATATTATGTGCGAAGCAATTGCAAGCAGTCAATTCCTTTCGCCCTGCGCCCCCCCCCCCCCTCCCCGCTTATAAGGGTGTTTTCGCCCCGCTACCTGCCTGCGAAAAGTCGAGAAATCAACAAGTTAAAATGGCGGGGTGCGGAGCGAAAACACGCTAATAAGCGAGATTAAAGAAATAAAACGGCGGGCGCAGAGCGAATACACGCTATTTAGCGGGGGACGCGGGGCGAAGTTTAAGCTCCCCGCTTATAAGCGTGTTTTCTCCCCGCGACCCGCCTGCGAAAAGTCGAAAAATGATATGTTTAAATGGCGGGGCGCGGGGTGAAAACACGCTAAATAGCGCGGGGCGAGTGGCAAAGTTTGATTTATCAAACTCCGCGACCCCGCCGATTTAACTTGTTAATTCTCGACTTTTTGCTTGGCAGGGTAGCGGGGCGGAAACGCGAATGGCACAAATCAGCCAAATATGCTTCAGATAAATTTGATAGTCATTCGACGCATGTCATCCAAATTTTGACAACCTTCCGAAAAGTGCTTATGTCCTAGATCTAGGTCATCGTATCAGTTTCAACTACACCACAGTTAAACATGTCTATTAAGACCACTGTTTGAAAATGCAACAGTTGACATTGTTGACAGGTACTTTCTCAGTACATGTGACTGAAATATATTTCCTTTTTCTATAGGGGAATGTGAAATTCTGGCGTCGTCAAGGATCATATTTTGCTGTAAATGGTGTTTTATTGGGAGAGAGATGGGATTGACTGTATCTTTTTTAATGGTCGTTTTGCGTCGGTCAGTTTGTCGGTTAACTACCGTCTGGGTCGGACATTGACACAACTTAGTTATATAAACAAGAAACATTAACATCTGTTGAAGTCACGGAACAAGGACGTGTAGTTTTATTAAATAAAATTCGCTTTTGGTACAAAACAAGTGTTTTGCTGAAACAAACTTAAAAGTCAGAATAAAGAATGTTGGCAATATTGAAATGATGACTTTAGCCGTAACTAAAAATGACAGACATGTCCATTTCAGATATTTAGCAGAGCAAGGACTTGCATTCCGTTAATTTAATACAATTATTTCTTTTCAAGATTTTCAGCGTATTTTATGACGAGTATATTAGTTTCTTTTCTATAAACATGTACGTGCATTACAAGTCGGAGTAAGTTGTAACCAATAACTTTGCATTTGTCACATACCCGTGTCGCTTATGCGACCCCGTAAAAACGGTATTGCACGGTCGTGCAAATATTTTGACGTGACATTATTTGCCATGTAAAGACACGCTAAATGTATGCGTTAAACTATAAGCACGTCAATGAAAAAATGATACTTTTTGTCACTAAACAGTTCTTCTTTTCGGTATGTAAAAAATAAAATATGATATTCGTGTAGCTTAATAACTAAATTTATTGAATTCGTTGTCTAAAATATTTTTTATATTCGCCAGAGCCTCGCATAATATAATTTTATTCAACTCGTTCAATAAATTCAGTATTGAATCTGCACTCTTTCAATATCCGCTATTTTATCAGTAAAACGAGTTGTGATGGAAACGGACATGGCTAGACAATAGCATTATCATTTATATATATAAAGTATATGTATTTGAAATATTTTTAACTGTTGAATGTCTTTTTCGTAAAATCATGGTAGCAGGTGCTCTAGTTCAAACACTTAGGCTCACTCAATGAAATTTCCATTTTACAAAATTGATTATGAAATTAAATTAAATTCCGATAACGGTCTCTGTTAATATACTAATGCCTAGGTCACAAATAAAACGGGCGCCGTCCGATTTAACGATTTTTATAAAATCGGCAGATTTTTTGATGTCGTGGACGCCGGGCGATTTAAAATCTGATACATTGCGTGGTCATGAATGAAACAGTCGTCGGGCGATTTTTTGCCGAATGGATTTTACAGAAAGAATTGAACGGGTCGGGCGGTCGCCGCACGATGTCCGTACGGCGCCTGTGCGATTTAAAAGTGAATCGGACGGTTGCCGCGCGGGCGCCGGGCGACAATGACTTTACATTTAATGACATCCTTTATAAATCAGCCAGTTGTAATTATGCCACCAAAGAGGTCAGCCGCAAAAGCTAAGGGGAAGGCCAAGGAGGTCCGTAATAGTGACACCGAGTCACCAACGGCCAATATCGAGGCCGTAGAAGGCGAAGGTCCATTAGATACACGCATGGACATTGAAGAAAAAATTGCTGATTTTTTCGAAGAAAGACCATTCTTCTATAATCAAGGTGACAGTGATTACAAAAACAAACAAAAGAGAAATACAGAACTTTTAAATTTTGCTGCTGTTCTTGGCCAAGGACACACAGGTATTTTCAAATTTTATTACCCGTCTTTATGGATTCATTAACAACTAATTAAAATGTTCGTCGATGTAAATAGGCGTTCACCTGGCTTAAACGACCATGTCGTTTTTGTTTTGCAATCATTTGTTTGTTTGCGATTTTGGAATAAGATATTATTATTGCGTTTGGCCACTTTTTATCTTTCGACTTTAATAATAAGTGGTCAGAGGTGGGAGAAAAGAATCTTTGATGTTTACCAACATGTAGAATCTATTGTTTAATCCAAATCATAAAAGAAAGTGCCGAAACTTAAATGGTTGTCACACATTTTCCTATTGATCGGAAGTTAAATAAAGACAATTATTATGTTTTGTAAAAAAACCTTTATTATTCAAGAAGATAAATATTTTTATCGAATAATAAGTATCAATTATGGAGATTATTAATCGTGAGTGCATTTATCTACGTTACATTTATGCAAAGCTTCAAGCCAGGATTGCTTCTATTATGGAAGGAGTGTACATATCAAACCATTAATATTTATATACGTTTGTAAATAGTGAAAACTGATGATGGTTATGATTATGATAATGATGATGATAATAATAATGACTGATGATAATGATTCAGATTACTCTATGATTAAAATAGATTTAGTATACACATAACGATAGCCAACTATTATAATAGCTTTTCTTAAAAAATATATTTGAATGAGAACTTGATCCTCCATTGAGTACCCACCTATTTTAAGTAGCCAAAATGACTGTATGTCTTGGATGGCTGTTTAAGACAGCCTTGACTGTAATTTAAAAATAAACATATTTATAACATTATTCACACTTGGACTTTTACTTGAAAAACCATGTCCTTGTATATGTGATGACCTTAAAGAGTACCTTTTTAGTAAATGAATACACATGAACCACCAAATTTTGGAACACCAAAAAAAGTAAACAGCATCGTCTGAAACTAAGCAAATTTTAAGCATCTATAGAAGAGTTGTGAATTATTGTACGACCATGCAATTACCTTTTTATATTTTTTGTAGCTGATAACATTTGGAAGCGGTTCGTTTCAATACGAACTGACATAGGCAAAATAAAAAGGCTAATCAGTCAGGGAAAGTCTGGTCAAGGTGCGAAGAAACTCACCATGTTACAGCAATGGAAGCTTCGTAGATATGCGTTTCTCGATTCCTATCTTAAGCCACGGGTACTTTGCGAGGAGCTTGGAAAGGTAATTATTTTGAAATTCAATTTTCATTACATGATCTTATTGTTTTATTGCTCACTAGATGTACGTACATTTTTTAACCAATCCATTGATGAAATACAGATGTAAGCTTCTTACAAGAGGATAAACTTAATATAACTGTGATTTATATAAATATGCTTCATGAATTTCATCATATCGAAACAATTTGATGTTATTTTATACTTAGTATCAAAATAAGCAGATAAATCACAGTGTTCACAATTATTATAGGCTATGATATAAAACGTTTTCAGAAGTTTATAACACATGTATTTAACATTTACTTCTAAAGTTCATTTTCTTTCAATATTAACTGCAATATTTCCAGTATATGTTTTTGTAATTTAACAACAGGACATAGAGGACGATGGGACTGAGGATGGAGATGAGACAGGGAGCTTTGACCATGAAGAGGATGCGGACCTTGGAACTACCACAACCACGGGTGCCATTCAGTCAATTGGCGAAAGGACAAAGAAGAAACCAAAAACAAGCTCCAGCGTTGTTAATGTACTTCAAAGTTTGCTGGATGTTACCCGTCAGGACATGAGAGCGGCAGATCAAAGGGTACAATTTACTACTTTAATAGTAAAATTCGAAACTCGTAACAAATATAAGTTAAGTGCGAGCTTTGGCGCCCCTTAGAGACGGACTCCCCTCCCCCCAAGTAGTTCATATATTGTCCGCTGACAGTTGTAACTTCATGTTTTTGACCATATATCCTTCTATTCTTTCTGTTCTTTATAAGCGTTGGTAGACGTTGTCTGTTCTGCATTTTGCATTTCCCGCATGTACTCTTTCCTGTTGCTGTTATTTATGTGTTTTGGTTTTAGGTAGAACGTTTGTGTGCAGATGAAAAAGCCAAAGCTGGAGACGAACGGACTGCCTGGGGCCAGTGGCTAACAAGTGCCTGTCTTGCAGTGCCTGCACAGAGCTTTAGACAGTTTCAGAGAGACACCTTCGAGGCGACTATGCGCTATTTACCGGCTGTTACAGTTGCTGGAAGTCCTCGCATGCCTCCTCCCTCGCAGGTCTTTCCTGTCAGTTTGCCAGCTTTCCAGCAGCAACAACCACCTCAGCTTCCGGATCAGCAACAGTCGTACCTTTCTATGCTTCATGACAATGAGCAGACAACAATCAATGAGGTCAGTATCAGGGTTGAAAATCGATGTTAAGATTTTTTTTGAATACTTTCGAGGGCATTACTATTGCTTGAAATACATCAGCTTTTTTATGGTTTAATATTTTCAAACCGAGCATACTTTGTCATATCAAAACAAATTTGAAGTAAGGAAACAGCCTAGAGTGTTACGGATGGACTGTTTTCCTTAAAAATACTATGAAACTTCTTATAAAATAATACTTATTTCAACAATTCTTATGCTTGTTTCTTTAGTCCAAAAAGCAATGTAAACATCAACAATACAATGAACATCCTGTATTAAGACAACCCTAGTACCTTCTGTTTTTACCGCGGGTTGGTTTTCTATAAATGCTTAAAACATTACAAATAACTTATTTTCGAATTTTGAGGTGATATTATTGAAGGGTTTTGTATATTTAGAGGCTGGTTTTACTGTAATTGTATAATATGCAAATTATTTCGTGTCAAACACTTAACTCATCTTATTTGGCATTGTTTTAGACTACGTCGGACAATATGTCGTCAGGTCGATCTGCGAAGACAAAAAGTACGGCAAGTTTAATTGCACAGGCATTCCAGGCTGTGAACATTCCCAGTGTTCACAGTTCTCAAGACCTTGCAAGCGAAGCTAGGCAGACACAGCAGACAATGTCGTCATCACCATCTACACAAGTAGAGGACCGCAGCCTGTATCCACTAGCTAATCAACAACAGAAGTAATGCGTCATTTTGTATGGGTGCTCAAAACATTATAGAACTTTGATGCTATTCAGGTTGCTCGTTTATTTTTTTATTAAAAAAATATAATTCGGACAAGAAGTTCGATTAATGAACAATTTAATCATTATTAGAATTTCAAATACACAAATCAATAACATAAAATTCGGTACAAAAATCCGTTCACAATGTATAAAAGTTAAACCGAAGTAATTATGTAATACTCTTACTTATGATCATTGACTTACCCTGTTTATGTCTGCAACATTCACTGTAAAATGTTTAATTTTTTAGTATTCTGTGAAACACACATAACGCGTAATATGCACAAATATGCCTAAATGTTACCTTGAAATATTATCTATTACTATGTTGTTGAAGTCATTTAAAATAATAAAGTAAATAAAGCTATTACTCTATTTCAAATGTTATCATTACATGAAATTAAAACTAGAAGAGGAATATTTGAAGACACATTTGTTAAGTTCTGATCAAAATATTTTCAAGTTATAACACTATAAAATAGCCTAAATAATTACAACCGCATAATTGGCTGCTTGCTGTAAGATTAACTGTCATGATGCACCATATACACACTTTCGTCTAAATGTTATATGCTATACTATCGCAAGGGCATATTAATAGCTGCTTCTTGCCAGGGTACGCGCCCAACATCACTGCAGTAATAGTGCTTTAGATACACACGAAGCTGCTTCCCTTCCCTTGTTCCTCTTGGTCCTCTGGCGACATCATTGACGTCATCGAGCACGCCAACATTCCGCCAAGCCCCTGGCACGACATCCCCCTGTCCGTCATCATGGTCAAGGTCCTCGTTCTGCAAGCTCGGATAACGATCCCGCATCAGGTTGTGCAAGATCAAACAAGCCTTTGTTATCCTCTTGGCATTCCTTGGGGTTGTCTGCATCGTGGTAAGAAGGCATCTAAATCTTGCCGCAAGAATTCCAAAAGCGTTTTCAACTACTCGCCTAGCCCTGGAACAACGGTAATTGAAAATTCTTTCGTCGTGGTCCAAGAAGCGATGGGGAAAGGGTTTTATGAGATACGATCTCAAAGGGAAGGCGTCATCGCCCACTAAGAAATATGGCGTGTTTCTATCGTCAAATGGAAGTGGTTCTGGTGGTGGCAACCCAAGAGTTCCTTCTCTAAGGGCTGGCTCCAGGCTAGACCGATTGAATACGCCACAGTCTGAAGACGAACCGTTAGCTCCAATGTTCGCCCACAAAAACTTATAATCTGCATCGACGAGACCTAACAGAACAATAGAAAAGAACCCCTTGTAGTTGTAAAACTGACTTCCAGACTGCTTTGGTTTTTTGATCGCAATATGCTTTCCGTCGAGTGCGCCGCATGTATGGTGAAAATCCCATCGCCGTCGAAACTTATTTGCAACTTCGATCCATTCATCGGGGGTTGATGGTGTACATATGACCTCGTCTTTAAACTCAGCTACAATGGCTTCACAAACTTCCGGCACGAAGAGTGAAATAGTATTGTGAGCAACACGAAAGTCAAACGCAAGGCTGTGGTAGGAATTTCCGGTAGCTAAAAAGCGCATGGTAATAGCTACTTTAAGCCCTGCTTCTAAAGGAGGTCGCCTTTGCTTATTCTTGGTGATTCGTGGCGCCACCCTAGTAAGAATCTCTCGAAACATCTCCGGTTCCATGCGTAAGTATGTTTTGAAGTCCCCGCGCGATTCTCGCATTAGTTCCATCATAAGAGTGTCGTATTGGCCATAGAAAACCCTTCTCTGAAGCCATGGCTTCACCCAGATTGACCTTCTCCTACGGCCTCCGCTGAACTGACCCTCGTCATATAATGCTGCTAAATAAACAATTATATTTTGTCTTTGCCGTACGAAATATCGACGAACACGTTCTTGCTCCACAAGAATGTCCATGTTTACTAGTATTGAAAAGAATTACACAAATATATTTTTGAGGCAATAGCTGAAATTACAACAAACACAAGCCGCCCGGTCGCCGGATGACAAACCGATGACCGCCCGGTGCCTGTACATGAATCGTCCGGTTACCGGGCGATAATCGTTTGACTACTCGTCTCTATTCAGGCACCGGGCGGGGCCCGGCCGATGTCCGCCCGGAAGCCTTTTAAATCGGACGGTGTTTTAATAGAAAAAAAAATCGCCCGATCACAAAAACATCGACCAGTCGCCGCCCGGCGACCGAGCGGTGTCCGCTCGATGATATTTTATACTCAGTGACCCCAAAAATTATCGTCCTGCCGCCGTTAGCTTTTAAGTAGTACTTAAAACTCGAATGCGCCCGCCCGATGAACAAAATTTTCAGCTGCTGCCGTCCGATAGTCACTGCCGCCGGACGGACGCCGGTCGATATTGCGATTTTTTGGAGAAACAGACGCCGCCCGGCGGCATTTTCTTATTTGTGACCTAGGCATAAACAAGACGCAGACCTCGTCAGGTTATTTATGAAGCATTTCGTCAAAAAATGCATTCTGATCAGGACCCATGCTGTTCGCTTACAAACCCTATTACAAGTAGAGAAACTGATAGCGAACAGCATGGATCCTGATCAGACTGCGCGGATGCGCAGGCTGGTCTGGATCCATGCTGGTCGCAAAGCCATTATGTTGGTTTTGTCATGACGCGGCTCATTTGTTGTTTAGACATTTGAACATATTAATTACCTTAAGTAAGAAGGATTTTAATTTCGTAAGCTTGAGATCGATCATGTTAGGGTTTTAGCCTTTCTTGTAATTAAAGGCTCATTATGTCTCAGAAATGCTACCAATTTAATTTCTCAAAAAAAATCTTCATTTTTTGGTATCTTGTTACATTTTTCAAAGTAATACTCAATTGTCATATATATGGACTATCTTTTGCAAATATACCTCTGTTTGAAATCGGTATTATTAGTATTTTGAATTAGTATTTTGTATGGATGTCAAAATACTTGTTTATTTACAATTTTCTACATTATCGCACGTTCAGCGCTACTTTCTTCTCAGTTGTTAAACATCTAACATGCTCTAAATCCATTATTCAAACACTATTAAACACATGTTTGACATTTCTAAAGATTTTTTTCAAATGATATCCTGAGGCATAATGTGGCTTTAAACAAATCAGCTTGACTGGCCTTCAGGTATCATGTGACATGCCCTTTTAAACTTTTAATATAACATCATGCAGTCTGACATGTGAATAAGAGAGCGACTTTTTCCCCCAGTGTCATTAATTCGTCTGAAAAGTGACGCTCTGCAGGTCATTGTACTGGTCAAAGTGTCTGTTTTATAACCATTCTCATTAAATATGTAAAATGTCCCCTACTTTATATAAAAGTTTGCTCCTGGTTTAAAAAAGTCATTTTGTGTTTGAAGCAACGCTCGTGTGAAATAAATTTAAGGACTAATTCTAATATCCAACAATTAGGAAAATGTACGTCACGCCAGTTTTACTGCTTATATTTGGGCTGTGCATGGTCGTACTCAAAAGACGCAAGGCGAAAGTTGCGTCAACAGCTCCGGGTCCGCTCGGGTGGCCGGTGATTGGTAACCTGGCGCAGTTGGGGTGCAAACCCCATAAGACTTTGACTGAATACCGGAAACGCTATGGGGACGTTTATCAGATCACAATGGGCTCGTGCCCGACTGTTGTCCTAAATGGTCAGAAAGTAATCCGACAGGCGCTTGTCAAGCAGTCAGAAGATTTCGCTGGACGACCGGATTTCTATTCATTCAAGTTCATTGCCAATGGCAACAGTATGGGATTTAGCGACTATGGAGCAAGATGGAAGATGCACCGGAAGATTGCACAGAATGTTTTGGCCCTCTGTGCAAACAAGAAGTACAACCCTATTGAGGAGGCAATTGTATCAGAGGCTAAATTTTTGGTACAAAATTTACTCAAGTCCGACGGACAACCCATAGATCCGCACCATGAGATATATCTTTCCGTCGGGAACATTATATGCGCATTATGTTTTGGTAAACGATACCGCCGGGACGACCCAGATTTTCTACAACTTGTCAAAAACAACGACGAGTTCATGGCATTCGCAGGGGCAGGTAAGTGAAATTCTATAAAAAAAATATTTGAAATCATGAAAAAAATGAGCCGTGTCATGACAAAACCAACATAATGGGTTTGCGACCAGCATGGATCCAGACCAGCCTGCGCATCCGCGCAGTCTGATTAGGACCATGCTGTTCGCTATCAGTTTCTCTACTTGTAATAGAGTTGGTAAGCGAACAGCATGGATCCTGATCAGACAGCGCGGATGCGCAGGCTGGTCTGGATTCTTGCTGGTCGCAAACGCACTATGTTGGTTTTGTCATGACGCGGCTCAAATGACTTTCTTGAGAACGAGTAACAAACGTCAGTGTCTTTTGTAAAAGTAGTTTTTAAAGAAGAACGTGTTTGCTACTGAGGTACCGGTGTTCATTAATCAATACTTTTTTCAATATGATGAAAATATTAATAGTTTAAATATTGTTAAAATTTTGTAATGACAATTATTCGTATATTATTAAATGATAGCCGAACTCAATCAATACCATTTTGTTTAATATTGTTACCAATGTAATTTTTAGAAAATATGTCTTAATATGGAAAAAAAGTATAGCACTTTTATAATTATAACAACAGGGGAGTATTTCTTAAACAGATAAAATATGGTAAATTTTTATAATGTATAGCAATTTGTACGTTCAACTATATACTTACCAAACAAAGCGTTATGTAGTATTTAGTACCTTTCAACCATGAAACTCAATGCTACCTTAGTTTACCGACTCATTCTTTTTATAAAAGACAAAAAAAAATCTTTTTTCCTTCAAATTTTATTTTTATACCATCATGTACATAAAAACAAGAAATGCGCTACATCAAATGACCACAGTCAAAGAAAATCATTTTTAATAAACATGTGATGTTATTAATGGTGGTGTTTTATTTGTCGTTGTTAACCACACAACATAAGGGTACAGGCTGCGACCCCAGTGGCAGTGCACGTGCATTGGTTACAGTTGTCAGCGTCCATAAACTGTTCTCCGTCCCCGTAACTCCCTCCGTTGTACGTGCAGACTTCAATGATAAAATCGACATGAAATAACATTATTAAAGCGGCCTTTAGCTTTTTTAAAGGTAAAATATGTTAAATATGTTATTTTTAGATAAATCGTTTCATATAATTGTCAAATCAAAAGAATTAATTTTTCAAGATAAAGTTACTGAAGTATTTAGTTTGAAATAATACAGAACTGTTTGTTCAACAAAAAATTAAAGCTAAAGGCCGCTTTAAGCACCCGTGCAGTGTGTTCGAGAAATTTCGGTATATAGTTCCGTCATTTTCCGTTGAGGTTTAGATCATGTAAGCGTCGGTTTAACTAAGATGTCAAAGGCTTTTAATAATATTACATTAAGCTTGAAATAAAAAAAGAACACAAATTCAAATGGAGTCGTTTTCATAAAAGCTCATTTCACTTAAAATGTATTACGTAAAATCTGGATTTAACTCCTGTATTTAAGTGATATTTGTGGTCAACAGTACTAAACATAAATATGGTAAAAAAAAAAAGATAATTTATGTTAGATTGTCATAACACTGTTTGACAGGATAAACTAATTAAGAAAAGTGCAGAATTGTATTACAAACACACCTTTGGGTGGGCATTCTCTTCTGGTGCACGCTCCTCCTCCATTCCCACTGCAAGTGCATTTATTGCAGTCGTCTTGGTACTGTTCACCTGTCTTGTATGTGATACCATTATGAACACACTCTGTTGAAATATAAGTATAGTCTTGTTATAAGAACTGATTAATATGGAGTCATGTAAGTGCCATGACAAATCTCGCTCGTGTGATTTCAATCTTATATGTAAAACAAATAAATTTTCTTTTTATTTCATGCTTTTTAAGTGATTTTAAATATTTTTTACTGATTTTGCCGCGTAACGTCGTGCATTCTCCTTTGTGACGTCATCACATCATGACGTCACATCATCAATTTTGAAATATAGTTCTATTAAATTTCTCTAATTTTGTTACATTTTTAACATGATGTATGATTACATCGACTTTCTTTTCCTAAAGAAGCAAAATTTACGTATGACGGCATTTATTTCTGCGTGCTATTCCATTTAGATATGATTTTCTTTTCATCCGCATTCTGATATAGTCCGGCTACAGTGAAAATTATATTTTATAAATTTCACTAGTGGTTTATCAGAATATAATCATCTGATATATTACAATAAAACACTGGAAATAATTATGTAACTGAGTATAAATTACATTATTTATAAACTAATTATCTGCAAAATATACAGTTTTAATTTTGAAATCATTATTCTTGCCGCTAAAATATTAGTGCAAAAATAGGGTTTATTTTAATACAGAAATTCAAGTAATCAGTACTTTATAACAGAACAATTATTCAAGAATAATTCCGCAAATTTGTCCTCAAATCATTTCATTTATTTCTATGATCATAAAAGAAAATCTTTGAGCCATGCATATTTTTTTATTCAATTAATGTAAATAAAATACAGTAATTCTTCGGAACTACTTGATTTTTACTGAACAATTTTATCAGATTTGAGATTTGGTTTCGCTCGCAAAAATCTTCTTTTGTTCCAGAATATCGTACGCAACTAAAGCGCCTTATCGTTAATAGTGTTTTGCGACTGTTGGTGTTGTTGTTGTTGTTGTTATAACTATGTGTTTGAAAACTTACCTGACTGCACATAAGCAACAGCCAAGACAATAAGCAAGGCGCAGATAACAAACTGTCTCATCGTGATCTGTAAAAAGTTATAAACATTATTTATTATATTTGAAAGACCCCGGTAAAAGGTAGAATAAATCTTAAAGGTACATTATGCCTCAGAAATGCTAAAGTTTTCAAATTTGTATATGTTTTTTTTTGTATCTTGTTACAGTTTACAAAAACAAACTCTTCATTTGCTAGATGCACAAACTATCTTTTATATATTTCTGTTTGCAATTGGTATAATAATAGTGAATTAGTATTTTGAATGAAAGTCCAAATACAATTTACTACATGTACTTTGTATCTTTTTGCTACCTTATTTTATTTTCAACGCTGTAAAACATCTAACATGCACTTTATCCATTATTTAAACATTATTAATCACGTGTTTGTTATTCCTAAAGATTTTTTTTTTAAATGGATTTCTGAGGCATACTGAGCCTTCAAATATTAAGCAATAAATGATAAATTTCTTTATAAAGAAGATAACCATATAAAAACGTTCTTATTATTTTCGTCATGAGGTAACAAAAAGAGAAATGGAAGCCCTGAAAGCTAGCATCGTTAATCTGTTTCCGGTAACAGATTTTGCGAAGAAAAAAAAATCTTTAAAAAAAAAACAAAATTTAAATAATAATCTAATAATAATTGACAGAAGATAAAAAAGCAACAACTTACATTTTTCCCAGACTTATCAGATCAAACTACCGGGATTGTCCGGGCTCAGTGCTATATATACAAACGTTCACGTGACGTCATGTGTGTTGACCCGTCAAGTACAAGTCTGTTGCACGACAACAACTGGAGGATATGATATAATAGTTGTTTAATAACATAATTTTCTGGTTGTAATATATTAAAATGTCCGTATTTAATGAGATTCAGTGCTAAATATAAAGGTCGAACCGATTTCGTAATTGCAACAGATTGCTCCGTCCATTATGCTAATTATCTTTTGACCACAATTACATGTACATATTTGTGTGACTATTTGAATGACAAATAAATAAACAAGCAAACGAAAGAGGCCCTGTAAATAATATCAGACATAACATTATACTATGAAAGAATTATATATATGTATGTTGTTGGCAAGTGTGAGATACCTAATCTGATTTTACATAATTATATTTAGACAGCAGACGATAAAATGTTCTAGAACAAAATACTCTTGATCATCATAAATAAATGATCTTACTAAATCACTTACAATTCCATCAACATTTCTTTTCAAGTTTTTTTAAGAATATCGAAATGGCACATTTCTATTGTTTTATTATACATGTGCTTATGGAAAATGTGCCCATTGCAGACCAATCCACTTTACTGCATTAGTGAGATCATGCTTCTTATCAATGCAATTAAAGTACAATCAAATTCTGTCAACGACTACCTTAATAGGACACACATCTTAGGAAAACTACGACTTAATAAGTTAAAACTTAAAATAATCAATATCTCAAATTATTATTATTATTATTAATTCATCTTATTTTATTATCATTTGTTGTTGTTGTCTAAACAAGATGTCAATCGACAAAGACAACTTTCTGGTCGGTTTTATACTGGTGGTTTGTCTGCACTTTTTTATTTATTCTTCAACTAAAATCTGATCATCTAACTGGTCTTTGAACCACGTTTAGCTGTATCTTATATTCCATTCTATATTCCATTAAACAAAAATTTCACCGACAAGGTTAAAAGATGACATTTTTAGTAAAGATCTTTTTTCTTTCAATCTATTGTATTTTCCAGGAAATCCTGTTGACATTATGCCATGGATGCGACATTTTACAAAACGGTCTTTTAAACAATTTCTGAAGATTCTGGACACGATGGATAATCTATGCCTGAAGAAACAACGTGAACATCTTGACACCTATGACGCAACCCACGTTCGTGACATCACAGATGCCCTCATCAAGGCAACGGAGGAGACGTCCACGGAGGAGAAAAAGTCCGTCGGACTGACGGACGTACATATTATGACTACACTTCAGGAACTCATTGGTACGTAATTTTTATTATTATTTTGTATAGTGTGTTTAACTTAAGGATTACGAACCCTAGTGAATCGGTAAATTTCGGAAATTTTCGGAAAATATATTGTAATTAACACAAAGCCGCTCTCGGGTTCTTCGTACGTTTTCGTTATACCTAATTGGCATGATTTTGTAAAGATTTACTCTTAGAGGGAACGGTTTTGCATAATTATAAAGAATATGACAGCTACTTTCTTAACATGTCATTGTTGCCTTAAAATTGGCCTATCGTTGGCAATACTATTTCGTTGTTTAATTAAAGCACCTGGTAATTCTTTTTTTCTTCACATAATTAACGATTGTTTGGTAAATTGTTAATGTTTTTTTCCCCTTTTCCTTCTACTTCATCTAGGTGCTGGTTTTGATACAATAGCAAGTACACTCCAATGGTCTATTCTCTACCTTATGACAAACCCGGAGTGGCAGGAGAAAGTCTACAAAGAAATTCTGGCCGCCTACGGCACCGACAAAGATCCGGATGTAACCGATCTTTCCGAATTGCCCTACACTGAGGCGACCATCCTTGAAACTATGAGGCACTCGTGTATTTTCCCATTTGCATTACCACACAGTACGACTAAAGATACCTACATCAACGGATATTTCATCAAGGAGAAAACGCTTGTGTTTGTTAATCTATGGTCCGTCAGCCATGACCCAGAATTCTTCCATGAACCGGAAGTATTCAATCCGTCAAGATTTTTGGATACTTCCGGTACGAGACTCATTGTAGATAGAACAAAACTTGACTGTTTTCTTCCTTTTGGGTCTGGGAAAAGAAAATGTCCGGGAGAGCAGTTGGCTAAGATGGAACTCTTCCTTTTCTTTACAATTCTCGTGCAAAAATGCAAGTTTGAAATAGTGCCTGGTGAGCACCCTGTGGTTGACAGTAAGTATGGGCTGACACTGAAGCCCATAGATTTCAATGTCATTGTACATGACAGAAATATGGAAAATACAAGCACAGTGTCTGACTTACCTTTATAATGAAAATGATAATAATTTAAATTTTAAATAAAATGAAAATGTTACTGCTTTTCATGGTGTTTTACGATAGCACAGAGGTGACATGTGTATGTTTTTATTTATCTCGTGCGCACGACATTGTAACTCGTGCTCACGACATAATACTTCGTGCCCACGACATAGTAACTTGCGTGCACAACAAAGTATATCGTGCGCACAACATAGTAACTCGTGCGTACGACTTAAAGATCCTGTAACTCAAACTTTTTTATGGTTTTATATCATAAAGATGATGCCCAAATGAAGATGAGTCAATATTTTAAGATCCAAAAAGCATTATGTATATAAAGATATTACCGAAATGATATTTTCATGTAAATAAAGGGAGGTAATTAGAAAGTATTTGCCATATTTTAGAAAGAAATAAATGCATATATTTTAATGATTACTTACAATGCTTATAAACATTTGCAGTACATATTTAACAAACTGCAGTATTGGATGTTTGAAAATTGTTTTAGAGGAATAATTATAAATATAATAATAACTACATGTATTATGTAAAATTTCACTTCAGGGGGTTACGTCCTTAATTACAACAAACAGGATCTTTAATTATCTCGTGCGTACGACGTAGTCACACGTGTGCACGACATAGTAACTGATAGATAAGTAAAACACACACACACACACACACACATGTCACCCCTGTGCCACCGTATGTTGTTGATGTCAGTAATGTAAGTAATTATTCGACTATTGGGCGTGATGACAGTTTTGTTTTGTAAAAAAAGAAGGGCAATATTTACAGTAAAGTAAAAAAATGACGTTACATCATTTGCTATGTCATAGTAATATAGAGTTTTCAAACACATTGCATTTACCTAAAAACACACGAAAACTGAAAATCATAAAGCTAAAATACAATAAGAGCCAATTTAATTTGCGATTTAATCGGTTATTTCATACCGTGTGTTTTAAATCTCAAATTTTGGGAATACTTTGTATCTTTGTCTTGTTTATTCGTATATGTACATTACAATAAATTGATATATTAAACAAAGCTGTGTCTTTTTCTAAGAATCGTTATATATAATTATGCGAACTGTAATATTGGTATTTTCTCAAATGGAAAACATGTTACAATAATGAACATTGTATTTAAATAAGAAAACAGGAAAGATCGCAAGAGCGGTTTCATTGTTTTTACGATATTACCCGATATTTGCCGATATTTATCGATTTATCATGGTGCGTAATACCCCATATCAGTTAGTTTTTCAGTGAATCAGGCGACCCTGGTTCGATTCCCGGACGGTGCAGGTCACTTTTGTTGCTACTGATAATGAAGTCCTTTCTACGGTCATTCGCACTGTACCTCTCCTCTGGCATGTACATATGTTATTGATCAGTTTCTTGCGAAAAATGAAGGTGAACTGCTTAACAGCATGCCCAGAAAAGATGCGATGGCTTAACTATGCTCTGGTAAACTCAATGCGGCATGCTGCCGTGATCCGGGGTGAATATTACCAACACCACCGCCACGAAGTCGAAATCATTAAGTGTAAAATAATTCTACCACCTTGGAAACAAGTTACACTTGATTTTGGTACTCCTTCAGCGTATGCGTTTTTATACTGTAACGGGACGGGTACCGCAACGCCCGGCAACGCATCAAAGAAAAACATGTTAAAAGGCGGCATATAATGTTTTAGAAGCCAGAACAAGTACAATGTAACTTAATTACATGGAGAAAAAAACATCTACATGTTTATACAGCTGTTTACACCCTACAACGAAATCAGTTATCTATAAAAAGATATATAAACAGGAATACCTATTTTAATCGGACGTCGGGTAGCCTAAATAGAATCGTTCTATTGCCCCTCCCAGCTGTACGTTCGAATCCCGCAGGGCCTCTCTTTCGCAGTAAAGCAGGAACTTCGCCATGTATACTTATACAACTTTATTTTTAACTAATGATTTTTGATCCCCTGTCTGAATTAAGTGCACTTAAAATGAATTTCGTACTGATAGCTTTTTATATGTCCACAAATTAGGTAAGTTCAATTCGGAAGAGGACAGCGCGCAAAAAAATTTCATCATTGATTTTTAAAAATCATCATCATTTTCATCATCAATGCATCATTTTCAATTCATCATCAAAATCACCGACATTATCAACAGCAACAGCCCAACAACAACAACATTAATTACATTTTGAAAAGAGGTTAACATAGTCCATTTATGAAACTAGCAAATACCACCAGTGGTTAAATAATTCAAGTTCGCATCTCTTCGAATAAATTCATTCATTCTTATTAAACAATTTCAAAGTCTCTTCAAATGCATTTTATTCGTGTAAATATCAGCAAGATCAAATTAAATCAAAGCGCTCTTCAATTTCATAGAGAAAATTTATGTCACATACGGCATTCCATAATAAGAGAGAGCGAGACTTGTATTAAAGGGAGGTAATTGAAAGATGTGTTTTGTCTGTTTTCACCTAATTCGATACAGTAATTAAATAATAAACTGGCTTAAATAATATCTTTAAATATATATTAAATTATTTTTACGTTCAAAGGATACTATAGATTTTTTTACTAAGTAGTATTATAGTAAATTTAGATATGTATATATACGTAATGTTTTTTTAAGAGGACGTCTTCTTCCACCAGTAAAGCTTACGGTCGACCTATACAAAGGTCGAGTGGTTCTAAATAAATATTTGAATTCCGTCCTGTTGACAGGATGGAGTAACTTGATAACTTAAACAAATTTAAAAACTTGCAGAATTTCGACTTCATTATTTTATATGGCAGATTTTCCTAAAAAATTTGTACTTTAATCGGGCCATCTTTGTACATTTGTTTGCCCAGCCATGGACCAACACAACCGTCTAGGTACCAATTTACATCTCGGGGGCGATATATAGCAATTTATGGTCTATTTCTTACTTAGAAGAATTAAAACGCTAAGATTCTTTAATGGACTTGTTCATCTTTCGAGCCAGACAAAACCTATATAATTCAAAATAATTATGTAACAACGAGCAGTGAAAATGTACATATTTAAAAGTATAAGGAGCGAATTTCCTCAGAGCTCTGGGCTACTCATCACGTGCATTCTGTTATTTTAAGATATACTCAGTTCCTATCATATCACAGGTTCTATAATATTTCTTTTGAAATAAATGTTTGACATAGATTCTATTTGGAAAAAGTTCACTTTTAGAGAAGTATTTATTTATTCTTATATAATATAATACGTGTTACTACAATACTGTATGTATATTTAAACATGTTCCGATAAACATTGAGTACCGTGATATCATAGAACACAGGGTTAACTGACTGTTGGTCATGGAGCTAAATATATATAATTATATGTGTGTTGGTATTGTGAGCGTAATATTATATATATCTAAATGAACTATACCAGTACAATTCTCTATTTTTGTTAGATTCAAAAATGCCTTTTACCCGAAATAAAACCCGTTTTTACCCCTATTTCCTCATTAGGCATGGATAATTGCATGGACTTTCATTATTTAAGTCCGGAATTATTGCCAGACCTGTTGTCATGGTTGTCAGAAATGACGAATAGTTTTGCCTTAGCCAATGCAAAGTAAAGGGAGGTAATTGGATTCAGGGTTTGCCTAGCCACTGAAAATAAAGGGAGGTAAATTTATTTATAAATTTTCTTGTTAACTTCTATATGTATAAGTAAATAAAAAAGTTACCTTTAATAATTTTTTATTAGATTCAGCTTCTGTCATTTTACGTACGCATGGTTTTATATCACCTTTTTAGTAGCTGAATCTATAGTTAAATTTTGAGAGTTATATATAAAAAAATAAACCTTTTTACATTGAATACAGTAAAGCTTACACTACGAAAACTCTAGTGGTTCTTATATAACTTTTTGAATTCCGTCTGACGAGTTGGATGGAGTATGATGTTAGTAAACATCAGCATCATATAAACAACAATATCTTGATCTAATAACTCTGCTGATTGGTAAGAGCGGCTGCTTTCCAATGGACTTTGGATTATGTCATAAGACAAGTGGTATTTATCCTACTGGTTTACGGAAGGTTGGTTTTCGCTCGTGCAACTCGGACACCTGAGGTATTCCTACACAAGTTAAGCTTGAAAGTCGCTATATGACATTTACTTACAGGCATGGTTATTATGGCCACTCTGTTTTTTTTTTTTTTTTTTTTTTTTTTTGTATTCGATATCTTGGAAGAATGTAAGGTGATACATTATTTATGCTTGGCTACATGGAATCAATGAAAGTACTCCTAATGGCCTTTAACGTATAGGCCCTGCATCCCGTCCCCTATACAAATATATATAACAAAAATACATAAATAAATTGGTGTAAATCAAATCACTTAAGAACCACGCACAGCCAGAATTACTCTATTAAACTAAATAAGGCCGCACTATATTCGGTCATGTCAAAATTCCAGCCTTCGAATACAGTGATCTGCAGCTGACACATTGGTGATAAGGTTCAAGACAACCTTATAACGGGGAATGAATTTCTATAGATGTGAAGGTGTGTCATGCATAACCTATAGATCGTGGGTTCGAGCCCTACTTGGTTCATCACCATGATTCCTTGTATGCAACCAATACAGGTTAGTCTCAAGTTCTGCTTTCGTCACATTCGAGTGTATGAAAATGGTAACAAGTTCCTACCGTTTGAAAAGAATTCAATGGAAAATTTGTTATCAATTTTGAAAAACAATCCAAGTAATGGCAGACTTGGCATTAACATAGGAAATTAGGAACACACCATCTTTACATCAAAATACTTAAATTACTTTTCAGTAAGCGATTGTTACTTAGAAAATATGTGGATTATTTTTGTTGTTAGTGGTGGCGGTGGTGTATATTATTTTGCTTGTTTTTTTGGTTTTTTGTTTTGTTTTGTTGTTGTTGTCTTTTTTTCAAAATAGGATATAAGCTAACAATAAGAGCTTTAAATGATGTAATAATTGTTTTTAATTTCATATTTTACTTCATTAATTAAAAACATCTCGCATGTTCCACACAAATTCCAATAATTAATATCCACCCTTATTTATCACTAACGATACCTTGATAAATATAATATTACAGTGCGGCAGTCAATTTACATTTTAGGCGGTTTTCATATTTCATTCTAAACATTTCCTATTACATTGTATCAATTATTGTTTAAATAAAACAGTAAATTCAGTTCAAAATGAGCATAATGTCACTTTTACTGCTGACTAAGCATAACCAATGTTGTTGCTGAGAATTTGCTGCATATTCTAAAGACCATCTGTCATACTTCCCTCACTTTGATTTTACCTTAATTAGATCTAGGACTAGGCCTACTTGATTTGAAAAATGGAAATAGTATCCGAGTTAATAACCGACAGTAAAAGTTGACCCCTAACCCCGTCAAAGCATAGACACTGTGGGTGCTGGATCCCGGCTGACTTGTTAAGTAACACCCGTCTGTCACGTGGGTTCTCGGTGCTAATAATCTCCAGCTCGTCCGCCATGTAATGACAGACATACATACTCCCTACTCCGTCAAATGTAAGACCTCTCGGTCCCTTCCCTCTGACGTCACGAACGCTTAAAACGCTACCGTCACAATTTAAGGTCGTTACTGTATTCTTTGACCTGTCTGAAACATAAATTTCACCAGTTTCAGTATTAGTTTTGACATACCACGGCCATTCAAATAAGCGTCCCCCGTGATTGACGTCACTAGCTGTCGTCCATATGACGTCACCTGTAAGAGATATAAGCGTTACGTATTTGTCTGCGATGCTTGTAAGTACTAAGTTCCCTCCTGAAACATCTATACCATTACAATCAAAGTCAAGTTTCAGCTCAGCTCCGGGTTTCAAGTCTGATTTCCCATCAATGCTTAAAAACTGGATTTGTTTAGCTTCTGGTAATGTGCAAACCATTGTCTTTTGGTCCAGTAACGCAATATCAAAAGGTGGTACCGATAATTGAATAAATTTCAAGATTTCCTGGTTTGGCCCGATTAACTTAATTCGCTTGCTGTTATAATCAGCTACCAAAAGTGAACTATCATTCAGAATGGCCATCCCGGTGATCCAACATTTTTCTTGGTCGTCTCGGTTGCGAGTATTCATTTGTCCAATCAGAAGAGCCGTTCTTTCGTCCACGTGCTTCCGAATTTCGAACTCTTCCGGTTCCTTTGATTTCACCGATCGTTTGTCTTTTGGTATTACTTTGTACTCCGTCGTATTAAGAATAATTTCACCCATACTATTTAGACCCTTCATAGCATTATCTAAGGCGTCACTCTCTTTGAACTTTAAATTCACCCTATGTGCTTCGTCGTGAATATTTCTCAGTGCTGACGCCATTTCCGTCTGTTTTCTTAACGCTTTTTGAACTGCTATAAATAGACCAAATTCTGACCTTTGACTCTGTGACTGCTCGATGCGGGTCTTTTTCTCTTCGAGCTCTGATATCATTCCGCGCAATGATGTAAAATGCTTCTTCATTTCAAGCGTTTCTATAGTAAACAGTCTATCCAAGTCGTCTGCTGCTCTTGACGTGAGTTTCTCGATCTTTTCAAAAAGTTTCTGCTTCAAGGCCATTATTGAGCTTAGTATCTCCTTTCTTTTTAGGTCAAGGTTTTTCAAATCACGGTCGCGTTCCTTAGCAACGGCTTTACACTGCAGAATCAGGTGCTGAATCTGCTTTGTGCATGATCCACTGACGTACGATTTGGAGAAATCAACACATTCGTCTGATATAGGTTCAACTTTTTTGCATCTGTAAAAAAAGAAGACATACAGATATTGGTTTTTTTTTCTAAAATAAAATAATATTTTTATGTTACATTTGTTTATCATAGTGAGTAGCACTAAGTGCATGGTCTATATTGGCTTTTTTTGCAGCAAGATATATACAAATCATGAAATAAACAAATCAGATATAGCTCTAGTGTTATAAAATTGTACGGGTAATTATAAAGAAACATATAGGAAGGTTGGAAATTATCGAAAACGCACACGTGTCGCTTACAATGTTCTGAAAAAATAAAGACATAGACCAGCTGTACTTACTTTCCATGGTACAATCGCCTGCAGACGACACAAATCATGTTCCCGTGCCCGAAACAGAAAAGTTCCTCCGGTTCGTTGCCATGCTCGGCACACTCACTGTACGCTTTAGATTTATTAGAAAAATTCATTTTGTATCAGATTTTATTTTAAACTCCAGAAGGGGGGAAAAAATCATAAAGTAAGTTGGGCTAGATCGAAATTATCGTATAAACTTGTATAAGTCCATTTGTAATTATACTAGTTAAATACATGTATATAAATATGCGCTCTAATTGTTTTGGTTTAAATGTCACAGAGCATGAAGTATATACATAATAATGTATTATGAAAGCCGTAACTTTATACCTTTGTGTTTATTTAAATAGTTTTAAACCATTTTAAAACAGTCTGAATATCATAAAATATTCTCCACTCAACTTTTACGCTAATTATAACTTTTCCATGCTTGAAGCGTTTTTCGACAACCGGAAATAAATGTAGTATTGATTGTGTGATCTATACGTCTTCTGAAATATATAAAGGGAAGTAATAAAAAGACATTTACTTGTAATTTACAGTAAAGTTCAGTAAAGATTTCAAAAAATAATTCGTGCAATATCATTCAATATATATTTCTAGTCTATCTTTGGACTTTTGAATTAATCTTTTTTCTGTAATAACCCTAACTGACAAATATAAATATGCGCTTTATAAACTCTCGTAATCTCTCATCGGTAGCTTTGCGCAGTGGCGGTACCATAGCCAATGAGGTTTATCCGAGGCGTGGTTATTGCTAGTTGAAAACTATACCCAATACCCCGCGCCGACGCCCTGAAATATGGGCGGCGAGCGCAATTTATGAACGTCCTCACGGGGACTGACCACAAAAACTAATAATAAATGGAAAGGAAAGTTCCTCAGCCTTTAACGGCTGAATCACGGTTTTATATTACAATATAAATCTGTGGTAGCATGGAGGAAAAATATATATTAGAGACGGACTCACACCTGCGTTTCGCAGAAAGTTTTAAACATATCTAGTTTAAACATTATGTAGATATATTCACATTATTTCCCAATCTAATAGAAGTATCTTTCCCACATACTAGTGAGGGGTCAAATACATTCAAATATGTGTAAAACAATCATCATGTTAATATGCGTTTATAGGTCAATAGCTGATTGTATAAATAATCATTTTAGTCAAGTACATTTATACAGTACAACAATAATAGAACTTTTATGCATAATAAGTAATTGTAGTTATTTATTAACATCATTAATTAGTCTTTGTCAATGTGCATCTCAAAAGATATTGTGGGTTAGTTATTGTTGAGGTTTTTTACAAATTCTATTTCTTTTATGTGTTGTCATTTAAAATGCCTTTGTTGAATACATATAGTTACTAGTCCTTTGTTAATTGTGTTATCAAATCAGAATTAGCTTATGTTATCTTATTATTGTTTTGTTTATGTACATTTAATGTACTGATATTTTATGTAATTGTATGCCTGAGAAGGCCCATGATTGGTAATAAAACATTATTCTATTCTATTCTATTCTATTCTATTCTATTCATTACGGTTTACGATACTTGCAAAGCATTTAAACAATATATGGGAGACAAAGTGACTTGTCTTATAAAATTCTTCCCATAAGTATTATCTGGGACAAAAAATGCAATTAAATGAAATAATATATTTTGTCCGATTATGAATGAACAATTCATGTTCTTTTTGTGTAGAGGTGTTCCGATTGAGTTACACAGAAAAAAGTTACTTCCCTTGGTTTTTACTGCGCCATTTATACATTAAGAATTTAAATTACTTCAAGAGTTCAAATTAAATGTGTTATGTATTATATTTCACGATTTTCATGGACATGTTTAATATGATACATCTATGATTATATCATCATAAAATGGCATGTTGATCGTTGATGATAGATTTCGAGGAACTAGGTCCAGAACGGCAGAAGTGAAGGATCGTTTATTTAGAAATTAGACAGTGTACGTAGACTAGTATAAACGGAAACGTCTTATGTTATAAAGGACTGAGACAAAGGGTCTTTCAAATAGAATGGTCGAACGCTATGTAAATCATTCTTGCTACAATTAAACATGTCTCGGTATAGTTTGCCATACGCAAATTATGTAAGTGTTCAACTGTTCAAGAAAAGGGCAAAAGTCACAGACATTTGGGGTTTGGAGCTCAAAACGCCTTTAAAATCCAAATAAAATGCATATTTGTCAATCCCAGGACATGTACTGATCATATATATCAAAAAAACTTAATATAAGCCGTTTTGAAAAAAAATCATATTTCAACATCTATAATAATACACAAGATAAAAATGTTCGCCGGAAAAAATCCGCACCCCTACCGTCATAATCACCATGTATTTTAATCCATTTCCAATATTTTCACATAATCCTTTGGTCCATCGACACAGAAGATATAGTTCTTCACGATGATGGTCAATTTTAAACTTCAACGGTAATATAAACAACGCAACAGCCGAAATAAACATCAATATTACGCCGTTTTTTTTTCAACGACAAAATCTTTCGATAAATTCAATGGACCAGACAGCTATGAACGAAGCTATCCGATTATGTGGTTCCCAAACTTAAAAGCGCTGCGCATTTTGCACACGGCAAAGCTGGGGCCACATAATCGGATAGCTTAGTTCATAGCCGTCTGGTCCATTGAATTTATCGAAACATTTTGTCGTTGAAAAATAAACGGCGTAATATTGATGTTTATTTCGGCTGTTGCGTTGTTTATATTACCGTTGAAGTTTAAAATTGACCATCAACGTGAAGAATTATATCTTCTGTGTCGATGGACCAAAGGATTATGTGAAAATATTGGAAATGGATTAAAATACATGGTGATTATGACGGTAGGGGTGCGGATTTTTTCCGGCGAACATTTTTATCTTGTGTATTATTATAGATGTTGAAATATGAAATTTTTTCAAAACGGCTTATATTAAGTTTTTTTGATATATATGATCAGTACATGTCCTGGGATTGACAAATATGCATTTTATTTGGATTTTAAAGGCGTTTTGAGCTCCAAACCCCAAATGTCTGTGGCAAAAGTTAAATTCTACAAAAGCAAAAATGAAAATTCTAACAACATGATTTTCTTTAAAAATTGTTTAACTTGTAAAAAAGATAAATATTTCAGAATATTGGTTGGAGAGATAACTTCGACACTAAATCACATACTTTTTGTAATATCTGAATTATCTTCCTGTATATTTTAAATATGGAAGTGGCTAGCCGTACGGGCCCGTACGGCTAGCCAAAAGTTCTAGCCGTACGTGAGTCACGTACGACTAGCCAGGACACACTGTATTGGCTAGCCGTACCGCACTTTTCAAAAATATATAATGAAGGCGAAAGTGCATATGTTAATTATGACTTTAAGCGAGGGTTTTAGTCAAGAATGTTTACATTTTAGATCGACGTGTTGGCTACAGTAAATAATTTACTTTGTCATCTCAAGACGTCGAGAAAAAATAGCGTTTGGTTGCAGTTAAACAACATGAATTGAAATAGTTTACAAAATTTGATAATAATCTATTTTTGTTTCATTAAGTTTAATTTTTAAACTGAAAAAAAAAAAACACCGAAAAAAATTGTTGCTGGGCTCTGATAATTGCGTCAATTACCGCCGGTATAGAAGTTTGTTAAGAAAAGTTTGCATTATTAAATTATTTTTCCTTTTCACCGTTTTTTTTTTTAATATTCTTTTTATTTATTTATTTACTTCCCTCCGATCATTATTTATTCGATCCATGTGCTTAATTAACAGATTTAACAATTCATCTTTCATACAATTCATAAGCATGAAAATTAAGGACGTTAATTATAACATGCAACTTTGACATTCAATTTTATTAAGATAGATTATACAACGCTTACTCGTATTTATTTTTTTGTGCAAAATTGCGGAGCATCTTTATTAAAGTGAACACACTAGGACAAATGCGGAGATTTGATTAAAATCGTTGTTTAAAGACACAAAATAACAAATGCATTTTCGACTTCCATATAATTTTGAAAAGTGCCGTACGGCTAGCCAATACAGTGTGTCCAGGCTAGTCGTACGTGACTCACATACGGCTAGAACTTTTGGCTAGCCGTACGGGCCCGTACGGCTAGCCACTTCCTTTAAATATTGAACCACCTAAATAAAGTTCAGTTCAAAGACTTTACATTACACTACCAAAATTATGTATGAAAATGAGAATTGGTACTTCTTTAAGGTCCTGAATGGGGTATACAAAACATGGTCTATTTACCCCACAACAGTAGATGAAGTCAACACTAAAATTTTTAAGTAAAAAATGACAGGAAAATCAGCATCATCAATTTATTTTTACATCTTATATGTTTTATCTTTTTTTGTTGATGTAAAAACAAGTTTTCAAAAATCTTTCCCAAGTCAGTGGCCTGTGGTCAATACATTTCTAACTACCTCATTGTAATTTAGTAAAAAGAACGTTTTGAAGCATTTTTTGCCAACGAAAAGATTCGGTTAATTGAAAATTTTAAAAAGTTTACCAACTTACAAAAAATCATCACATTCTGTACTGCTCCTATAATACTATGTGACCATATGCTTTTTTGTTGAAAAACAAAGTTATGAAAATTATATTTAGCAAGTGTCGGAGTTATCTATGTGTCAGAGTTATCTCTCTGACCAGTAATGTTTTTAAAGCCATGATCTGTTGAAAAAAATAGATTGTTCAGAATATTTGCCGACAAACCACACCATTTTTGAAAATGCACCAAATTAAGCATCAGATATTTGTAAATTTTAACACGGATTTTACAGCCTCGTGAAATATTATCAAATCTTTACACAATACGAGTACATAACATTTTTCTCTGTAAAATCAATTTCTATTTTGTCATTGAACAATGCATAAATTTATAAAAGCTTATGAAAGTCAGAGCTATCTTCAAATATGAGAAGTAGATTTTTACCTTGACACCGTGAATGAAAAATTCCTTATTTCATTGCAAATCTATGAAATTGTTATTTTTTAATGTAAATAATGTTACTGTAATGTAGCCAGGATAAGTTTTCAGTAAGTTTTTGATCAATTTAAATTTCATCAAAATATTGTCTTGTAATTTAATTTTTTGACAGTGTTATTTGTATGCCAGATTAGGGTCGGTAGATAACCTTATCACGTGACTCAGCTGAGACATTTTTTTTTAAAAATTGGTGCGACTCAAGACCATTCTATTTGAAACACCATGGACAACATCACTTTCGTGTCATCACTTTTAACGATAATGGTCTGTCAAAATTACAAACACTTTGGGATCAGATCTGTCCCCCAGATTGATCCAACCTTTATTTACTGTCAATAATTTTTTTTAAAAAACAACAACACTTTGACACAAATCATGGGACATCTGCCATCATTTGACATGTTATAAACCATTCCACAAGAATAACAAAAAATCCCATTTAACGGGTCTTGCACCAAAGTATCTCTGTGGTTATAAGATATTTGTAGGTAACTCCAAAACAATCATTACTTTCCATATATTCTTATTTGTTGAAAAAAAATAATTTTGCCTTTATTTAATACAAAGGTAAAATTAGTTTACATATTTGAAATAAAGCAATATGACATTCAGTAATTCTTAACAAATTATGAAAAAAACTTTGAAATATGCTATTTACTGCAAGTAAAATAATAACCTAATGTTTGGCCTAATAAATCTATTTTTGATTGAATGTGTTGTTGTTTCCTTGTGCCATACAACAGAAAATATGTGAAACACACAGCAGACCTTAACCTTTTAGAGTAAATTTCTTAGGTAAACTGGTAAAATAAACTTAGTAAAAGCTGGGACATACGAAAAGTTATCGTATATCCCAGGTAAAAGTCATACAAATTACAACTTGCTTATTATGATAATGTTATTTAATTTGTAAATTGTATCTTTTTAGTTAGAGTAGAACATGGTCCATGAAATAGAAAACTTCTATGGTGTTTATCTACTGTATAATGTCAACCCAAAGTTCAAAGGTCGTACATATATTGGATACACAGTAGACCCAAATCGTAGAATAAAGCAGCATAACCAAGGTGTTCAGGCTGGCGGGGCATATAGAACCAGTGGTAAAGGTCCTTGGTATGAAATTTTTCATTAAAAAATTCTAAATGTTTCCTGTTTTAGTTGCCAAGCAACAGATAACTTCTGTACATGCCAGAGCAGAGGTACAGTGCGAATTATCATAGATTAGTCACAACCTAAGTGACTTGCACTGTCCAGGAATCGAACCTGGGTTGTCTGATTCACAGTCCAATGCTCTATCTGTTTAGCTAACCACACGTACAGTCATTTCCTTCAAGCACAAATTAACAAGAATTTATAGTTTGGTAACCTATGGCATGAACATGTAGCTGTAAAGTTAACAATATCAGTTTATCATTGTGTACATTTTCTGTGTGACTAACAACAATATTATTTTTACCGACAAAAATTAAGCTTTTAAAGATCTATGTACAAATGTATGTTATATTTTGAATGAAGTGATGATTTAGAAACAAAATGATCAAAACTGAAAATTCACCATAGTATTACGAGGTCACAGTATACTAAGTCTACATTATCAGCTTGACAAAAGACCAAATTTTTGAAAGTCTGATGTTTTTTTAAAAGAGATTTAATGATATATTTTTATTAATTAAATGTGATCAAAACGTATAAATGCTGATATCCCAATCTTACATGTATGTAACTATATTTTTCAGGGAGATGGTACTTATTATACATGGGTTTCCAAATGATATCTCAGGACTGAGGGTAATATTTTGATACCTATGTGTATTAATATTTATTATTTTAATCTGGATACCTACATGTATTAATTTTACTACTATAGGTAGTCTGGATGTTATCTAGCCATGAAATCCTGAGGGTCATTTTGACTAAGTTTTACTGACTACAAGGTCAAATCACCATGATTTTAATAAAATTTGACTCTCCAGTTAAAATCCTGAGGGTCAAATCAGGCCTTTTGGAAATTTGAAGGGTCAAAGAGTCATTTCAAGGGTCAAGTGGACACTGGTAGTGGCAACTAAAATGCTTGCCTGCCACCAGTATAGAGCCAGGGAAGTGTGTACATCCATACAGCATTACCTGGCTCTATACACATAATATATTCTTGGCTGTTAAATTTAAGCATTTTAATCAAGATCCTTCGCATTAGTAATAGACTGTTCAATAATAAATGATCAGTGCTGACAGTTTTATATGATATTTAACTTCATGTTCAGTAGCTTTTATCAAGACATCTTTCAAAAATATCAGATATCAATGAGTTTATAATACTAGGGATATTAAATATATAACAAATAATCACTTTACTTTGTGATAGAGGAGAAGTCAGATGTTTGAATAAAACCATATGAAAGACACACTAGATGGTTAAAATTATTATCAATAAATGATTAAAAATGTATCTGAAAATCACAACAATCTAAAGGTGAATAAAGCTATATATAATGAAATATTTTCATGAAATTCAAAAGTGGCAAAATTATTTTGTCTCCATAATCTTATAGTTGTTTCTTGAAAGAGTTGTAGCATAAGATGTTGATGCTATTAAACACATGAAAGCTTTGTGTACACAGAATAATATTTTCCAAAACAAAATCATTATGCTGCTATTTTGAGTAGGTTTTACACCTTTAAGCAATGATTTTGTGATTGTGCCATTTTCTCAAAAGGAAATACACCAACATATTTCTTTCATACTGGCATTTTGGAGTTGTTGTGTTTTTCATAACTCAAAGAAAAAGTTTGTTAACTGCAGGCAGCAGAGATAAAGCTTCATACAATACATGAAGTCTATCAATTTGATAGTATCCCAGATCATTGCAGTTTTGTTATAAAGTAAGTTCTTGTTACAGTTTGAATGGGCATGGCAACATCCAGAAAAATCTCGCAGACTGAAACATCTAACGAGGAAAACTAAGAAAGAGAAACAGTTTGAGTACAGATTCAGGTAAATAGTTGTTTTAGTAAGAAGCAATAATCAACTATTAGTGTGACCTTTGCTCAGAAGGGGTGCCATGGCCGAGTGGTTAAAGGGGCAACATTCGCTGCCACGGCAGCGAGTATTTGTGGGTGTGACTAATCAGTGATGTAAAACTGTCTGTTATAAACCCTGAACTATAAATAGCATGCAGTGTTAACCTGCAGAGAGAATGTAAACAAAACAGCTGATTTAAAACAGGAGAGGTTTAATGGATGTTTTATATAACTCACAGATTAATTAAAGGCATTATTATTTTTGAAGTCAGTTGTTTTTCTTTTTTTCACTGGAATGCTGTATATGTCCTTCATCAAGTCAGACAATTATATCCAAATCCGAAAGATGTGCCTTACATGGGGCATTTCTTTTGAACAACCTGCTAAAAATGTTCTTAACAGGAATTTAAAATATTTTTAAGCTGTTAATGTATAAAATTTTTATGCATATGCAACATTTAGTTTCATTAACATTTGTGAAATGTAGTTTTTGACTACAAGATATTTACAACAAAATAAAGTGTAAATGAAATAAACCTGGAAGTTACTTTTACTATTTTCATGAAACCATTCAAATACAAGTTAAATCAGTACTTTGAAATTTTAAAAAAAATCGTATTTTAATGGATTATTGTAAATTTGTTGGGTTTGATAAAGCAAGTCAGTAAAAGTTATTGTTTTTTTCTTATCATGTATTCAGCATTCCAATGTGTCGTCTGCTGAAAATCTCCCTCCCTGAAATATACATCGTCTGCTACAAATCTCTCTCCCTGAAATAAACACTGCCATGTGCTTCTGTTTACTACTGAAGGTTCATGACCTGTAATGATCACATGGCTCCTCCCAGGGAAATTCAAATTTCAAATTTGACAGCCAGTATTTTTTTCCAGAAATACTCTTTAAAAAGTTATATTTTGAATAATTTTGGTCAATCTTTATCAAAAATATCTATGCCTACAAACATGCCAAGTGTTGTTTTAATGCATATGGTAATTAATCTTAAATCTTTGAAAAAGGGTCCCTGAAGTGAAGCATGCATAAAATTAATAAGAAACCTGCCCTAGCGCCATCTGCTGGCTTTTATAGTCCAGTTGGGCCTTTAAGGTCATTCACTTCAAACCACTTACCTCTCACAGCTGTGTGTTTGAATCCCACCAGAGACCTTGAATCCTCTATGTGAGGAAGCTATCCAGCTAATTTACAGAGCATTGGTGATTCTAATAAGGTGCTTATGGTGCCTAAAATAATGCACAGAATGGCACTTGAGGTCTTCCTCCACCATTAAAACTGGAAAGTGGTACAGTGACCTTTTACAGTGTTGGTGCGATGTTAAACCCAACCAGAACAATAGTCTTGGCTCAGTCTGAACAGAGTTTGCTCAATTTAAGTATTAGGAGTCAAACAAATCTTCTGAATCCCCTTCAAATGACAACGGACTGTTCCAGATTCAAAGCCTGGCAAGTTTATTATACAAATTTTAACCATGTAAAGGCTGAATATGTACAGGGTTATTTGGTTTCTACAGCCTAATTTATGTGTCACTTATCTATGCAGGTTACAAAACCAGGCAGTTCCTTATTAAGAAATAAATATTTGTGACTTATTATACTTACTATATAGATTTGTATCTTTTCAGGATCGTGTCTGAAATGTTACGGACTGCACCATGGAACAGATTAGCTCTAACAATAAGATGGCTGAAACAAGAATTTGTTAGAGAGTTTGACCCCAAGTTAACCCCTCCTTTACACATGGCGGTAGCATATGGTCCTGTTAAAAGCAAGAAAGTGAAGAATAGTAAATATATAGAGGATATTTGTTTGTTTGTGTGTAAGATGAAATTTTATTTCATCGAGTGGGCTTTAAAAAACAGTATTCTCACGAGTGGCGTAGCCACGAGTGAGAATACTGTTTTTAAAGTTCACAAGATGAAATAAAATTACATCTTACATAACAAACAAACAAATTTTCTTTTTATTTTATGCTTAAAAACAGGTTAAAACGAAATTTCCTTAATATTTACGTTAATATTAAAATCTGTTTTCCCCATTGAGAGCCTCAAAAAGTCGAATTTCTCATTAAGTACAAGAAGTCATGAGCTGAAAAATAAGTTCCACAATCAATGTTAAAAGGTAGTGATAGTATTCATTTTATTAAAAAAAAATATGTCTGATCGCTTGTTTTAATAATAAAAACAAACAATTCTAGTAGGAGAAAAAGTCCAACCATCCATCCATATTTCTGTTACTGACTGCGAATTTATATTAGACCTGGCTTTGTTAAATGTAAACGGAATAGTCAGCAAAAATAAAATTGAGGTACCACATGGGGAAAATCTTAAAAAAGTGGTTTCGTCATTGAAAAGTGTGAAATTATATTTTGATAATTTTCACTGTGAAAATCTCAATGGTGTTTGGACTTTACACCTCCTGGATGTTTCACCCCTGGACGTTTCACCCTCAAAACCCTGGTCTTTTCACCTCCACTTTTTTTGCATGTACATGTATTTGAAGTTTTTTTAACAGGACTTGGTTTAAACATATTTATTTAAGCTCGATTGCGAAACAAGTTCTTGCTACTTATATTTATCACTTTCGAGTCCGCTTCCTGGAACCAACCAGTACTGGTGTAATATGGAGGAAAAACATGGTGGTGGCCTGATTAGGGCTCGAACCCAGGATCAGCGGGTTGAGAGGCAGATACCATAACCACTAGGCCACCTCTCCCCTTAGACTTAACAGGACTTGAGCAGGGATTTTGATATACTTAGTATGTTAATCTCATTTGTGACATATGGTACATTATTAAATACTATTCTAACATTTTTTCAAGTCAAAGCAACAGAGACAAAGGGAGGTAACACAGACTCTGGAGAAGACATTGATGCTGACATAATTGCTGCCCCTGTCAGTAAACATACAAGATGTGCAGTGTGTATGAAACTTATAATGGTAAGCCATCAGTTTCCAGAAATAATTACAGAATTACTTAATCTTATGGATTGTGACATTTTCTGTCTTTTACTTGGTGAGAAGTGGGGCTTCTCTGACATGTGCTACTGTGAACTAATTTAATTTTGTGGGCATGTTTCATGGTTTTGTCACAAAGAACATTTTCGTGGGTTTTTAAATTCATAGACTGTCTATTTTTCCAAAAGGTAAAATGTAAATAATGTGATGCAAAATGATCTTACAGCAGACAAAAAGTAGTTTCATTGGATCTTACATTAGTGGATTGGCCTATCCACGAAAATTAGTTCCCCACGAATAATAATAATTTTGCAGTATTTTGATTGAATGGTTTTCATGTATATAATTTGTTAACATAAGTTGAATAATTTTCAATGCAGATATTTTATACTTTACTTTTATAGCTAGAAGAACATAAAGGCATTATTGATTAAATTTTTATTGATTCAACATGCATGTACAAGTATACTGTTGTTATATAGGTTGTAAAATACATGTATATGATGTTTTTCAGAGTGATTCCCAGTCTGTAAGTTGTTATCGTCCTAAATGCTCCATGATATCACATATGACGTGTTTAGCGAAGTCATTTCTGACAAAGAAACAGGAGGAGAAAACTCATATACTGCCAGTAGATGGCGCTTGTCCCCGATGTTCGCAGCAACTTCTGTGGGGTGATATCATTAGACATAAACATGGCTGCTACCAAACATTAACTGAGGTTGGTACTTATAATGTATATACATGTAAAACTCTTTGTCTGTTCTTGAATTCTTTATGATTTTATGTGGTTCTAACCATTCTATCTTTACTACATGTACCAAGTTTTTGTGAAAATAAAAGTTTTGTGGAATAATGCACAGATTGGGAGCTCAGATTTTTTCCAAAACTAAAAATTTGAAGATTATCAAATGATGTAGGACTAACCAGGGTAATACTTTACCTATTAAAACAGAATTTTTCATTATACCGATTGGTAAAGGGAAATACATATTACATGTATGTGCATACTTTATAGGTTGTTATAGAAAGATTAATCTGAAACTTTTATTGGTAAATATAGAAATAAAAAGTTCCAATGCAACACTCACCCCTAAGACCTGAATAAGAATAGAATTAAATGAATTCATTTAAGAAAAAAAAGACAATTATGAATTTAATTGGCGATATAGGACCTTTTGTTGTTTTGTTTCAATTCATCCTTCCTAATTCCTTAAGTATTTCTTATTCATTTAAGCTAGGGCTAATATTTTATGTAATTTTACATATATGTTAAAAAAAATATCATAATGTACATGCTAAGATTATAATTTTCTGTTTAGGTGACTTAAAGGTCCAATTAGCCGGGGGTTTATCTTCGTATATTTTTGTTTATGTATATACATGTTCTTACAACACATGTCACTATAATAAAGAAATTACTTACATACATGTACTTGTCTTACAAGGTCACAGAAGAAGAAGACAGTGATGATGACCACTGGGCCAATGAACTTCAAACTCAGGTCACATGATACAGCGCCAGAGAGATTGTATAACTGACCAAAATCTTTGCATTCCGTAACAACTTTTGTAACTCAGCAGATTAACTACATGTATTATAAATGAAATCTATGTGTATGTCCTTTTTGATGTACATGTTTTATTTTGATAAATTTAACCTATATATATACATATGATATAAGATGGAACTCTCAAAAGTCAGGGTCTAAATTTTGGCTTATTCACGTTTATATGTAAAACTAAACTTATCAGTGAGTAAAGATAGTACATGTAGTCATCTTTTACTTTGTGCAATAAATTGAAGATATTAATGGACCAGATGCTAGTCTTAAAATCTAAAATATTGAAGAAATCACATTGTATTGTTGAATATTTGTCTTGAACAAGAAAGTGTTTATCAACATATGTAAAACCTCAAAGTGATGAACTTTGTAATTGTGTGTTTTGAAAATAATCTTTTACTATTTTATAAAAGTAAAAGTTTTATATAGCTCAGAATATGTGTTAGAAATAAGCTCAGCAAAGCAAAAAAGTTGGGATATCTGTGAAAGTTAAGATCACAAACCTACTTCGTATATTTCCAAACTTTGTTTGATATTTTTGCATTCATACATTTTTTAAAATTATACATATCATAATATTATACACTTAGAGCTTATCAGGTTTTTAAGTTAAAGTAAAACAGTATACTATAATAAAATAAAATGTTATAAATCTTGCACTGTTTTGATGCTAATTCCCGCTTCACATTCAGAATTGTTAAAAAGACATTGAGAATATTGATAGCAGTATTACTACATAATGCCTTTTCCTGGCATAATTATTTGTTATACAGGGTCTTATTTGTTAAAAAATTCTGAAATCAACAGAATATAGATTTGACTCTGGTATTAGGGATAAATTAGAAATTTGATTCTCAGGAATATGTCTCACAGCTACATGTATGTCAAGTTTTCAAAATAAATCAATGAAAATTTCTTTTAAAGAAAAACACAACTGTTCAGATACATTGTTATGAAATTCTAAGACTTGTTTCAAAGCCTCTTAACTGCCTAGGTTCATCCCCGTCACTCCGTCAGGGGCATGTATTGTTTCTTTGAGCAAGAAATTTGACACTAGATTATCTGGGTTCCAGTGACGGATTACAGATAATATCTATAACCGTAAAGCTTCCTTTATAGTCGAACTAAAATTTTGCCTTTTCTTGTACAAACATTAAATCAATGAATGATGCTTGAATAAGATAGAACAACAACAAAAACAACATGTAACATTGTGTCAATCAACAGGTCAATGTCACGTGCACTAATTAAGTAGTAGCCACTAGAGGCTATGATCTGAACTGCGCTCGATCATCCCCAGCAGACATCATAACTTCTACAGGTCAAGGTTGCAAATACCAAAGAATTGGAAATCCTTGCAGGACGATTATGACCAGTTGACAGTAGTTTTATGGATCATACAAAATACAGTTTATTATTTATTCTAGTAGGTTAAAGTTGGTGTCGAGATTTCATGCTGCTTTAAAGATACTTTAAAACAGGATTTTAGATCTCTGAAACAAAACAGGATGGTAAAGTAATAAATAAATGTGACAGAACAAGAATACGGCCTTACGTAGACCCCAAACCGAGTCGGTCCAAGTCCTGAACAAGATTTGCCTTGTTTTCATTCTGTCAAAATGAGTAACCTTTCGGGAAGACTAAGTTTGCAGTTCAAATCTTAACAGTCTCTGCAGTCACTTTTTTGAAAATTTATAACGTAGTCAATACAGCAATAGTGAAAGTTGTTATTGCAATTAAAGAAGAGGTTTTTTTGCTGGGGTTAAGGTCATATGGCGACTTTTTAGCTTTACTTGTTGAGGAAGACCTCAGTTGCCCCCGCCCCCACTGCTGTGATAGCAAAGGAGAGGTAACAGTTTCCTAACTAACAGGGTTGAAAAGCAAAACCTTATGTCTTAAAGATGTGTAGTTTTAATATTAATGCCGTACATAAGTGTTATGCTTTTTATAAATACATGTTCTCCAAACACACATGTAATCTTTTATTCATAACTTGTTACCATTTATTTCATTTATCATCTCTGTTAAGCTATATACAATCATGTATATATAGATATAAATTGTACATGTACATTTATATTCCAGGTACAGTGTACGTCAATTTTGACAAATATGTACCACAGCCAAACTTACTTGTATAAGTCCTAAATAACATAGATCGTTCCCGCTTCTTGAAATACGAGTTTTTATTTCGTACCAAAATTGGTATACAATGCACCGTATTCTTTGTTAGCAAGCTCAATATTTTACATTCAGATTAAGCTTTGCAAACTATGTTCCATGTGACAATATACTAAGTATACTCTGACATACATTCACTAATTTGTTTAAGATCTCATTTGACTTTTAATTTGACTTTCGCGTAAAATAGAAGACTAATGCTGGACTACTGTCCCCATGTCTCACGTACTTTAGCCACGTGCCTATAAAAATAGTTAAGAGTGTATTTAGATCTACAAAGAGATTTCCGAAGGCAAGCTCGCTAGCAGTCTAAGAACAGACCCCCAATGTACCGGAGAAGACGAAAACAGCGAAGACTCGTGCAATTTATTTGGCGCGAAAAGTGAATGAAACTGGAGGTTTGGACCAGTTTTAATATCTTCAGACACATTCTAGGTAACATCAACCTTACACTTTCAGAGAATACCTAATAAAGGTCCTGCAGATGTAGGCCCCTAATGATTGCTCCGATAACGCATAATTTTACTTATCACCAATTTTAAATTGATTAGCCATTTAGCAGACCCACCACTATTAAAATACGTCTCCTGGTAAATGGAAACTTGGCATCATTTCATAAAAAATTATAGAGTTTTAGAATCATATCCTTTCACGCATGGCTCTTGCAGATATATCATATGTACAGTACAGGTCAGCTTCTTCAGAGCAACACTTTGGAAGGCAAAGATTTTGGTTGTTGTTGAAACGTGTTCATTGAGAGGTAAAATTTACTATAAATTGTTTCTTTTTAATGGAAATGATGATACTGCTGTTGTAAAGAAGAGATCATTTCGCTACAGAGAGTCGCTCTTCGGGGTTTGCGACAAGAGTAACAAAAACAGAAATGTCGTTATATTCTTCATCTTGGTCGTCGGGGTAAACCTGTTTGCAATATCTCCCGTTGACTTTAATCTCTCCATCTAGCAACACAAATGAGATAATTGTCAATTATCAAATATTTTTTAAACTTTTGAAGCACACTAGATGAACACTATAATGCGGCTTTATAGATTAAAAATGCCATTCTCAAAGTGCTGTGGACGGGTGATTGTTAAGTAAGAAAATTATTTGTAATGTTTGTTTAATATGCTCATTTGAAAAGATATGCATCTTTTTTTCAATAAATAATGATTTGCGTAATTGAATAATGAAATTATATTGATCAAATATTGTTATATACCCTTCGCGATATCTAGAACGCGTTTCACGTGCATTTTAGTGGATCTTGTATCCAGCGCACGATTTTATGGAGAAAATGAGAAAAATAACCAATTGTGCATTTTTAGGAGCGTTTAGCTATTATTTAAAAAAAAAATGTTGCAATCAAAAAGTATATCGATAAAATGAGTTCGTATAGTGGCGGAAGTAATGGGTAATACGTAACTCTGTATTCATGAACCGGTTACTTCCCCTTTCTGAAACATGGCCGTTCTGACGCCATGTCCGCAATGACAAAGACATAAAAAATTCAGGAATTTGTCCTGATGTCCGCATTTAATAGAATCATATCTTTGTTAGAAACTGAGTTTAAATATTTTAGAAGGTCGTTTTGTACAGAGGGAGTAGAAAGCTTCAAAGAAATTTGGAGCTTTCGCAATTTAATTTATGGAATAATATGAATCTGGATTCGTTATCATTTGCTTTAGCAGAAATCAGTTATTCCGTGGCAAATTTCACAAAGAAAAACTACAGATCTAGTGTAGCTGAAATAAATCATGTAAGGATATATCTTTAGCTATATAATTAGATATTCTATGGAGGATGCCAGACCTCGAGTGTCGGAACTTTCGTACTCAATTTAACTCGAGTCATTCTGGCGAATACATAATTTTTCTCTATGCCATGGACTTAACATAAACACTAAACAGTGTACTTATTGCAACAGTTATGAGTATATTTTGTAGTATTAAATTTCTGTTTAATCAGATCAAGATTTTATCAGGGCAATTGTTGTGAACAAGTATAGGTGGTGGTTGAAGCCGCTCTACCACGCCTCCACCCAAGATGATGGGCGGTGGGTTGTAGGGAATATGAGCAAGTTTTATTTTCCATCTGCTTGAGTAAAGCTGTCGTTTTTATTGCCAACAGAATGGGGCTTTTAATATGGATTTTATTGTCTATTGTTGGGAGTGTCATCGCTGATAGGCCTTCATTTAGTATCTTTTAGTAAACTAGACTCTTTCACCCATATTAAAAGTACTCATTGGTACCAGAAATTTGTGAATTCAAATTGTTATGTATATATTTGAGACCGTCCCACTGAACAATTTTAAATGTTAATGAAAAAAGTTATTAAAGTTGAAATATAAGATTATGATAGGTATCATATTTGTTTCAGTTGGTGAGTCAACACGGGGCTGAGGCAGATAGACATCTGTTTCGCTGCTTATTCTCTCATGTCGACTTTAGTAGTGATGGTAAAAGTGCTGGGAAAGATATCCATCAGGTATTTCCAGAATAATTTGTGTTATGAACCATATTTTCTGGAATCTATAAGTTTATTTACTCTTTAAAATTGAGTTTTACAAATTCAATCCCTTCAATTTTGTGTTTTTAAGCTTTTAAATTTTTCATAAACATTGGTGGACACAAAATATTGCTGATTGATAGACCCAATCTGACAAGCAACGGGTCGTTTAGGTACTTAAGTAACATTTAGTAGCATTTACTAGTTATTAATCTATTTACCACTGCAGGAACTACACTACCAGTATCATTTGCTTCTTGAAACATCTGATAAAAACTTATATGTAATGTAAAGCTTTACTTATTAACTTGTGGACATTAAATGCTATCACTGAGGGTTGAGGCTATTATGTTTCTAAAGTTCTTTAGTATAAATAACTTTATTTTCATGCTAAATGTGGGCTTTATATAAAGAAGTTACAAACTTCCTGTTTTCTGCACTGTGTAAATACTAAAAAATGTCCTCCCTTTTATCATCATGAAAGCAAGATGCGAACATTTTTCTTCCTCATTGATTGATAAATTTAATGTATCTGCAGTATTTAATTGCACAATAACTGTTGTTTTCATAATTTATTTCCTGGCAAATAGATTTCCATGACAATGATAAAAGGAAATAAACTGAAACTTGTTAACAAATTTTTCAGTATTTTCTGTAAGCCCCAGTGCCAGGACTAATCACTGGCTTCTGCACAGTTTACTGGCTTGCTAAATATCTTAATGGACTTTTCCATCTTTCAATATGGACTAAACCATTCATCATTTGTAGGGGAAATTTTTAAATAAATACTAACAGTGCATACCCAGATGGGATAGCATGCATGTGCCAGCTGATCTTGATTTCCACTGGTTGCATGGGTTAAAAATTTATGTAGAACACTAACTTCTATAACTAAATTTCTTGTTGTTGTTTTCAGACCCAGTTTTTGATACAGGAGTGTAATTCACTTTTGACAAAGCCCAACTTTGTTTCAACCTTGTGTTTTGCAATAGATAGTCCCTTACACCATCAAAAGGTTAGTAAACTTAGTATACAAGATAAATTTATTGTCTGATATGTAATCATGGCATTATTTGAAGAAAAACTTTATTATAATCAAAATTTTACGAGGATTATATACTTGAAATCAGAAGTACACTATAGGTAATCATTAACTTGCATGTATCACCAGTGTATTGGAAGCTCTGCCTGCTTATCCATGCAGCCTGACAATACATTTAGACTGTTGGCTTCTCAATATTAGTGTTATCATTATGATGTTTAAATCTCTAATCTCTGAAAGATGATGTTTAAATATCTGAAAGCACCAAAAGTATCTAGACAGTTAATTAATTCAAAAACATTATATATCTGTTGCATATATTCAACAGGGCCAAATACAATTAGTTGAGAGTAAAATTGTGATAAATATTTTTTTAATAGATTTTGTTGATAAATTTTGAAACTCTTGTTTTAAAAAAGAATAAGCAATTAAAGATTAATTTAACCTTTAATGCCAATTTCAAAAATGTGTTGTGTCTCACTCAATTTTCATTTCACTATCAAATTTCAGACTTTAAAACCATCAGTGCACCTGTTCTCACAAATCAGTAAGATTTTACGTCTGACTCGTGTTCAAGAAGTCGTGTTTGGTCTCGCACTGTTAAACTCCTCCAATTCGGAAATCCGAGCTCACGCCACTCAGTTCGTGAAACAGAAGCTTCCAGATTTACTGCGATCATATGTAGATGCCGGTAAGAAAAATATTTTCTACGAAGATTTTGTTGGATTAATCATTTGACAAGAAAACGTGAATGCCAATTGATATAAATCTGACTTCAATAATTATACCATTGCACAGCTATATTCTTTGCTCTTGAAAGAAAGCTATTTTGTTTTCCAAGCTATAATTTGTGACATCCAATGTGTTGGTATATAAAAATTTCTGGGTGAGTTCGAGGGGTTAAATGTATAGAAGGGAATTTCTACTATGAATGTTATATTGACAGTCTGTAGTATATAATAACTTATTTCGCTTTAAGGTAAGTAAATACCTTTTGTTATGGAGAATAATTCAAGTCTTGCAATGTATAATGATTCCAGGGTTTTCATTATACCCCCGCACAACAAAGTTGTAAGGGGGGTATACTGGAATCAGCTTGTCCGTCCGTCCGGCTGTCCGTCGGTTTTTTCTTGTCTGCCCAGTAACTTAAGATTCCTTTGACCCTTAGTCTTCATATTTGGCATGGAGGTTAGTCATGATTAGTAGATGACCCCTATTGATTTTGAGGTCAAAGGTCAAGGTCACAGGGGCCTTGACTTCAAAAAGCTTGTCCGCCCAATAACTTAAGATTCCTTTGACCCACAGTCGTCATATTTGGCATGGAGGTTAGTCATGATTAGTAGATGACCCCTATTGATTTTGAGGTCACCATGTCAAAGGTCAAGGTCACAGGGGCTTTGACTTCAAAAAGCTTGTCAGCCCAATATCTTAAGATTCCTTTGACCCACAGTCTTCATATTTGGCATGGAGGTTAGTCATGATTAGTAGATGACCCCTATTGATTTTGAGGTCAAAGGTCAAGGTCACAGGGGCCTTGACTTCAAAAAGCTTGTCCGCCCAATAACTTAAGATTCCTTTGACCTACAGTCGTCATATTTGGCATGGAGGTTAGTCATGATTAGTAGATGACCACTATTGATTTTGAGGTCACCATGTCAAAGGTCAAGGTCACAGGGGCTTTGACTTCAAAAAGCTTGTCCGCCCAATAACTTAAGATTCCTTTGACCCACAGTCGTCATATTTGGCATGGAGGTAAGTCATGATTAGTAGATGACCCCTATTGATTTTGAGATCACCAGGTCAAAGGTCAAGGTCACAGGGGCCTTGACTTCAAAAAGCTTGTCCGCCCAATAACTTAAGATTCCTTTTACCCACAGTCTTCATATTTGGAATGGAGGTTAGTCATGATTAGTAGATGACCCCTATTGATTTTGAGGTCACCAGGTCAAAGGTCAAGGTCACAGGGACTTTGACTTCAAAAGGTTTGTCTGCCCAATAACTTAAGATTCCTTTGACCAATAGTCTTCATATTTGGCATGGATGTTGATCATGATTAGTAGATGACCCCTATTGATTTTGAGGTCACTGGATCAAAGGTCAAGGTCATAGGGACTTTGACTTTAAAAAGTTTGTCCACCCATTAACTTAAGATTCCTTTGACCCACAGTCTTCATATTTGGCATGGATGTTGATCATGACTATAAGGTGACCCCTATTGATTTTGAGGTCACTAGGTCAAAGGTCAAGGTCACAGGGACCTTGACAAAAAAAAAGCTTTTCTTCTCAATTGCTTAAGAATGTCCTGTCCGCAATGTATTGATTTTGACATTTTCACATTTGAAGCATGTAGAATACATAACTTAGCAATGGACTGGCTTAGTAACCTCAGATTTGGCAGGGAGGTTGTCCTTGAGCTCTAAATGGCCACTGTTGATTCTGACAAAGTGGTATGCGGGGGTATTCACGCCATGATAGTGGCAGTTCTAGTTATAAACAGAGTGGGGATCCATATCATTGGTTAAATGCTGTTAAAATCCATTTATTTGCAGCCAGTAGATTAAAATATTCCCCTGGACCCTATGCAAAATTTGCTGTTTTCATGGGCACGTATGCTGCCTCAGATAAAAATGAAAATCCTGGATTATCCATTCCAGAAGAAACAATTGGTTTTTTAGTGTGCAAGATGTAAAGCACTTGTTTTAATTTCTCTCTTGAAAGCAAATTTGTAAGGTTTATTTGAAGTAGGAAGGCATTGGACTTGTGAATGCTAGATTTAGTGTAATGAATGCTTGTTTTATGATTTGTTATAATTCCAAGATTCGGCTGTGAGACAAGAGGGTGGACTTCAAGACATTGCTATTGAAGTTCTACATCTGTTGTTAGCTCATCTTGTTCACTCGAAAGAACAGTTTGGTATTGGTGTTGACCAGAAGGAAGCATTTCTCAAAACGCTTAGAAAAGGTATGTTCATATGATTAATTTTTCAAGCATAATTTTTTGGCCGTATTTTTTGTTTGAGTCTTTGGCTTGAGAATTTTTTGATATGCTTGCTTGCAAAGCTAGATAAAGAGGTGGTGCAATTTTCATTGACCTATAAACAGACTCAATTAAATTGTGTCTTTTATTTTCAAGTAATGTGTTAGTTTTCAATTGGCAGAGCATCATATTTGTAATTCATGTGTGACTCTTCTGTATCAAAATTATTTGAATTTACACCAGGGTTTTCTTACTTCTAAAATTAGCAATTTTAGCCATGATTTTCCAAAATAAAGAAGCTATGGCCTCTTCCCAAAGAAGTGAGGAAAACCACTGTGTGATGAAAAGTTGGCGAAAGTTCTTTTATTAGGTGCTAGCTCTCTATGGGTTACAAAATTTTTACCACAGTCGTTTACATTTTAAGAAGGTTGTCCAAACAGATTTAATCATAACTCACATTGAATGCTAGCTTGAATTAAGATGTTATTTATCAGAGGGATGATATTAAGTGAGTTTGTACCAAATGCTGAACACTGTAGCATACAATGAAAATAGACTTTTGTTGTGTTTCATTGATACCTTATATTTTTGTTGTGTTTCATTGATACCTTATATTTCTGTTATTGTAGATTTTCCTCGAGACCGTGTACCTGTTGTAATTGGACCATTACTATATCCTGAAACAGAAGACATATCAGTGGATAAACTAACATTTGTTACCAATATGCCGAAAACACATGTAAGTAGAAGTGTAAACTAAATATTTGAAATTTTAGTAAATAAAAATGTAAAACACATTAATTGCAGTAATTAATTGCTATGTAAAGTGTTTTTGGACATTTGGTTTATACAGAATTTATTTCAGTTTGATGGTGTAGAAAGCTATAAGCTTATAGACACACTTTTGAATCCATTCCTTGGAACCAACCAGCTCTGGGCAATGAGTGTATAGTTTCTAGCTCAAGGAAACAACGACTAGCCCCTGACTGGGTTTGAACCCATGTGGCTAGCAATTATTAGATTACTAGTCAGATGCATTAACCACTCAGCCATGCCGCCATTTAGCACTATAGAAATCTTTTAAGTTTAATACTCTCTTTTAAAAAAGAAGCAATATGTTAAGGCTACTAAAAGTGAAAAGCAATATGAAGTGTTAGAAAGTGAGCCTAAAAGTGTGGTGGCATATTGAAAAGTTATTCATTTAAAGATAATAGCAATTTTATTTTGTTACAGCTTGATGCCTCTTTAGCGGATATGATTTTGGAGTCGGGCTTTGCCTGTACGTCCACGTAAGTTCGAATATTTTATATATAATTTTTTCCTAATCTTGAGTTTTCAGGAGTTTAAAAAATTACATAATCAAATCAATATTATCAAAAATATGTTTGCCTATCCTTAAGATCTTATTCATTTGAGGAAGCTAGCCTTTGGGGCCTGCATTATGCCTGATTCTTTTTATGTGAAGAAGTTAACTTAGTTAAACTATCTTAAGGAAGGTCAATGATTTATCTTTGTTACCCCCTTGAAAAAGGGGCAGAAAAGGCATTTGAGGTCTTTCTCCACCAGTAAAGCTGGAAAATCGCTGTATAATATGTCTTATACACTGTTGGTGTGATTTGTGAAACCCAATAAGAAAACCCTTAAATATTGAAAAAAATATTTTTGTTCAAGTTAAAGATTAAGGAGAATTGTGGATTAACAATATACTTTTACTGACAAGGGCTATTAATTTATTTTTCAACAAGTAAATTCTTTAATCTATATGTTTTACAGTATAGAAGAATGTCGGAACATTCTGCTACAGTTTGGTCAGAGGGATATATCCCCCAGCGTGGTGGCTCATGTCCTTGGCATGATGGCAAAAACACCATCCGCTCTATCAGATCAGCCAGGACAGGTAATAGATATTAGACTGACTCTCTGTGGGATCTCAATTTGTCATTTTCAAAAAAATTATTTTGATCAACTTTACAAACTTTTTGTTAATTTGATACTAAATTAAGACTTATTTAGTTTCCTTTCAGAAATGATGAGCATTAAATTAAGAGTTTTTTAGTTCCCTTTCAGAAATGATAAACAGAATTTAAGTTTTACAAACTTACCCTGTAATGTTATTTGTAAATATGAAATCTATAATATTCTGAATTTTTCTGCAGAAGTGTATTTAAGAAATGCATATTTAATACTATGGCAGATTAAGTTTTAGATAGCTTGCAAGTTGATAAGCTCCTGTCTGAAAAAAGTTACCAGATGTTTTGGCTTTTTGGGGCCTCTCATAAAAGACCTAGTCAGTTAACTCAACCAAACCTGTGTCTGTGTTTTTTACAGGGAAGTGTTGCACCTGGTAGTGGGTGGGGTGATATGAAGGACAAGATGGATCAACCTGGTGTCAATATGTGGAACGTAGAAAACTTTGTCCAAGTTGTACAAGATTTGGTAAGTTACTGCCAAAAATAATCTATATGTTGCAACAGTTCATGTCTACCCTTTTTATGAACTTAAAATGTTGACTGCCGTTTCAGTAGGGAAGAAGTTGGTTTACTGCCTCCGTGGTAGAGGGGTTAGAGTCGATGACTTCTAATCAAGTTACCTCTCTGGCGTGGGTTCAGTCCAAGGGAGATGCTTTGGTAGTTTAGCACAGAGGAAGGTAGTTTTGTACTGGTGTAACTCTCCAGGAACGATGGTTAGGAAACTACCCACCTATGACTGAAATACTGTTTGGGAAAAGGCGTAAAATGAAACAAACAAACAAAAACAAAACAAAATTTTCAGATATTAATGAGATGACTTCTTGTTTAACTCAGTATATAGAACAATGTCCTTAGTAGTTAACCATGTGTGCTTAGATTAATTTACCTTTTTAAACTGATTTAGTTTCCGGGATGAAATAGAAATGATTCTGTAAATAAAATAGTTAGTATACTTTATTTTGAATATAGTAACTATACTTTGCTGATAATTTTAACATTTGTTAATGTTACAGGCACCTCATATGAGTTGGAGGGATGTTGTAAATGAACTTGACTACCCGCAGTTCATGGTGGCCAATAAACGGGGTTTACGTCTGTTAATGAAGGGGCTCATTCAGGGACTACAGGAAATCTTCCCTGTAGAATACATCTACAGGCAGTGGAAAAACACAGAAGGCCAGGTATTATTGTCAATTAAAGCTGTTAAATTATTTTTATGGTTTAGAATGTTGTTTTTGGATAGAGCATATAGAGATCTGTTTTTCCAATATCCATTCCTTCAATCACATTTACCAACAATTTCTCATTGCACTTTCATGTATTGGACTAATAACTTAGATCCTCGATAGATAATTGTTAATAGACCTTGACCTCTGGGTTTGGTTTAATGTTTGTTGTAGTCATTAAGAGCTTTGCTGTCCGTAGTATCAAGGCCATACTTTTAGCTTGATTAAATGGACATTAGCGGAATCATTTTGACATCCATCAGTGTTACTGATATTTATGATTATGTTCATAGTTTTAAAGAAATTATCTTTAAGTTTTTCTGACTTGCATGAAAGATGGGAGGTCTGTAGAAGGATAAAGATTTGGTGACTTCTTCTGTATTATGTGAACTAACTAGTAATATAATATGTTTCTTGTTAAACTTTGACATTTGCCTGAGTTAAAAGTTCATGAATATTTTGACATGTAGTAATAAAAAGATTTTAGCAATTATCCTGAAAATACTGCTTTAATGTATTTAGTTAAGAAAGGACAAGCAATGAAAATTATATATTCAATTATTTTTATATCAGTTGTGTTTGTTTTTTTCAGCTATCGTTTATAGTACAGTCATTACGTAACGCAGATGTGTTCTGTTTTGCCGACTATCCATGTCATGCGGTTGTAATAGATATACTGAAAACAGCACCAGATGATGAGAAACGGGATATTGCTGTGTGGTGAGACGTTTCTTTAATTCTTGCCAAAAATGGTTATCATGTTTACTTATTTGTGACTGTTATTCATGTCAGACTTAATTTCACATTACTCAAATATGTTGTGTCTGGAAGTTATTGGTTTTTGCTTAGTTGACTGCTGGGCTATATCCTGGAATGGGCCCTGGTGTGTAAACTAAGAATAAAATAAAAGGTTCATTCTGTTTTCTTTAATCTGTTACATACAATGTACAAGTTTTACTACTGAAATATACATAAGGGTCTGATCCAGGAGATTGCCAACTGCTGATACATGCTATTTTCCAGGGTTCAACAGTTGGGGTCTTCCTCTACCTGTAAAGCATAAAATCTGTAATACTGATGTGAAATTAAAACATAACAAAATTAACATTATTAATCTATCTTGATGTGTGATTACTAAAGTGAAAGCTTTTAAATGGAGTTTAAATGTTGAATTATTATAATTAGTAGTTATTTATTGTAACTTTGTTTTTAAATGTGTATTGCTTCAGTTATTGTTAGTGGTTTTATAAATTTAAGGCTTGATGATATAAAGATGCTATCTTTTACGTGATATTTTAGGAAATCTTTGGATTTAGTGGAAGTGTTGCTACGGTTATCTGAAGTCGGCCATTACCAACAGGTGTCTGAGTTGTTCAAGTTTCCAGTACAGAACTGTCCTGACATGCTAGTCCTTGCACTTCTTCAAATTACAGTAGGTTTTAACTTCACCTCTTAAATTTCTAGCATTGGGCAAGGCGAAATTTCTCCATGACAGTTAAGTCCTGACATTGTGTCCAATAGTCATTTATCTCTCAGTCCTGACTCAGAAATCTTGTGAAATAGTAGTCTGTCACTTGCAAATAAACTGGTGGATGGACTAGTGAAATATAACTAAAAATGTGTTAGGATCTGCATGAAAATCCAAATGAACAAACTTATATTCAATAGTTATAAGACAGAAAAAATATTGGATGGAAATATATGAAGTAAAGTCATGTGATGAGAAAATAATATTGTCAGATCTTTGATTTAACTAAAAATGTTGAAAGTGAAATTTTTTTGTGTGGTATAAAAGTGAAAATCTGTTGTATGAAAAAATGTAGAAAATTCAATAACATGTTCGTTGGTGTATATGATATCTTCAGTTATCATTACATTGTTGAAAATCAGTATGTTTATTTGTTTATGTTTTCTCAAAGCTTTACAGAGTGTCACAAAAATATGTATGTGAAAAATTATAAATGAAGTGTACAAAAGAAGCTTTAGGCTGAACAAAAACAGTATGGATGTTTTACAATCATTTCTCAAGTAGAGTGTGACCTAATAATTGAATGGTCTGCCTCTCCATTCAGGGATTGTGGTCTTAGTCATTCTGGTGTTTCATCATGTGAGGTGTACTTAAGTTGGTGTCAGTATAGTGCGTCAGTCTTTCATCTCAAGTGATGTAAAATAAGTTTAAAAAATTATTTTTTATACCAAGTTGTTCTATATTTACATCAAATGACTCTTTTCTTTACAGCCAACTTGGAACACATTGAAACAGGAGCTGATATCAACCTTGATGCCACTGTTTCTTGGCAATCATCCAAACTCTGCAGTTGTACTACACTATGCCTGGCACTGTCAAGGTCACTCGAGCACCATACGTACCCTCATCATGCACTCGATGGCGGAGTGGTACATGCGCGGAGAACCACATGACCAGACACGGTTGTCGAGAATATTGGACGTGGCACAAGACTTGAAAGCACTGTCCATGTTGTTGAATGCCACACCATTTGCATTTGTGATAGATTTAGCTTGTCTAGCGTCTAGGAGGGAATATTTGAAACTTGATAAATGGCTGAGTGATAAGATCAGAGAACACAGGGTAAGACAAATAGCTTTTGTCTTTTTTTAGATGTAACTTAAACACATGCTTTTGTACAGAACCACTGGATAAGAGTGACATTGACAAAGATGTCTTAACAGTGATATGATGCACTTTTATACGCCCGTTTGAAAAACGGGACGTATTATGGGAACGCCCCTGGCGGTCGGGCGGGCGGCGTCCAATTTTGTCCGGAGCATATCTCCTACATGTATGGAGGGATTTTAATGAAACTTCATATAAATGTTCACCACTATGAGGAGCAGTGTCGCGCACATGAACCAGGTCTCTAGGTCAAAGGTCAAGGTCACACTTAGAGCTCATTGAAAAATGCTTGTCCGGAGCAAAACTTCCACATGTATAGAGGGATTTCAATATTACTTGGCACAAATGTTCACCATTGTGAGGCGGAGTGTCGCGTGCAAGATTCAGGTCCTTGCGGCCAAGGTCAAGGTCACACATAGAGGTCAAAGTTCAGATAAAAATATGAAGATGTGTATATGGACCATTTAGTCATCATTTATTGAGGGATTGTAACACAAATGTTCATTATCAAGACTATGGCTGTGATACATATAATTTAGGTCAATATATACAAGGTCAAGGTCACTAAAGATGATGAAATATCCAGATTTTGTAAATAGAATTTAATCAAAGGGAGACAACAAAGTTATTACTTTGTTCATAAATGACTTACACAATTACTCCCCTTGATCTATTTTCACTTTCAATTCTAAAAATAGAATTTAATCAAAGGGCATGAAATAATCCTCTTTCTTGGACTTGAGTATGTTCTAAAGAATGTAACATTTATTTACACATGTTTCATTCATTGGTCAAGATTCTTAACTGTGATAACTATGGTGTTCTGTAGACTTGGTATTTGTTCATAAAGATCATACAGTAATTACCTTATCAAATGTAAATACTTTCTCATAGAAATTTAATTATATTTTAATTTTCAAGTAAATATCAGTTCAGCTCATTCAAAGATTAAGAATTGTAATGAAATGTATTTCCCTAGAATAAAATCTTAAATCAGAATTTTTTAGTTATTAAATTACATGTACTTTTTATACGCCCGTTTAAAAAAAAGATAAAAATATGAAGATGTGTATAGGGACGATTTAATCATCATTTATTGAGGGATTGTAACACAAATGGTCATTATAATGACTACGGCTGTGACACATGTACTTTAGGTCAATATATGCAAGGTCAAGGTCACTAAAGATGGTGAAATATCCAGATTTTGTCTGGAGCATATCTCCTACATGTATGGAAGAATTTTTATAATACTTTATGGAAATGTTCACCACCATGATATGTATTGCTCCATGCATGATCCAGGTCTCCAGGTCAAAGGTCAAGGTCACACTTAGAGCTCATTGAAAAACGCTTGTCCGGAGCAAAACTTCTACATTCATAGGGGTTTTTCAATATAACTTGGCACAAATGTTCACCATTGTGAGGCTGAGTGTCGCATGCAAAATTCAGATCCCTGCGACCAAAGTCAAGGTTACACATAGAGGTCAAAGTTCAGATAAAAATTTGAAGATGGTTATAGGGACCATTTAGTCATCATTTATTGATGGATTGTAGCACAAATGGTAACTATCATGACTACAGGTGTTACACATTTAATTTAGGTTAATATTTGCAAGGTCAAGGTCACTGGAGATGATTAAATATCCAGATGTTGTCCGGAGCATATTTTCTACATGCATGGAGGAATTTTAATGTTACTTTTATAGAATTGTTCACCACCATGAGACGTAGTGCCCTGCACATAAACCAAGTCTCTAGGTCAAAGGTGAAGGTCACAGTTGGAGCTCATAGAAAAACACTTGTCTGGAGCAAAACTTCTACATGCATAGAGGGATTTCAATATAATTTGGCACAAATGTTCATCATTGTGAGGCTGAGTGCCGTGCATAAAATTCAGGTCCCTGCGACCAAGGTCAAGGTCACACATTCTGTGCATATCTTCCCTATTGATTTGTTTTAAGGTTCATTTAACAACACAGTGCCAAGAATAAAAACTTGCTTGCTAGATAACACTTATCCATAATGCCCCCATCTCCATCTAAAGCTTTTTCGTAAACGGGCGTATTTTGTGACTATGGCACCCTTGTTTCAAGATTAAATTACTGAGATACTTAGAGTTTAAAAGAACACAGAATTGTTTTTCCAACAGAAAATAAAAGCTGAAGGCGGCTTTAATTGCAGTCTGCAGTATAAAGCTTGGTCCGACTGTATGGAAGTGTAGGCTGGCCAGACTCTACACTGGTGGAATAGACAAGTTATTAGTGGGGCATTTGTTTGAAGTGTAAAAAAATGATTGTTGTTGATTGCAATAGTTTCATATCTTCAGTACATTACTTAAGGCTATTATCAAATTGACATTTTTTGTGATGCAGAGATAAGAGAATTGATGATAATCTTTTAAAATAAAAAAAATAATCTAAAATGTATTGATATTTTATTATAATACTTACAGGAGCCATTTATACAGACATGTGTAACATTCCTGAAGAGACGCTGCCCCCAGCTAGTGGGCGGGTTCCCCAAGGATGATCTACAGTCAAAGAGTCAACAGTTACCTCCTGAAACCATAGCAACCATGCTCACTTGTCTACAAGTCTGTGCAAGGTAAGACCATATTATCACCTTTGTGCAGTAATTGGTTAAGTCCTTCTAAATGCAATAGGAGTTGCCCAGTTATTGCATGATATGTCTTTTAAGTACTTAATGCAAAATGATGCAGTTTCTTTATTAAATGTTATATATATCTGATAAGCCTTGTATTCAACTTCAAGAATTGTTGTTTGCTTAACCCTAGCCTCACTTGATATTTCACATGGACTTGACCATCTTTTAGTCAGTACATGTAATAGATATACCATTGCTGCGTTGACGATTTCTTGGTTTGCGTAAATTATACCATAATCACGTGACCTTTCTTATGCCTAAACCTCACGAGATGAAGTCGAGTGAGGTTGCATAAGAAAGGTCATGTGATTATGGTATAATTTACGCAAACCCAGAAATCGTCAACGCACCAATGGTGTATCTGTTTTAACCTATAGCTCCGCCCAGAAACCCTTACTCCTTCGATCTTCAAAACTGAATATTATACCATAGTCTGGGTATGGTATAATTTACGGTTATTGGAAATTATACTTGGAAGAATTTTACATAAGAAGCGCTGAAGAGCTATAGGTTAAAAGTTACTTAACCATTTATGAGTTAAGGAAAACTTTCAACAAATATTTATAGACTGAATAGCCAACAATGCAGACCTTGATCAGATTGCACTGATGCGTCGGCTGATCTTATTACTGATTGCATGGGTAAAATCTGTTGCCATCAGCAGGGTAAAGCTTAAAATCTTGTCAAATTTTGTATTACAGTAATGTAAGCCAGGAGTTATCAGAGGTGATATTAACAATGATAGCCAGTGCAAGTGTGCTTATGAAGCAGAGGCAAGCCCCTGTAGGCCCCAAACCTCCCAACCCAACAGCCCCTGGTCCACAGGTAGGCCCAGGCCAAGCCGGACCTGTGGGTGGAGGAATAGGTGCGGGTAATAACACTGGACTTGGGCTCGGACCAAACATGGGACAAACAAACCTAGGCTCTGGTTTAGGAAATACACCTTCACAGGTATGTTATGGAGATAGTAGAATTAGTTCCCTTTATTGAATTTGATGCAAGAAATGTTCATGTAATACAATGCTATGTGAAGTTTTAATGTATAAAAAAGATAAATTTATTCTATTTTATGAATTAATATGCTAATATAAAAAAATGGTACATCTTTATGGATTCTAAACAAAATTAGGTAACTAGTTAAGTTGGAGATAAAGAAGATTAACAAGTTAAATGTTACTTAATGATAATTTTTCTGCATAATTTTTAATGTTGGTTAAAATACCATTTTGTGGATTTTGAAATATAAGTTAAAATGTTCAATATATGCTTCAAAATATAATTATATGGTCTTACATTATTTTTCTTATGTGGTTTTACAATGACTGTCCTATTGGTCGTACATTTACTTTCTTTTTCGGTCTTACATTATTTTTCTTGTTTGGTCTTACATTGATTTTTGGTATTATTCAGTTGGATCAAGCTGACACACTAGGGATCCCCAAATCATGGGGTGTTCCAGGCCAGCCAAGTACTGGTTTTGCTGGTCTAGGTGCCACCACAAACCCAACACCTGGATCTCCAGCCAAAGGTTTTCCGACACCTGCAAGCACAGGATTTGGTGGTGGTATACAGAACTTGACCTCTCAGCTGCAGAGTAAGTGGTTTGAGCTGAAATTTTACAATAGTAGTAGAAGTGAAATATCTAATACAATAACTCATTAAAAATCTAGTAGTGAAGTTTAACCATTTTACAAAAGATGGTTTGAAATGCTGCATGTAGCAACCTCATATTGGATGGGAACAAGAAGCTGTGTGATTTTGGGTTCTGCCTATCAATCCAGGTATTGATGTTTAAAGCCCTACTAGCTCCTTATGTGACACCTGTAACAGATTATTTCCAGGAATCAGAGACTGAAATTGTTAAGATAAGCTTTAAGCCTTCTATAATCATTTGAAATACATTTGCATATAAAGAAGTATTTGTATGATTAAAACTAATCTTCAAAAAATGACTGCTCAGATTATGTAAATTATATCAGCTTATCAATTTGAATCTTCATTCATCTCTTTATTTTGATACTGCAGATCTGACTATGCCATCATCATCAATGTCAGCACTGGGTGCCCCTAGAGCACCAGGCGTGAACACCCTTGGGAGCCTCAGTGCCCAACAGGTCATGAAACAGCAAGGTCCCCAGTCCACCCAGCAACCCATGCAGCCTGGCATTGACAGGCTCAGACTTGGTATGTTACATTTTTTGCTTCAAACAATAAAATTATTTGTTGTGTAGTAAAATAATATTTTTTTACTCGTCAAATATGTAAAAGTTAGGTGATATAATGAAATGGGTGCGACATTAACACGCTGAATTTGTGGGATGGATTTGTCCTACTTTAAATTTGGAACAGTACTTTGGACAATCTGGGATTTAAATGCCAATAGTATAGAGCTAGTCAGACTGCATGAATATGCAGACTGACCTTGCTGTATTTCTGGCAGCAAAGGGAAACCATTTCTACAGGGTTAAGAGTTGCAATGGCTTTAGATTAGATAATTGACAAGTTTAAATATGTCTTAAACAATTTCATTTACTACTAGGACAAAATAATGGGCTATCTAGCTGAATGGTTAAAGTCAAATCACTAACCTTATAATCTTAAAGTCAGATTATGTTTTAGATGTTTCATGGGTAAGGGCATATAAAGTCATCCAGATTATGCACAGAAGAATGATGGCTCTTATTTATTTATTAGGAATTTGTAATATTTTTTCAAGAGAGTGTACATTTACAGATAAATTCTGAAAGCTTATTATTCTTATTGTAGGAATTGTAATTATGCATGATCTTTGGGGTGTACTATGAAGACAATAGTAATAGATGCACTTTAATAGTAAAAGTGGAAGTTGAAATTTAATCTAATTTTGTAATTTCAGCTCAGCCAACAGAGTTATCGAGTATATTCCCAGACATGAATCAACAGTTTACGAAGGAGGTTGAGGACGAGGCCAATTCATATTTCCAGAGAATATACAACCAGCCCCCACACCCCACTATGTCCATTGACGAGGTGCTAGAAATGTTGAAACGCTTCAAAGATTCTGCTAACAGGAAAGAGAAGGTAAGCTTTGAATGTAATATATTCTTATACTGAAATCAGTCAGTCTGTCTGTTGTTGTCTGTGTATGGAGTAGTTTTACAGAGCATAATATGAAAACTTTGGATGAAATATCTTTTGCATAATTTTAAGGCGAATAACCTTTTGTAAATATCCACTATTAGTTTTTGTTCAGAGTAAAACTGAAAAACTATAGATGTCAAAGTGAAACTTCATAGGTAAACATATGTCATTGATTTTGTGTAAGGGACATCTTTCTAGACTTTGGGAAATATAACAAATGATGGTGGAAAAAAAATGGCCAAGGGCTCAAACAATATGTACATAGACTTCATAGTTGTCTTGGAAATAGGATATTAAGTTACATGAATTTAATGAGACGAGGGGTTGTGTTGGAAAACAACTTGGCAAAGTGATTAATTCTACAAAATAGATTACATCAGTCACTAGTTATGTTTACAGTAAAATAAATTTTCTCAATATTGAGCTTTTTAGCTCGACTATTCGATAAGAATAAGTAGAGCTATTGCAGTCACCCGAGCGTCTGCGTCGGCATAACCACTTATGTTAAAGTTTTTGTAATAGTTCAAATATTTTCAAAGTCCATTGACATATGGCTTTGAAACTTTGCACACTTGTTCACCATCATGACCCCAACATGTAGACAGGAGGACGTAACTGTATCAAGCATTTTGACAGAATTATGCCCCTTTTTCGACTTAGAATTTACGTTAAAGTTTTTGTAATAGTTCAAATATTTTCAAAGTCCATTGACATATGGATTTGAAACGTTGCACACTTGTTCACCATCATGACCCCAACCTGTAGACAGGAGGAGGTAACTCTATCAAGCATTTTGACAGAATTATACCCCTTTTTCGACTTAGAATTTACGTTAAAGTTTTTGTAATACCTCGAATATTTTCAAAGTCTATTGACATATGGCTTTGAAACTTTGCACACTTGTTCACCATCATGACCCTAACCTGTAGACAGGAGGAGGTAACTCTTTCAAGCATTTTGACAGAATTATGCCCCTTTTTCGACTTAGAATTTATGTTAAAGTTTTTGTAATACCTTAAATATTTTCCAAGTCCATTGACATATGGCTTTGAAACTTGCACACTTGTTCACCATCATGACCCCAACTTGTAGACAGGAGGAGGTAACTCTATCAAGCATTTTGACAGAATTATGCCCCTTTTTCGAATTTATGTTAAAGATTTTGTAATACCTCAAATATTTTCAAAGTTCATTGACATATGGCTTTTAAACTTTGCACATTTGTTCACCATCATTACCCCAATCTGTAAACAGGAGGAGGTAACTGTATCAAGCATTTTTTTTTACTTTCAAGCACTTAGAATAGTCTAGCAATGCTGTCCTACCGACAGCTCTTGTTATATTTTAGGTAGATTTATGTTTTATCCTAAATTTTTTCCAATATCAATTATTGTTGGTCAGTCACCATTACCACAGTCAATCTTTTGAAATATGTTTTATTGTAAATAAAAATATTGTGAACTTGCCCTGGTGTTGACGTGTATTACCAATTATTATGCCCCCATTTCGAAGAAAAGGGGGTATATTGCTTTGCACTTGTCGGTCCGTCGGTCCGTAGACCAAATGGTTTCCGAGTGATAACTAAAGAACCCTTAGGCCTAGGAACTTCAAACTTGGTATAGTGATTGGTCATGACAAGTAGATGACCCCTATTGATTTTGGGGTCAAGGGGTCAAAGGTCAAGGTCACATTGACCTTGTAAGCAAAAACGGTTTCCGATCAATAACTAAAGAACCTTAAAGCCTAGGAACTTCAAACTTGGTATGGTGATTTGTCATGATCAGTAGATGACCCCAATTGATTTTGGGGTCAAGGGGTCAAAGGTCAAGGTCACATTGACCTCTTGGGTAGAAACAGTTTCCGATCAATAACGAAAGAACCCTTAGGCCTAGGAACTTCAAACTTGGTATGGTGATTGGTTATGACCAGCAGATGACCCCTATTGATTTTGGGGTTAAGTGGTCAAAGGTCAAGGTCACATTGACCTTGTAGGTAAAAACGGTTTCCGATCAATAACGAAAGAACCCTTAGGCCTAGGGACTTCAAACTTGATATGGTGATTGGTCATGATCAGTAGATGACCCCTATTGATTTTGGGGTTAAGGGGTCAAAGGTCAAGGTCACATTGACCTTGTAGGTAAAAACGGTTTCCGATCAATAACGAAAGAACCCTTAGGCCTAGGGACTTCAAACTTGATATGGTGATTGGTCATGATCAGTAGATGACCCCTATTGATTTTGGGGTCAAGGGGTCAAAGGTCAAGGTCACATTGACCTCTTAGGTAAAAACAGTTTCCGATCAATAACTAAAGAACCCTTAAGCCTAGGAACTTCAAACTTGGTATGGTGATTGGTCATGATCAGTAGATGACCCCTATTGATTTTGGGGTCAAGGGGTCAAAGGTCAAGGTCACATTGACCTCTTAGGTAAAAGCAGTTTCCGATCAATAACTAAAGAACCCTTAGGCCTAGGAACTTCAAACTTGGTATGGTGATTGGTCATGATCAGTAGATGACCCCTATTGATTTTGGGGTCAAGGGGTCAAAGGTCAAGGTCACATTGACCTCTTAGGTAAAAACAGTTTCCGATCAATAACTAAAGAACCCTTAGGCCTAGGAACTTCAAACTTGCTATGGTGATTGGTCATGACCAGCAGATGACCTATTGTTTTTAGGGTCAAGGGGTCAAAGGTCATGTAACATTGACCTTGTAGGTAAAAACGGTTTCCGATCAATTTACTAAAAACGCTTAGGCCTAGGAACTTCAAACTTTGTATGATGATTGGTGGTGACCAGCAGATGACCCCTATTGAGTTTTGGGTCAAGGGGTCAAAGGTCAAGGTCACATCGACCTTGTAAGTAAAAACGGTTTCTGATCAATAACTTAAAAACGCTTAGGCCTAGGAACTTCAAACTTGGTATGGTGATTTTTCATGACCAGCAGATTACCCCTTTCGATTTTGGGATCAAGGGGTCAAAGGTCAAGGTCACATTGACCTTGTAAGTAAAAACGGTTTCTGATCAATAACTAAAGAACGCTTCGGCCTAGGAACTTCAAACTTGGCATAGTGATTGGTCATGATCAGCAGATGACCCCTATTGATTTTTTGGGTCAAAGGTCAAGGTCACATTGACCTTGTATGTTAAAACGGTTTCGGATCAATAATAAAAGAACCCTTAGGCCTAGGAACTTCAAACTTGGCATGGTGATTAGTCATGACCAGCAAATGACCCCTATTGATTTTGGGGTCAAGGGGTCAAAGGTCACATTGACCTTGTAAGTAAAAATGGTTTCTGATCAATTAACTAAAAACGCTTAGGCCTAGGAACTTCAAACTTTGTATGATGATTGGTCTTGACCAGCAGATGACCCCTATTGAGTTTTGGGTCAAGGGGTCAAAGGTCAAGGTCATGACCAGTAGATACTTGATAACCCTTATTAATTGTTTGATCACTGGGTCAGAAGTCATGCATAATTACCTTATCACATGAATAATTGGCTGCTGATAGGGGGCATACATGTTTTACAAACATATCTTGTTTTGAATTTACCTTGGTAAAATATATTTTAGTCAATTCAGCTCAAATTACCGTAACAATGAAAATATGAGCATAATGTCCACTTTAATGAAGCTGATAACTACTTGTTGCAATACTAAAATTAATAAAGATATATTTTATCAAGTTGTCAGTGTAGTGGTTTAAAAATGTTATGTATGAATTTGTGCTTTAAAATAAACAAAACCTTAGGAAAATAGACCAAAACAAATATCATGTAAAGATTACAATGTCTAGAATTGTTCAGCTTATATTGAATTAATTTAGCTTACATGTATATTGCATTAATTAATTTAGGTTCAAACTGTTCAAAGTATTTTCATATTTATCATTGCCAGGAAGTGTATGAGTGTATGTTACGTAACCTGTTTGAAGAATACCAATTCTTCCCAAAATATCCGGACAGGGAGTTGCACACCACAGCTGTTCTCTTCGGTGGAATTATAGAAAAAGGATTAGCTACGTAAGTCTCCCTGTGTTTTTGATAGAAAAAAAAATACATATGATCCGCATCACGACAAAACCAACATAATGGGTTTGCAACTAGCATGGATCCAGACCAGCCTGAGCATCCGCGCAGTCTGATCAGGATCCATGCTGTTCGCTATCAGTTTCTCTACTTGTTATAGAGTCTGTAAGCAAAAAGCATGGATCCTGATCAGACTGCGTGGATGTGCAGGCTAGTCTGGATCCATGCTGGTCGCAAACCCATTATGTTGGTTTTATCATGACGCGGCTCATACATAAATCGTCACCTTAGTGCAGTAACAGGGGTCTTTTAATAGGAGTTAACCAGCTATTGCATTAAGGTGACAAATTGTCTTCATAGTATTTTTGAGGCCGCATCAGCCAAATGGTTTAAGTTGTAGATTTTAATTTGCTTGCCCATCTCCCTATCATGTTTCCATCCTGATGGGGACATTGGATTCTTTCTCGAAAAATCTGCCAATAAATGTCAGTTTTGGCTTTAACCATTAAAAAAAGTTTTTTTTTACTTTTTACATTTCACATGTACAGTACAACCTGTGTAAAGCAACACCCTATGGGACACAAAGATTTTTATTGTTGCTTAGTGTGGTGCGCGGGAGAGGTTGAATTTGTTGGGAAATAATGATGTTTGATAGTAATGATGACGTGTTGTAAAGAGATTTTGCTCCAATCATTACAGTGTTGAATGTTACTATATTTCATGCATTTAGACAGGGCTTCTATTAGTGGAAGTTTAGGAGTAATTGACTACTGATTTTGACTTGTGACTTCCAAAATATAATACTTTTCCTTCTTTACCTATATAATGTGACTTCCAATATTAGACATTTTCAGTCTCTGACTTTCAAATTTTAATGGAAGCCGTGTTTGGATTTTATAAAGCTGTTTTCACTTTATTACAGGTATATGGCATTGGGTATTGCCTTACGCTATGTTCTTGAAGCCCTGAAGAAACCCCACAATAGCAAGATGTACTATTTTGGTATTGCTGCCTTGGACAGGTTTAAAACACGACTGAAGGATTATCCGTCATACTGCCAGCACCTGGCTGCTATACCACATTTCCCACAGTTTCCACAACATTTAATGGAGGTACATTATTTCACTTATTGTTTTGCATGATTTTTCCTATGTAGTTATGGCCATCATTTTGGTCTTTTGTTCAGGGTTCCCACGCTGTCCGGGAAAACGGGAAATGTCCGTGAATTTGAAAACAGGAGCTCCCGGCCTTGAAAAGTCCGGGAATTAGTGTTGATACATAAAAAAGTCCGGGAAGGTACGGGAATTAGTCTGGTAAAGGGGAAGTAAATCAAACAACAAAATGGCGGTCTTAGCACAGTATATTGACTTCTGCATCTTGAATGTTGATGATTTTTCGATTAACAAGTGTTTTGGGAGGCCAAGTTTGACATTTATGAGATTTAACATTTATTTTCTGGTTACTATGGCGGTTTTGTTTGGAAAATGTTATAAGACAGTCACAAATCGACCACAAGTTTGCTTGATTGGCCCGTGCTAAGAAACATGAAAGCTCACAGGTCTGGTTGTTTCCTTGGGTAATTTGTTTAACCTTATTGCTAACCATGCTAAAAGCCAAAGGTAAATCAATATAAAATAAACAATAGTATTACATACATGAACTATTGTCAAGGCAGAGCACAGCCAGTTGGCCACACCATATTTGGGTAGCAAGAAATACCCAAATATTAGCCACAATATACTAAAAATGAATGTGTTATACTAAAAAAGTGCTGATTTAATCATGAATACAATATACACTTTCACTAAGATGTAATCGAACATACCCAAATTTTCATTTTTGAACCAAAATATACCCAAATACAGTATACTCCATCATGTCCATGAAAACTATTAAATAAAAAAAATAATACGAATGAACTTGTATGAAATTACAACAAAATTATACCCTTCAAATTTAAATGTAGACAACAAATCTCATATCTTGCAAGTACATTTGTCTATTCATTAATGAATCTAACAGTTAGAAAAGCAAATGTCTTTTTTTTTCTTACAACATATGAACTGCCAATTTCAACGGAATGAATGAAAGTAATAGTTGGCTAAGTCACATTATTTGGAAAATATCAATTCATTTTCTCATTAAAATCTATATTGTATACAAACCAAAATGAATATTGCTATAATTGTGTGTGTTTGGGTATTTTGTGCTGCTGCCATATTTTGTAGAACCCGTAGCACTGGCTTAAGCAGAGTACAACATTTAAACATGAAAGTTGTGAAATTTTTAATGTAGAAACACCTGCAGGCAGTTTTCATATACCCTTCAGTGTGACATGCTTTTGCCATTCTATGCACCTAAGTGGACTGAGGTCAAATGTGAGGTTACTTATTAAAGTACTATGAATATCTTGTAAAAAAAGTGATCCCTTGGAAGCATTAAAAACACCAAAATAACATGAAAATTGCAGACAACCTGCAACAGTTGCTGTCACAAAGTACATTTCATTACTTATCAACAATGAATGTATTTCTTAGATAGAGTTAGATTTATGTCATGAACTACATGTATTATGAATATTGTTATTAAATGTTGTTTTAAACATTACCATGAAAATATTCATAGGACAAAAAAATCGAATAGCTTGAAATTCAATCTTCTAAAAAGTCCTTAAAAAATCAAAAAAGGTCCTTGATAAGTCCTGGAAAAGTCCTTAAATTTTCAAAATATCTAAGAGTGGGAACCCTGTTTGTTTTCAGCCAATATCTTTTGTTAGTGAGAATGTAGTTGAACCTTTTTTCTGACCTAAGTAGAGTAGGATCAATGGGGAAATTTGCAGTTGGAACGATATCAAGAGGCCTATTCCCAGGTCAAGCTTACTCCTGCAGTCTGACTGGAAGTTTAATGGGCAACTGCAATATATTACTATTTAACAATGAATCATACAAAATTTTAGTATCGTGTTAGTTTCATTGCATTCTCCTATTATAGATTAATTACCAATGCTTAGACTTGACATCCAATAGATTGCTAAATTACCAATGCTTAGACTTGAAGTCCAATAGATCATTTAATTACCAATGCTTAGACTTGAAGTCCAATATATCACTTAATTACCAATGTAAACATTTTACAATGTAGTGTGTAAAAGAACTTACATTTTATCTCCACAGTTTGTGAAGTTTGGGGCCAGTAACCAGGAACCACCACATCTGGCACAGACAACAACCCGCAGTCTGACACCTGTTACAGCCAGTCTTAACCTGCTCAGTGGTCAATCAATGTTCGGTATTGGTTCCAACCTGACATCGACCACCGGCAGCTCGGTGGTTCCAGGCCTAGATGCCTTCAACCTGACAAACCTGCCACCTATGTCGAGCATGACATCCACACCGACCACCACTGTTACCATGACAACGGCTGTAACAGCCACACCTTCTACAACAACAACTGCCACTAAGACGCAACCCATGCCAAAGGTAAAATTGGTGTTTTGTTTGTCCTTTTAAGCCCTGCCAAACAGTCTTCTTTTCATTCTTCAGCCTCTCCAATTAAAGATCTTTTAAGGGAGTTTAAATTTTAGTGCAAGTTTTATATATATTCATGCAAAGTATTTCTCTATTGTGACAATGTAAACCCTACATGTCAGAATTTAGGGACATATGTAATCTATTCTGTACCTGTGACTAAGATGGTGAAAAGAGCAGAGTTGTACAGAAGTCTTGTTTGCCATTAAAGCTAGAACATTGTCAGATACTTAATTTTTAAACACTCTCACTCTGGGGAATTCAACCTTATAGTTTTCTGGTGATGTCTATATTTCAACATTTTGAAGACCTGTAGAATAAGAACTTTGCTATATAATATATTATTGTTGTTTATTTTCAGCCATCGATAGCTAGTGCTACTAATATTGACACATTGTTGGCTGGTCAGAGTAAAGAGGAAGTGGTCGTACCATCAGAATCTATACAAGACAAAGTGTTCTTCATCTTTAATAATCTCTCCATGTCTAACATGAACCAGAAGGTGAGTGGCTAGTTTACTGAAGTATGAAATTTTAAAATGATTAAATGTTGTACATGTCTCCAGATGTTAGGGGTGGGAGATGTTTTTGCTGATTATAAAGCCAGTATTGGGTCATATTGGATTATAAAGCCAGTATTGAGTCTTATTTGATTTTAAAGCCAGTATTGGGTCATAGTTAGTATTGGGTCATATTGGATTATAAAGGCAGTATTGGGTCATAGTTAGTATTGGGTCATATTGGATTATAAAGGCAGTATTGGGTCATGTCAGATTATAAAGCCAGTATTGGGTCATATTCATAATCCAGACATCAGGGGTGGGGTTAGATGTTATGCTGATTTTATACACCTAACATAAACAATTTCAATGTCAAGCAAAACACTGCTTAAATTTTCAAATCTTAAGTATGGGTCATCTTCTCTAAATACTGAAAAATGACTGAAATCTTGTGTCTGACTTTGATGGATTCAAATGAAATTAAAGTTATTGAAAATTTCATATTGAGCACTAAGAATGTGAATGAGTTACATGTTTTGTTAGAAATTTAGATAAAGAAATATTATTGCCTGATAATCCTTAAATTGTATAGAATTGAATTCTATAAAGACACCATTTTTTTAACTATTCCTTTGAAGGTAATGAGTAGACTATTAATCTGTTCCATATGTGTGAACTTGTGATTTTAATCTGATGAATTAATTTTATGAAATATTTTTGTCACAGTGTGAAGAGTTGAAGAAGGAAGTAAAAGATGATCACATGCAGTGGGTGTCGCAGTACCTGGTTATGAAGCGTGCGAGTATCGAGCCCAACTTTCACACACTCTACGCTAACTTCGTAGATGCTCTGAACATTAAAGAAATCACAGACATGGTTATCCTTGAAACTTTCAGAAATATTAAGGTGGGTGTTGTATTGTACTTATCTAGTCATACAACTAGATTTTGAATGATTATTTCATGTGCAAAGGACTGTCCATTTAGCTCAATATGTAAGCGTTGGACTGCAAATCAGGCGACAAGGTTAGATTCTTAACCCTGCAGGTAATTTTTCATTGTGTTTCATTGATCATGAAATCCTTTCTAGGGACATTCACACTGTACCTCTGCTCTGACATGTACAAAAGTTGTCAGCACCTTGCAAGTGAAGGCAACTAGTTCTCGTAAATTGCTTGAAAGTCTAATCAGGAATGATACTTTGACTGAAATTTGCTCTGATGAAATCAAAGAAGTTTACTGCTATGATCTACCAACACCTTAATTCATTTGCAATATAATTCAGATTATTAAACAAAGGGTCATCTAAAATGTGCTGGTTCCATTCCTTATGTTAGTTAAAAAATTCAATTAAGTTTATAAAATTTTAACTGCATGTCAGACATTATACTCAAAAGATAATATGCAATGTGTTTCAACAGTTTCAAATATTTTTACAGGTTCTGTTAAGAAGTGACAAAGGTGATGCCAATTTCTCAGACAGAACGTTATTGAAGAACCTCGGACATTGGCTAGGAATGCTTACATTAGCCAAGAACAAACCTATTTTACAAATTGACATAGATGTGAAATCTCTCGTGTACGAGGCCTACCATAAAGGTGCTAGGGAGCTGTTGTATGTTGTACCATTCTCGGCTAAAGTGCTTGAGTCATGTGCTAAAAGCAAGGTAAGGGAACAAGTGGTCAAATCTAAAAGTCAATGCTTATCAAGTAAAATATACATGTTTATTAGTCCCCTACCGGTTTACCGGAGGGGACTTTAGGTTTACCCTCCGTCCGTCTCTCTGTCCGTCAGTCCGTCCGTCCACAAAACTGGATCCCGCGATAACGCAAAAAGTACTGAAAATATTTTAATGAAATTTTTGGATAGATGGCAGTATGGAGATTATGCACATCTTTTTCTTTTCTTCCTATGTTGAAAATTCTGGTTGCTATGGCAACAAATAGACTGAAAATATGGCTAATTTTACACATAACCTGGATCCCGCGATACCCCAAAAAGTACTGAAAATATTTTCATGAAACTTGATATATGGATAGATGGCAGTATGGAGATTATGCACGTCTTTTTCTTTTTTTCCTATGCTGAAAATTCTGGTTGCTATGGCAACAAATAGACTGAAAATATGGAAAATTTTACACATAACCTGGATCCAGTGATAACGCAAAAGTTACTGAAAATATTTTTATGAAACTTGACATATTGGTAGATGGCAGTATAGAAATTATGCACATTCTTTTCTTATCTTCCTGTATTGAAAATTCTGGTTGCTATGGCAACAAATAGACTGAATTTCAAGATTTCTGATTCTAGTTTTTGAGTTTTTTTACTATAAGTTCTTTATTTCTTAAGGTATTTTCTTCAAACTTTAAATATAAGTTGCTAGTCATCAACCACATCATATGTGACAAAGTTTACAACTCTAGCACAAAATTTATCAGAATTACCTCCCTGGAACTTAAAATTTTCATGAAAAAAACATTGTTTTTTTTAAATAACTTCTTTTTTTCTGAACGTATCTACTTCAAACTTCATATAAATGTTTCTTATTATCACTCAACATTTATGAGTGTTCAATACTCTAGCAAGACTATTTCCAGAATTATGCCCCTTTTGAACTTGACTTTATTTTGAGAAATTGGTAATTTTCTTCAATTATGATAGGATTTTCTTCAAACTCCCACATCATAATAATATGACAATAATATGACAAGGTTTATAAATCTAGCATCCATATTTCCAGAATTATCTCCTCCTTAAACTTTTTATTTTCCTATTCGTTCTTTTAACTTTCATTTACTTCAAATTCAAAATAAACATTCAATATTCATACCTTCATTACTAATTGTTCTTTCATCTTTGTTACACTCACATCATGTATGACATCGTTATCTCCTTTTTTTAAAATTTTGCTTTAAAAATGTTATTTTTTGATAATAGGGATGTTTAAAAAATGACTTTAGAGTGTACTTCAGTCTGTCTGTCTGTCTGTCTGTCTGTACATAAAAACTGTTCACTGTGATCACTTGAAATAGAAACATAAGTGAATGACCAATGGCCCTTCAGAATGTTGCTTGGGCTCTTACCGGTAGGGGACTTATGGATTGCTTACAATAGTAGGATAATTGCTTGTTGACTAATGTTTTAGACTTTACCTCACCACTAAAAGTTTGAATCTCATCCGAGACTTTGGATTCTGTTTTAGTGAAGAAGGTATTGATAAGCTTATGGAAAATTAATGGTTCTATTCTGTTGCAGCTCTTGCCAGACTGTACACTGCTGGCAGCTCACGTTTTCAGTATATTTATAATGAAATTAATATTAAAAAGCAATGGAATTGAGAATAGTTTAAAATTCAAATAAGTTTTCTTTATTATCAAGCTTTATTATACTAACTACTACTATTTCAAATAGATACAATTTGTTTTTGTAAGAACGTGCTAAAGACCAGTGTTAGATTTATAGTTTTGTTAATTTCTTTGTTACTTCATGTTTGCTTTTACTTTCAGGTGTTCAAACCTCCTAACCCGTGGACAATGGGTATAATGAATGTGCTAGCAGAATTACATCAGGAGCCAGATCTGAAATTGAACCTGAAGTTTGAAATTGAAGTGCTTTGTAAAACACTTAACATAGATTTAAATGTAAGTATGATAACAGTCTGTGAGATTGTCACGATTCTTTTCACTAAATTTGTAGAGTGGTCCATTGGGGGTACTGTGGTATTTAGTATTTCTGTCAGTTTGTAATAATGAAAAGAATCTACTTTCACTGACGTATTTTACTGGTATTGACTGCTGCAACTTTACTTTAAAGTACTTGTCTTCATCAAAGTTTATGTCTTTGATCAAAGAAAACAACATCTAGGTCAATCTAGCATGCTCATATATGGCACTACATATGCAAAAATTAGCACATATTTGGATTACTGCTATATTGGCAAGGATGCTGCATGAAGATATATGTATGGAATGTTAGGTTAACGTTTGTTGTGAGATGCAAATGTTCAATCATTCTGATTATCTTGTAATAGACATCTTTGCATGCTGCTAGAATTAAACTGTGGGCCATTTTAAATAAAATATAAATATCAAAATAAATTTTGACTTCTTTGCAAATAAGCATACCAATTTAGGTGAAGTGAATTTGTTTTTCCTATCAGTGTGTAAACTTGTTATTTTCAAGGAGTTAAAGCCATGCAACTACCTTAAAGACACATCCAGACTAAGTACTTACGAACCTCAGCTGTCAATCAACAAGCAGATCATCCCACTGCCTGTAGTACAGCCCACTGTCACGCCTCAACCAGAGACAGGAGGCGTGGCCTTGACAAATGTCACACCCACTGTGACCACAACCAGTATCACTACAACAACAACACCAGGATCTACTCCAAGTCTGCCTCCACAGCCTCAGTTTGCTTTTGATGACATCAACGTGACATCACTAGCTGGACTCGCACCTCATATTGTGATTAATGACCAGGTAGGAAGTTTTATATGTTTCTGAAGGGTTTAAGATATCTTTTAACAGCTTGATGGTTGTGTTTTTAAGTCCCACTAAAAAGTACATGAAAGAAAAGAAAAAACTTGGCTGGAAATCAAACCATGGAAGAGTCTGCACTACTAGACTGCTGCTACAGTTATTTAGGAGGACTTTCTATTTAACTTGAAATTCATTGAAAAAACTTTCATTGTCAATTTTTATGTTGCTATTCGTTGTTTTATTAATAAAAAACATGTTTGGGGGGGATTAATTACATGTAAAATGTCCTTCATAAGTGAGTATGGTAGTGAGAGCCTTTTATAAAATTGATGATTTATATAAAAAAAAATGATTTCAGATTGCAGTATTTCAAGCCCAGCCGCAGCTAAAGACATATGTAAGAGCTTCCCTGGAGAGAGCTGTACAAGAGTTACTTCCCCCTGTTGTTGAGAGATCCATCAAGATTGCACTCACCACTTGTGAACAAATCATGAAAAAGGTAGAGTGGAGAAACAGAAGTTTTATATGTCGTATATTTGACCAATAACAAGCTACATTGTATAACATTCATGATTGTGTAAATTAGTAGACTTATTCTGTATTAAATTTGGAACTGCTTGTAATAACAGACTTTGTTAAGCCAACAATATCCAGTCAGGTTGCCTGGCTCGTGTATAAATGGCATAAACAAGTTAAGGTTTTCCCCTAAGGCTCAGACATTAAAAGAATTGAACATCAGTGGGATCTTTAATTTGTCAGTTTTGAACATTCTAATGAAAATATGAAAATTATAAGTAGATAATGGTAATATGATTCTGTGTATAGTCTCTGTAAAATATTAATTTTCATGACCATAAATTTGGCCTTTCATCTTATTTTTCTGTTAAACAAAGTTGATGAGGTAAGATAAAGTACAGACGAAAACTTAAAATTAAGTGAAATATGGTACATTTGATTTTAGGATTTTGCGCTGGATCCCGACGAGAACAGAATGAGAGCTGCTGCACATCGTATGGTACGCAGTATGACATCAGGATTGGCCCTGTACACATGCCGGGAACCATTGTACATCGCTATATCTACAAACCTGAAAAATGCTTTCATGACAACTATTAGGGTGAGTCATTAAGACCTTTATCTTGTCATTTACAAATTGATGAATATTTTAAACATTCTGTTGCGGGATTTATATAATGGATTTGTCCAGCTTTAAATTTGGGGATTGTCTGCTAATGATACAAAGAAAGTACTATAATTCAGCTTTCACTTGTAAAGATTCTAGTCATAATATGATTTTGTTCAACTCATTAAATAAATTTAGTATTAAATCTACACTCAGAATATTCATCTAGATATTTGACACATGTTTTATATTGTATGCAGAATGTCATTGAATATGTTTATAACATGCATGTAGGTGTATTACATTTTGTTGGATTGGACTTGAAGCTAAAATCGGAATGAACTTCTTTTAAGTCTGTCTTCTTTGTACATGTATTCGTATTTGACTATATGGCTTATTATACATGTATATGTTGTGTAACCAGGGAGCCACCCAGCAACAGAAAGATATGATAGAACAAGCTGCACAGGTTATAGCCCAGGATAATACAGAGCTTGCCTCGGCTTTCATCCAGAAAACAGCTGTCGAGAGGGCAATACCAGAGATGGACAAGAGACTAGCCACAGTAAGTTATGTGTCTTATTTCCATCAAACCATGTATGATAAAAAGAGTAATTGTTAAAGTAAAATGAGTTTAAGTTTGAGATTATTAGTTCAAATGAAAGCAGGCCTTTTATATTGATATGGATATATATATGGTATGTATAAGATCAAAAGTGGTTATTTCCCTTCATGATATGTAAGGTACTTATTCTTTTTGATTCAACTGAAAAAGTTTTTTTAGATCACTTGGAATGGCAAAAAAATATATTAGAAATGGTGAGAAACATTTTTCAAGGTAATGTTCAATAAATTTGCATAGGGGTGTTATGAATTTTGTTTTGTACTTAATATTATCAGGAATACACAGTGTGGTAAGATGTTAGGGTTAAAAAACACTTTTGCATTGTCATTTCTTGTTCTGTTGCAAAAATAGACATCTAAAATCAAATTTATTTTGATATTATATTTTCATATGATCCTTATTATAGGATTTTGATGCCAGGAAAGCAGCTCGAGAAAAGGGTATCCGGTACTGTGAACCAGTGGTGTTGACCTACCAGGCTGAGCGAATGCCAGAACAAATCCGGCTCAAAGTTGGTGGTGAGACACCACAACAGATTGCAGTGTATGAAGAGTTTGCTCGCAATATACCAGGCTTTCTGCCACTGTCTGAACCGGCCCTGCCAGCCGGTGTTGCCAAACCTATGCCGGTATGTAGTTCATTATATTTCCTATTTCTACTAATGAATGGTTGTCAGTCCAGATTGAAAGATCATTTTAGATAATATAGCGTGGTTAAGTTTTAGCTATTTTGTGAAACAAGATATTGCAATTTAAACAATAAGTAATCTCTTTATTATCCGGCTTTCTTGGCCTGACCAGTACTAGAATAATATCACAATAAAACACAGTTATGACCATAAAGAGCCTGAACCTATGAATTCTGGGTCATCTAAACTACAAAGTCACTAAAATAGGAAAAAGATTATTGTTCACTTACTTAATCATATTTATATTACTCCCAAACAAGTTGTATTTCAGTCATACGGAGGAACGCCGGAAGAGATAATGGTAATTTACGAGAAAATAGCTCGAGAGATTGAACAACATCTCCAGCACCTTAGTAACATGCCGCCCAGTAACCCGCTGATCGTTGTCATCAGTAGCTTGATGGAGGCAACCTTGATGGCGAGAAGCTCCAGAGATATTGCCTCGGCTATAGCTCTACTCCAGAAGGTAAGTTGATGTGGACTTTACTGAGATGTTTTTGTTATCTTTTGTCTATACCTGAAAGAGAGAAAACTTCATTTATTTGTGACTCACTGGAGTTTCCTAACTCCTGTCCTTACTCTGAATAAATGTTGATGAGGATTTTGTTCAGAAATATTGTTACATTATAAATATACAAGGGAGATAACTGTATTAAGTTTATAATTAAGAAATAACATCAGCCTGAGAGGTGTATATCGGCTATTTAACATCGGTTTGGAGTTTTGATGCGTAGGATTTTGTAGCATCAAAACGACAAAACCGGTGTCAAATAGTTGATATACACCTCTCAGGCCGATGTTATTTTGATTCTAACACGATAAAATAAGGAAGATCACTTATGTTATTTTTTCAAGCGGAAATAACTTTCGGTGCCGATTTTCGTATAACACTGTTCGATTGTTGCACCCTACTGTTGCTAAGATATAGAAATTATTAAACAAAAGAAATAATAACAAAAAACGTTATTTTATCAAGTTTTCAACATTAAAAACTTACGTCGTATTGTGTTTACATCAGTGCCCCATTTATCATTCTAATCTGTATGAAATAACGTCGGCTTGTTTATGAATGAGTTGTTTACCTAGGATGACGTCATTACGCTGCTTATGGATTGGCGCCGTTTTGTCAAAATATTTATTAACTGATACGGATCTAATATGTGGCGTTAGTGTATGTGAGATATTATTTCGGTATTGTATGAAAAGAAAACATTATACGAACTGAAAATACTGATAAAAATGCTTTTACTTGTTGCTTTAAAATGCTTTGTAAACTATAAAATCGAGGGTGAAAACATAACAGCGCATATACAAGTAGTCCCTAACCAGTGTTTATTGGCAGTTTAACACCAGTTTTTTTCCTTCTTTGTCTATAGTGACAAAATCACGTGAGTGTTAGAATTTGGAACTTCGAGTGAATACTCAAATTCAGGTCAGGGAGATAACTTTGGCAAACCTTACTCCTTTATTTATATTCTAGCTTGAGTTACCTCCCTGGCTATTAAGGAGGTTATCTTAGCATGTAAAGTATATGTACCAGAAATTCAAGAAAGGAAAAAATACAGGAAATATTATCAAAATTTTTAATGAAATTTACATATTATATTCCAGGCTGTGGAAGGTTTGTTGGACCATTATACCATGACCCAGGAATATGAATTGATGATCAGGTTCCGAGAGTGCCATCTCCTGGTACTGAAGGGACTGCAAGACGGCCGAGCATTCGGTCCACAGTGGACCAATAGACAAGTCACAAGGTATGTATGCTTGTATTTTGTATAAATTCAATATTGCCCTAAATTATAGCCTTAAAATTTTATAATTTATAATCACTGTAAAATAGATAACGATAATATTTGCCAGCTTTGAGCCAATGTTGCATTGGTATCCATGTTCTATGGACACATGAGTAGTTTTTATCCTCATGTTCATAACATAATGTTCAAACCTTAAATAGAAAATTACTAACTTAAACTTAAATATCGTGAAAAAAACTAAAACAGGCAATGATTAGGTAAAAATTCCTTGTATTGGCAAACTCACATTTGTCCTTTAGTATTAAATGAGATATTATAAGGTTGGTCTACCCTTTTTTCAGATGTTTGATCGACTCGAGAGAGGATCATAGATATAACATAGAAGCCGTAGATCTGTTGATCCGTAGTAGTCTAGTTATCATGGCACAGTATGATATTTTTCTCGTACAACTGATGGAGAATGGCCTGAATATGATCGCCATAACGTTCGCCATGCAGCTTGTGCAGAGATATTGTATAGATGATAAGATCAACAGCCATGTAACCGAGGTACTGTAATGTTTTCTTGTCATTGACGGCTTTTGTTATGTATAGAGTATAGCTTTATATTCAAAATTAGGCTATATGCAGTTATGTTGGACAAAAGTGCTTGAATTAAAGTATTTGTATAATTATGTATAAGAAAGTTTTTATGATAAAAAAATTTTAAAAGACTTAATGTCTTAATTTTTTACAAAATACTGGCTACCAAAAAGATAATTTCCTATTTATTTTTGTATCAAGTGGTAATTATTATATTGTATTTACAGTCTGACTTGGCAAACACAATTGATACCCTCAACTTGATTGCTGCCAAGTTACGAGATCCACCAGCAGGGTATGTTTGTTTATTAACTTTCGTTTTGTGTTTTAAGCTTAGCATCTGATATTTGCTGATAAAGTGAAACTGAATTTGTCAATCATTGAAAGTATTGAATCAAAGGAAAAAAGAATTGGCCACAGTATACACCTTTATTAGACTGAGAGATATTGGACAATATTTTTGCCAAGGGTGCTTATCCTGCACATTGTTACCACAAATAACTTTCATCAGTATTTTGGGGCATAATTAGATATAAAACGTTTTTTTGTTGTTTGGATAAATATTTTAATATCTGTTATAAACGTTATTTCTTTGTAAAATTTGATATCAAAGTGATGCAGATTTTGACAAACACCTTTTAAAAAGTTTGTTTCTTCTTGCAGCCTTGAGAACTTGCTACAAAACTTGAGACAGAGTTCCGGTGGTGACTTCAGTATGCTGGACCGGGCCCCAGTCGGTCCGAACTCCATGATGCAGTCTGGTATAACCCAGGCTCGGGAGATCGACGATCCACCTGGACTGCACGAGAAAACAGAGTACCTGTTGAGAGAATGGGTTAACATGTATCATTCACCAGCCGCTGGTAGAGATAGCACTAAAGCTTTCGGAGCATTTGTACAACAGGTAGCGTATATCTGGATTTTCATTTTATTGAATATACACGTAATATGTTTAAAGAATTACGCTAAAACTCAGTAAGAAGAACTTTATAGATATGCAGACAGCAGAGTTTGTGAGTTGAAATGTAGGCCAGACGAAAAGACATTATTATTTTGCTATGCTCCTGGTCTCACATTTACCAGGTTAGTCTTTCTGCCAATACATGCCCAGCAGATATTGGGGGATATTGGTTTTTGTACAATATGACATAATGGGGTTTATTCTTTACAAACCTAACTTGTAAGGTTTTCAAACACATGGCATATGGCTGAGGGTTTAAATATCAACATTGAAGTCTTTGTTGTGAGATGGCCACCAAGCTAACTTCCAGATGGTTAGTAATTGCTATATGGTATTTGTTTTATTGGGTCCTTTAACAGTAAAGATATAAAATCATTTTGTGACATTCGTCTTGTCTGTGTGACCTAAAACTCAATCTATATTGACTATTTTCTTTTCATCATAAAAGATCAAGAAGTGTCATTATAATGTTAATTGTTGACTAGACGGTAAATTCAGACTGTTTTACTTTACAGATGCATCAACAGGGTATATTGAAGACTGACGACCTCATCACAAGGTTTTTCAGATTGTGTACAGAGATGTGTGTGGACTTGTGTTACAGGGCGCTAAGTGAGCAGACGCACAGTCCGACCCTGATACGAGCAAAATGCTTCCACACCCTTGATGCTTTTGTTCGCCTGATAGCGCTTCTTGTGAAACACTCCGGGGATAATGCAAATACAGTTACCAAGATTAATTTATTGAACAAAGTATGTATTTGTTTAGTTTTTAACATGATTGTGGTAAAAGCTTGCAGCTTATTTGAACTTCTATTACGCCCACTTTCTAAAACTTATATGTTACAGATGTCTTAAGAGGAAATGCAGCCCTGAAGGGCTCAAACCCATGATCCCTTGGTTGAGTGGCAGACACCTTTAAAATGGTTAGGCCACCGCTCTGACAATATATTTGCTAAACTGCTTAAAAGTTTTTTAAATAACTGGACTCAAATGATCACCATTTAGGAATAAAGTCCAAAGCTTAAAAATCATGTTGCTTCTTACAAAGTCAAGGTTATAGTGAAAGGTCGTTCATTGGTGAAAAAAAATATGTACTGCTGGCTGCAGGGGATCTAGCCATCCTACAGTCTCCATGTTTATATTGAAGATACAGTCTTAAAGAGTAAAGTTAAGTTACTCTGCCATTGGATATTTATTGATGTAATTTTCATCTCTTTCCTTTGTAGTGAAGGTTTCCTTTGTGGTGGAGTTTGTTTGTGTCTAGGAAAAAATACTGTTTATTTCTTTCATCATGGACATAGTGTCATGAATTTTGCAGCTGCATTTCAGTGAAAATGCTACAGCTCCTCAAAGTGTATTGTACAGTAGTGGTGTATTGTTTGTATTAGATTTTACTTGTTAGAGAAATCTAGATATATGTATTGTTTGTCCCAGTCAGACTGAGTAGTTCAGGTAGCAGACATTGATTGTCCCTGATATTTTTTGGTCCAAAATTTTGGCGAAACTGTTTACACATGAGCAAACTATAAAACCATTTTACAGAACATTCATTGTTATGAAATGGTGTCTTAAATACGACGAGAAACTCCCTAATCTATAACACTAGAATATTGCTATGTAAAGGTGAATCATAACTTAAAGATTCAAACCAAACCATAAAGAAAGAAGAATGAAAATCACATGTAGAAATCTTTTTATCTTGAGACTTGAAACATTTGCTCAACATATAATTTCTCTTGTGTTGTTTTTTTCTCCAACAGGTTCTGGGTATAGTAGCCGGTGTCCTTCTTCAGGACCATGAGGTACGTCAGACCGAGTTCCAGCAACTTCCATACCATCGTATATTCATCATGCTATTTATAGAACTGAACGCACCAGAACATATCCTAGAGAATATCAACTTCCAAGTGCTTACAGCATTCTGGTAAGGCTTTTAACATTTTCTAAGAAATTTAGGGAATACTTTGTAATTTTGTTCTTTAAAGTCATTGTTATGTAATAACTCTTATAGCTCTCGAGTCAAGCCTTTGAAACTTGCCCTGTTATAAAATTGGAACATTTTATTCTTATTTCAAGCAGGTTCAATTTGAAAAGGCTAGAAGTTTGTTAGACTGCTCATTGTGTAGACCAGCCTGACTTAATACAGCCTACATTGTATGAGATTGGTGCTTGCTTTATGAAGGTCTTACTATAATGACCCTGTAATCTTTAAATCTCTCTCTGATTAACCCATGTGATCAGTATAGACAAAAATCAGTCGGTACGTCAGTATCGGTGAATGTTTTGAATTTGTTCATATACATAATTAATAGTTTTGTCAAGATTGACAGATGGACAAGTCCATTTAATGTATATCATAATTGTAGCAAGATAAAATACCTTGAACTGAGCTCTAATTCAAGGTTTTTGTAAATGTTTCAGCAATACATTCCACATACTGCGTCCTGCTAAAGCACCAGGTTTTGCCTACGCCTGGCTGGAGTTGATTTCACACAGGGTATTTATTGGCAGAATGTTGGCACTAACACCTCAACAAAAGGTATGTTTTATGTAACAAACTATAAGTGTAAGAAAAATGAAATATAACTTTGAATGTAAAAAGGGAAATATGATGAGAAATTTTATTAGAATGTTAAACATATTTTTAATCTGATGAAGGTATTGTAGTTAACAAAAAAAACAGTAGTTTATACAACCTGTAACTTAATAACCATTTAAATAGTGTTGGGATATGTCATTCTCCAATCCTCCTTTTAGTTATCTATTTTTAAAAAAAACAAAACAACTAAACATGTTCATATCTGCTATGATTTATGTGTATAAATTGGTAAGGTGTTGTATCATTTCTTATCTTATATTTTGTTCATTATGTTCGCCTATATCAGTAATTGCTGTTATAGGGAAAAAAATAGGTGATGGACTTCATTTGACTTACATGTATGTTTTTTCAGGGTTGGGGAATGTATGCACAGTTGTTGATAGATCTCTTCAAGTTCCTCTCTCCGTTCTTGAGAAATGCTGAGCTAAATAAACCAACACATTTCTTATACAAGGTATGTCAACAATAATTAATCAGACTGTTTCATATACAAAGTATGTCAACAATCATTGTACATGTACTGCTGAGGTCTTCATTCACCAGTAAGTTGGAAAGTCACCATATGACCTTCACTGTGTTGCTTTGACTTAAAACCCAATAAAAACATCAAAAATGTATTGGTGCTCAATCCAGCATGAATAGCCTATTAGTGCTTTAAGTGTATATAGATACATCTTTGATTTTCCAACAGTTCAACTATAAAGTAGCTGTATATGACGAAAAAATATTTACTTTAAAAAATTAACATTTGCAAAGCAGCACGCTTTAGAAGATAAAGTGTTTGTTTGTTGCTGAGAGGTATTGCTGTGAAGAGCTTTAATTTATTGTGAATACTTAATTCACTTTTTGGCCATCATGATGTATAAAAACTTGCATTGCATTTTCTGTGCATAATTTATTTCAGGGAACTTTACGAGTCTTACTAGTCCTTCTTCATGATTTCCCAGAATTCCTCTGTGACTACCATTACGCCTTCTGTGATGTCATCTCGCCAAATTGTATTCAGATGCGTAACCTCATTTTGAGCGCGTTCCCACGTAATATGCGCCTACCTGATCCATTTACACCAAATCTGAAGGTTGATCTACTGGCAGACATTCAACATCCTCCAAGAATACTGTCAAATTTTGCCAACATGATTCAACCACCATCATTCAAGAAGGTCATTACTTAGTCTCATATACTTGTAGGGGGAAAAAATTTGGTTTTGTTATGTTTGATAGGGAAGATCATCTATAAAACTTTGTTTTGAAATAAACTGAGAACATGTCTCTCATAATGTGATTTTTTGTCAAGTTCATGATATGTTATTTCAGTGTGTAAATTATGGATACATTTGTGAAGTACTTATTTTAGTTTTTATCATGTGGGAAGCTTTTAGTTATTAGGACATCCTCTCCAATCCATTTCTTGAACCAACTTGTACTAGGTAATGATTGTATAAGTAAAGTTATTTCTGTGATTTGTTTAGTTAAAATGAATTTTCAATATATTCTTACAATACTGATGTTGTGTGATAGATTTTTATTGGGAACTGTCCATTATAAATGTTCAAAGAATACTTGGTTATTTAAATAATTTGAGAAGCCAACAGTATAAGGGCTTGACAGACCGCCCTGTAATGTTCAGGCTGGCCTGGCTCTATACTGGCTGCAGAGGTTAACCATTATTGGTTTTAGCATTCTAAGGGTGATTTGAAGTGAAATGTATTTCAGATATGATACAGAAGGGAACAAATTTAAAAGGTAATTGTCATTTTAGAAATTTATATCTTTCAGGATTTGGATTCCTATCTGAAAACAAGATCTCCTGTGACATTTTTGTCTGACTTGAGGAGCAGCCTACAGGTATTGTTAATTTGTAGTTGATCATATCTTTTATATATTGATTAAATGATACAATATCATGAAGTCATTCAACAAATTATTTATTGTAGACCTTAATGTCATTGTTACTGAATACCTTATAACAAATGTTAATATTGTACAACAAATTATATTTGGGCGTTTGTGGCCAAGTGGTTATGGTCATTGATTTTGAACCATTAGCCCTTCACAGCTTTGGGTTCAAATCCAACCAGGGACTTGAAGATTCATCCATGTGAGGAGGCTATCCAGCTTGCTTATGAAATGTATGTGGTTCTACTTTGGTACTTACTCATGCCTGAAATAATGCACAGAGGTGAACCTGAGGTCTTCCTACATCAGTGAAGCTGGAAAGTCGCCTTATTACCTTTCAAGTGTCAGTGAAACTTAAAAACTAACAAGCAAATTATATTTATTATCAAAAGAATGTATATGGGACTTTATAAGAAAAGGCACTGTTGAATGTCAAGTAAGCAAATTAATGTCAATTTTCAGTCCAATGAGCCAGGCTCCAGGTACAACATACCTCTGATGAATGCCCTTGTACTGTATGCAGGGACCCAGGCAATTCAGCATATACACACAAAGGGCCTCACACCAAGCATGAGTACAATAGCTCATTCTTCACACATGGACATCTTCCAGAATCTTGCAGTGGATCTCGATACAGAAGGTAAAAAAAAAGATATTATTCTTGCCAAAGGTAGCTAATTGGTTATGGTTTCAAGGTTTCTTTCTTTGAATCAGTTGTGTGTGACCAGTGGGGTTAAAATCCTGACAGGGACTTCTGATTTCTTCATTTGAGGCAGCTATCCAGCTGGTTTATTGAAGGTCATTGGTTCTACTCAGGTGCTCGCTTATGCCTGAACCCTTAATCTGCTTACAGATTTTACTAATGTGACCAGTGCAGACCAAGACAAGGCAACACATCCATGCTATCTGATCTTGGTCTACATTGTTTGCTATTCAGTCAGTACATATTTTAAAATTTTCCCCACTAATGAAGAATTATTTTGTCCTGATTGAAAAGACTATTAAAGATATTTAGTGGGATAAGGGTGTAAGATATATCTGAGAAATAGAAAATGCCAATACTATCATTAATACATGGAATACTGAAGTCGTCCTCCACCAAGACAGCAGAAGGACTTGTACAGATTCAGTGCACATTAAAATCCTAATAAAGGAATTAATAATGATAGTCTTGTCTCATAAAATAGTAAGGAGCTGTATTGGTTTAGGTCACTGACCTCACAATCATTTACCGTTTCATCTGTGAGTTTTAGTACCCTGTGTTGGCGTTTGTCATATTTAAGTTTGGAGGGAATGAATTTACCTCATAAAGATTTTTTGTATGACTTGACATTTTTTCAGCAATTAAACTTAACACAATTTTCAATGATTCCCGTTCTTTTCGAAACAGATTAGAATAGTTTGAGAGTTGTGATTATTAATTATTTAACACATACAAACAATATTACAGTGTCAAATTAGCTGTAAATCAAACTTGTACTAACATTATAAATTAACAATCCACTTTTCTGTTACAGGACGTTACTTGTTCCTGACAGCAATAGCCAACCAGCTTCGATACCCTAACAGTCATACACACTACTTCAGCTGTACATTATTGTACCTGTTCGCAGAGGCTAATACCGAGGCAATACAAGAGCAGATAACTAGGTAACTTTATAATTTATCTTCATTTTAATCCGCCAAATGATTAGGGTAACTTACATGAAGTCCCTTGGTGTAGGTTGTGATAGATTCAGGGTTTTGATTGGTTAAAAGGTAGTTTACATGAGATTTCAAATTGACAACCAAACAAGATATTGACCTTATGTAGGAATGGAACAGCTTAAGTTTGGTGTACAATTGTTTTGTCAATATGTTGCCTAATATAAATTATTACTGTTAAAAGTTCTATGTCTTTGTTATGTGATTATGATTACACTAGGTTAACCAGTTCATCCTTTCCTATGTAATATGTGTATGAAAACAAGGTTAAGTTTTAAGCTGCATGCTTCCAGATGAGCCAAAATATTTCACAAAAATCAGACTTGAGAAAATGGTATTAAGATTTTAAGAAAAGTAAAAAGATTGGAGATTCAAGTAACAATTTGCATGCTTTGTTTGAATACTGACTGATTTTGGCAAAATATGCAGAATTTTTCACCATAATCCTACTGCATGACTAACGTAGTAAGACTTATTTCTGCATATTTTGACCTTTTTAGATAATTTATGTGGAATGTAATTGACGTGTACAGAGTGTTTATTCCTTTCTTTGTTTTCACTAGACAATATTTTACTTTTAAATACATTTTCAAATTTTTAGCATGAATCTGGAGGCATACTGCTTTAAGGTGAATTTACACAGTGTTAAACTCTCTACAGGAACTCTTTCTGTGATGCGTTTATCACAAATCTTATATTAAGTAACATCTTGTGTACAATCTTGTGTACTATATATCCTTAATAAAACACTAAAGTGCAACAAACATCGTATATATTACATGTATATTACAGAGTATTATTAGAGAGATTGATAGTAAACAGACCACATCCCTGGGGACTGCTGATCACTTTTATAGAACTTATCAAGAACCCGCAATTCAAGTTCTGGAGTCACGAGTTTGTACACTGTGCCCCGGAGATCGAGAAGTAAGTAGTTATTTGGTCAGACTCGTCTGTGGTCAAGGTAACAAAGTCGATGATTACTAGCCTTGCACCACTGTGGGTTCAAATTTATACCAGAATTATAGATTGTCTCATGTACGGATAGTGTCCAGCTAGCTTATAGTATAAAAGATGGAACGTTGTTGAGTCTACTTATGTGCTCGCTTGTTATAAAATAAATAATAATATCTGTCTTGTTATGGCTCAGATCGGAATATCCATCCCGACGGCCAATTTCTGAGGGACGAATATTTCGATCCGAACTTCAAACAAATGTCAGATATTTTTTCTTGCATATTATAGTATATTCCATCATATTTTAAATTCATTCCCTACAATGTGTGCCTATTTGTTCACATATCTTTGATAAATGATTTACTGTATAAGTGGATATTTTTGCGTGACAAAAATTTTGGGAATGTCAAATTGTGGACTTTTTGTGGGAAATATTTACGAAAAAATGATTTTTTGAATTTAATACTGCTTTTGTAAAATCTTTTAATTAAGCAGATACATGTTAAGAATGAATATGTCGTTATTGTAATCGTTCTATTCAGTTATTTAACACCTTCATTATTTATATGATTGTTTGAAATATACATTGTTAGTTTGATAAAGGACCTGATCACACATTTCTTTGTCATATTTTGAAACATTCTTTTGTTATATGAATAACCTATTGTGTTATTAACACATATATTGTTTCATTAAAACATTTGTGATTTGTTAAGACCAAACTTAAACAAACAAGCAATGAGAAAAATTAATCTCAGTACCTGAACAGTCAAACTTATTCATGTAAGATGCTGTATGAAAACGTGTTTTCAAATGATAGAAGAAAGTTTGCCTAAAAAGAAATAATTTTTGCGTGATCAATTGTTTGCGAATAATTTCAATTCACAAAAATCACAAATATTTCCATGTCGCAAAATTAACCTCTTATACATTATATGACATGTATGATGAAGTTATTTAATAACTTTCATAAATAACAGGGATTCTTGTCAATATATATGACTCTAAAATCAATCAAGCTGAACTAACAGAACAAACAACAAATGAGCAATGTCACGACAAAACCAACATAATGCGTTTGCGACCAGCATGGATCCAGACCAGCCTGCGCAGTCTGATCAGGATCCATGCTGTTTGCTATCAGTTTCTCTACTTGTAATAAAGTTTGTAAGCGAACAGCATGGATCCTGATCAGACTGCGCGGATGCGCAGGCTGGTCTGGATCCATGCTGGTCGCAAACGCATTACGTTGGTTTTGTCGTGACGCGGCTCAAATTTCTGAAAAACTTATGAGATGCACCTTTGATTTCTTTATCAACCCATTTTCAGATTGTTCGAGTCTGTAGCTAGATCATGTATGCAGCCGAAGACAAGTGCAACCCCGTCCCGAGACCAAGAATCTGCTGAAATTCACTAGAACATGCAGTCATAAGAGATAAACTGTTGAAAGTGACCAGAACATAAATGTGAAACTAAACAAGAAATATCTGGAAGACGAACCAGGCTGGAACACTGTAAAATCATGCCAACCTATACCAAAATTGCCAAAAATTCATCGGAACATAATAGCATATGAAGCTTTATAAAGATAATAAGGATCTGATTCAATAATGTGCTAGAATAAAGACGCATGTGTGTGTTAAAGCAATCTTAAAGAAAGAACACCCTAAATATATACAATGGAACACATTGAGTGAAGACCTGTGCCTATGTAGAAACAATGCAGAAATACAGAAGAACACATTGGAACACATACAATTGAGCACATAGAATGAACACCTCCACCTATGTAAAATATCAGAAATACGGAAGAACGCATACAATTAAACACATAGAGTGAACACCTGCGACTATGTAAAAACTTATGAAACAATGCAGAAGTACAGAAGAACACATTGGAACATATGCATCTATAATATATTAAACATTGGAACAGATTACACTGATACAGATATAAACATTTTCAAGCTAGGACAGTGCTACAAACAATTAGTCTCAATAACACTTGTTCTTTAATTTATAAGACTAAGTGAAGGACTTGCATTAATGACTTAAATGAAGAAATTTATGGTGCTTTTGCCGAACTGTTCTTTGAGTTTATAGAAATAAATATTTGTGTTCATTAGGTAAAAAATGGAAAGTACTGCCACAGCATATAAACTTCATGACTAATAAAGTTTGGTGTTCGGCTAATAAAGATTTTAAAAGCAGTACCACTGCATATAAATAACCTACTTTGAATGTCATGACGAGTTTGATAACTTGTGTATATCAATGAAGATATCTTTATAAATTTGTTGAAGAAGATTAAAAATTTTTGTCATTTTGCTATGAAAGGAAACTTTCTTAATTTGATGAATTAAAGATATAAATATTGTGTAGCTGAAAAGTGAAAATAAAAATGTCCAGTTGGAACTTAACTGAAATATGTTAAAATGTATTGAAAATGGGTTTAATGGTAAATGTGTAAATTTTTTTTTAGATTTTTTGTTAACTTTTTTGTTTAGCAAACTAGATCAGTGAGGTGAATTATGTGACAGCCCAGAGCTTTGGATGGAGGATGCTACTTTTTGTTATTGTAATTCTTTGTGAATTGTTTAAAAAAATATTATTTTGGAAGTTTTAAAAATTGTGATTACTGTTCTTTAAAGGATAGTGTGGAAATAATAAGGTTGTCAATATTTGTTTTATTGGTTATTGTAAAAGGAGGTATACTTTATGTTTAGTCATGGAAGGTCTTGTGTTCAATCTGTTATGTTTTTCCAAGTTACTACATTTATCATCATTACATTTGTTTCAAGCTTATAACTGTATAACATATTATTGTATAAGTTGAAATATGAAGGTCATAAAAAGGGAATAAATATTTATATACTGTTAACCTTCTCCTGGCTAAGTTAATATAGTGGACTGGCCCTGTGAATTTAGGACTACTCATTGTTTGTTGAAGGGGTTTCAGTATGAAATTGCTGATGGGAAGGCAAGTTGGCATTGTCAGGATGTTAGAATGGTCGTTGAGAAATTATGAGGAAATTGTATATAGAAGTGTGATGTTTATGTATATATACTGTATGGTAGAGCTATAGTTTAGTACTTTATTTTGTGTGTATTTGCCTAGCTTTGTATTATGCAGAATTTGCAACATGGGAATATGTGTGCTTTGCTAATAAACATTTACCTTAACAAGTACGTTGTATTTTCATTATTATTAGCTTACCTTATTATTAGTACACATGAGCACAAAGTGCTCAATGATCACTCTGCGTCCGTCGTGCATCCTTAAAAAAAATGGCGTCAATTTCCCATCTCCTTTCATGGGTTCAATTTAAATTATACTGTAGGATATGAATTGGTTCATTTTAAAAGGCATTTATGCTGTTTACTGCAAGGTGGTTTAAAAAGCTTTGTCAATGCTGGAAGATGAAATGCCTTTAACTTAATCAATAAAATGATGAGAGGTCAATAAGGTGATACCAAAAATGTTACTTGTACAGACGTTATGGTTTTATTTCACCATAATGGTTATTAAAGCTTGAGTGGTATAACGTTAAGGTTGCATAAAAAGTATTTGTAACTGCTTAATTTAAAGAAAACGATAACATTTTTAGAGCGGACATGCCTGAAACTGTCGACACACCTGCTTTTAGTTTACGGTATTAATCGAGCTCATCAGGATCGTGCTCGAGTCCGTTTCCTGGAGAAGTAACCAGTACACGTGTCGTGAGAAAACATTGTTTTGATCACCGCAGGATTCCAACCCATGATCTCTGCTCATTGCTAAGAGCCACTTGCCAGCACTCTACTCCACAGTGCATTTAGTTTCTTCTTACAGTAGACGTAAATCAATCAGTGTAATCAAGGATATCGGGCAAATTCCCAGCCCAGATGTACATTTGTACTTTGGTAATTCAAGTACAAACTACCTTAACTTTCACTGTGTGGTTAGTCAGCCATGCAAATATGTATTACCCATACAACTTAAAAATAAAAATAAACTTTGTGTCACTGGGGTCGGGTTATTAAAGATGCGAGATCGGTGAAATGACCAGATTTTTGAGAAGCGTATTTACTCATATTTTGCAATAACTGGGGGATTGTTCGTATCTCGATGTTTGGCATTCGGAAAGAGCAATATCAACTTTTACAGATAGATAACCGACAGTGAAAACGAGGTATTCCTATTTTATCATTTGAAGTTTATGCACATTAAACATGTGTAAAGCAAACAACTATCTGTATAATTAACTTTAGCATGATTTATATTCTAGTATATAACACATCAATGCACGAATGTTGCCGCAACTGTGTATGCATCACTAACTCTCGCTATATTTGATATGCGTGCGTGAAGAAATCGGCATTTCATGATCATAAAAATTTTCATTATGCTCTTGTAGCTAGTCTGCAATGGTTTAAAATGATTCTTGTTTCTATGACAACAGCTTTACGTTGAAATGTCATCATTGTTAACACTAAGAATTGGTCTACAGTCTTAATATCTGACTAGTGGATACTTAATAATGTTTCTATGGGAAAAAAGTAACAATAAACCGTTGATGCTTCCGTGAGGCTAGAAAAAGTCTCTTACAAGAGTAACCACTTACGTACGAAATTTTACGGAATTATGTTAGGACCATTGTTCATAAATGGAATAAATGTATTCCGTACCCTTTAGCTAAGTCCGCACACCACAATATCTTGACATTATATATAAGTACTTGAAAAAATTTCCATTCTAAATTGTTGTAACGCTGCTACAAAGTTATGGTCAATGTTTTCTTGGAAGTATTTAACAAGGAAATACTAGTTAGCTTGTCCAGGTGTTAGCCAAAGAAATATTTTCTCGCAGCGGATATAGACACGTTCGTGACAAATTAAAAGTCGAATACTTAATCGAGTATGTCCCCTTCTATCATGTATGACGATATACATTTATCAACAAACCTATGTATCACACACCCTACCACATCCCAACAGACTGTAAAGTATAAATAAATAAATAAATAAGGTAATACAAAATTATCTATACTAATCATAAATGATGTGCCTTCGTCAACAGATCTTAAAAAAATTCCATATCCATCATTCTAATTTGCGATATTCATTTTTTTTTCACTTATCAAGATTGTACACAGATATGATTTTTTCTTATCACAAATCGTTTTTACCCTAAATATTTTCCATTGGCTACTGTCTTAATTAATTTAACATCATTTCATTACTAATTAATCAATCAAGTTAATATGACACAACCGTACAGCGTTTAAAATAAAAAATAAATTAATTTCCCACAACCTCATTACACACATGTTAAAATCAAACGTTTTTTTGTTTCGACGAATTACTGGCCTATATAAAAGATGCTCAAAGTATCTCATGAATTTTTACGTGACTATAAATATGGAATGAACGTTGTACGTACACGCGATCAAAAGTCCACCGCGAGAACATTTGTACTTCCATGGTCTTGTCAATAAATGATAATAGTTTGGTCAACGACGCACTTAAACTGAACAGAAGCAGGGTCAAAAATGGTGAGGGAAAATTTCGAGATGAAGTTTAAATATATACTCTGATGTCAATTGATAACGAACGCTATGTCGAGCTATTTAAACAAATTTAGTCTATTCCAAACTCGCATTTCACTTTAGGTATCATATGTAAATTAACTTGGAAATCACAGATATATCTTACTTAATAAGATATAATAGAGTAACATTGAAGTATTAACTGTGATAATACGTTTTGTATTTCAAAATTCAAATTTAAAACTCAAAACAGAATACCCAGAAAAACAACAGAATGGGGGATATTGGTGTTTTTATGAAAGGGCATGGAACTGTACCGCAGCAAAGTGCAGACAACGGGAAAGGTAATTTTTTGGTTGTTATGGAGACAAATTTCTTCATTTCCTTTGAAAGTTAAACAGTGGGCCAATATCTCCGTTTGATTATATTTGGCTGAGTCATACATTTCCTACCATAAATGCAATTATAATTTTCACGTTTTCAAATAAACATATTGCATGTATATATTTTGAAAAAACGACGACTAATCAATAAAATTGGTACAGAAGTATCAACATTATATTATATAACTACGTATATCTTTAATATCTATGCAATATACATGTATTCAAATGAGTTTTATAATGGGCCAAAAGCCAAGCTCTTGAACAGCAAATCAAAATTCAAAACGTGTACCATTACATATTAAATACGTATGATCCGATTTGTTACTAAATTAAGATGTGACAATTTTTAAAAGTTACTTATTTCTGCTATAGTTGTTTAATTCAAAAGCTTATATACATTTTGAATTTGTTGGTTATTCAAAAATATGGAAGTGAAACTATTTTATCATGTTATCGTACCTGCGATCTTCGCTTGCATAGCTTCATCAATCTATAAATTTTATTGGTTCAAAGAAAAAGGTTTGGGCATTACTTTAATTACTCATTTCTTCAAAAATAAGATTTTATTAGTTACTGCTTCATTGTAAATATTTTTTTTAATTTATACTATTTTCAGTAAAGGATAAAAACGAATTCATCAAAAATAAAGATTTTCTTTATGAAAATGACTAAAATAGATAAAAAACAGAATCCCTAAAGAAAGTCCAACACGGCAAAATTGAAAATGTTGCAGGCTCGGTTTGATTGA